AGATCCGTTTTCTGGGTGGTTTCCGAGTTGAAACGATTATCTAATCACAGCTTTTCGTCGAGGTCATCTAACGGAAGGCCCATGAAACGAGATGTTTCAACAGAGTCGGACCATAGGGAGAAAGGTGTTAGACTCATTGCGTGCTGAACATATATTTAGTATGTCGGGGTCCATAGGAGTTTAACCTGCTGCAGTATCCAGAACGAAGGTGCGCGACGGTCATTCTAGATTCTCGTGGCAACTCGTGTTCTTCGTCTGCAATGTGTGGTGGTTTGACTCCAAGCACGCCATTCACTGAGAGGACGTCGGTAAAGGTGTTAATGTCAGGCCGATTGCCTTGTATGTAGCCCGCAACGTCTTTTTTTGTCTTCCCCATGAGCTGTGCCATGCGATTTGTTTCGGCTCTGTACTTTGGCAGTTATCGCGGTAGTGTGAGGAGTGAAGGAGCACAGGCTATCAAATGTAACACCTAAGGTCAAGGCGAGTCTTATCTTCTGACAACTCTCCTTCCCCCTGTGAGAGGACGATCCTCGTAACGTTGGACTTGTCAAAACCTTTTGAAACAGTCAATCATACAACGCTACTTTATCATAAAACTCCCTCAACTACCAGGTGGATTTTGCATCATCTCGTACGCTGATGACTGCACGATATTCACTTCGACCAATGGAATTGATGGCATGTGTGTGCTCCTTCACTCCTCATACGACCGCAATATCTGCCAAAAAACAGACTCGTAGCAAAATCCTCAAAACGCTAGCCAGCAGCTTATTGGGAAAAGACAAAGAAATGTTGTTGACAACATAAAAGGCAATCGGCCCGCCGATCATAAACTACGCCGCACAGATATGGTCACCTAGATGTAGTGAAACGCAGACGAACAAGCTTCAGATGTCTCCAAATACTGCACTCCGAACTATTACAGGATGCCTCTTGATGTTGAACATTTTCACAGTGAGGGCCGTATGCTTCCGGTTAAGGAACATAATTAGGTCCTCTCCAAGCAGTTACAGCTGGAATGTTTTCGCAGAAACCATCCTTGCAGTCGTCTGCTTGAAGCGGAGCTACTTCCTAGGATTATCTCGAGGTCTTTCCTTGATTACATCGACGACATCGAACAGTACGCCGGCCAGGCTTCGGACGAAACTAGCTTTAGACACGCACTGCCCGTCATTCACAGTGGAGCTATTAACACCTTCAACGACTCCCTCTCAGTTAATGGCTTACTTGGAATCAAACCAGCACTCTTTGCAGACGAAGAACTCGAGTTGCCACGAGAATCTAGAGTAACAGGTTAAACTCCCAATTATCCAAGATCGACCCCGACATACCAAATATAATATATTATATATCCAGCATGCAATGAGTCTCCGCATGGCAATAACCACCTCTTTACATGTCCAACGAAACCCACTCATCTAACACCTTTCTCTCTATGGTCCGACCCCGTCGAAATAGCTCGTTTCCTGGATCTCCCCTTAGATGACCTCGACGACAACCAAACTGAAACTAACCACCCAAGCGGGGATCAGATAACCGCTACAACATCAATTTCCTTTTGACATTCCTGCTTAATATAATGTAATCGATAATATACAAAAAATGGCCAACTGCCGACGCAGTTGTCTGCAGTAGGCAACCAATATCCACTTATAATGTATGTTTGGTATACTCCTGTCGAATTATTCCAACTGATTTCAGTCGAAGCTTCATTGATGTTGCCAACCTAAAAAAGTGAACAATTGACAGACGACAAGCAGATATTTTTTAAACGAAATACGGTTGATTTGAAAACCTTTTCTTCTTTATTTACAAACAATTTATTTAGGTTTTAATTTTTATAGCTTAGTCTATTTATTACAATCTATTTTAGTCTTTATGTTTACATGTTTACAAATTGAAATAAGAAACACATTGATATATAGGTATACATATGTATGTACAAAAAAAAGGTACAAGTCGACTTTAGAAATCAGCGTCTAACGTAAACACATTATCCATTCGATTAGCAGTTACTCCCCATTTCTGGTATTCACCAACTTTCTTTTCAAAAAAGTTTGTTTTCCCGTCTAATGAAATAAGTTCCATGAAACTGAAAGGGTTCGGTGTGTTGTAAATCTGCAAGGATTATTAGAAAAATTATTTCATCACGACTACCTACTTAGGCTGAATGGGTTCAATATTACCTTTCCCACTCCCAGTTCGACAAGCAAACGATCAGCCACAAATTCGATATAATCAGACATTAGTTTACAATTCATACCGATTAAATTAACCGGCAAAGCGTCAGTTAAGAATTCTTGCTCAATTGTAACAGCTTCTGAAATTATTTCAACAATTCGTTCATTACTTGGTTTTTGTATCAAATGTTGGAACATTAAACATGCGAAGTCACAATGTAGACCCTCATCTCGTGAGATTAGTTCATTAGAAAATGTCAAGCCAGGCATTAAACCGCGTTTCTTAAGCCAAAAGATCGAAGCAAAACTGCCACTGAAGAAAATGCCTTCAACAGCGGCAAATGCAATTACACGTTCACCAAAGTTGGCCGACTTAGAAGAAATCCAAGCAAGTGCCCAATCAGCCTTACGCTTTACCGCAGGCATTGTCTCAATAGCGTTGAATAAGTAATTTCTTTGTTTCGAATCCTTAATATACGTATCAATTAATATACTATACATTTCAGAATGCACATTTTCCATAGCAATTTGAAATCCATAGAAGCAACGTGCCTCTGTAACTTGCACTTCTTGGCTGAAGCGTTCAACTAAATTTTCATTCACAATACCATCAGATGCGGCGAAGAAGGCTAACACGTGTGAAATGAAATGTCGTTCATTATCAGTGAGACGTGCCCAATCATCCATATCTTTAGAAAGATCTACTTCCTCAACTGTCCAGAACGATGCTTCTGCCTGCAATATATAAATATGGTCCAATAAATAGGATTGAAGTTTTTGTCAACACTAACAAATATTTTAACGGTTAGTATTCCAACATAGCTGCCGATAAATTCAAGATATAAAGGTTAAAAGAAAACTTCTTTTATCTAAATAGTAAATGCATTAAAAAAATAACAAACAAATTAAGTGAAGTAAATAAACGCGCGCGCGCGGGAATTATTTTGCGCCAACTCATATTGAGATCTTTTGCGCGCTAAAATAAACGCGCTAGATATGGTTAGTATACCATGTATACATATGAATCATATAGTGTATATGTACATATATATTTTATGTTTGAAACATGTTAATAGTAAAATTTGCCTCCGCCTTGTCAACAATAAGAATAATCGTGCGAAGTTGTACATTACTCTTGAAATTGGACATGTTCAAACATGCTCATCACGCCGACGTCAAAACTGGTTGAACAAATCAACGTAGAATCACATACATATACACGCAATTGGTTGAAACAGCTGATAGTTACAATTGTTTTATACGTATTTTATTTAACAAACTTGTATACGTCTCGGGGCGCAGTGACCCTAGGTCGCGGTGCAAATCTCATTTTCAATCTTTCAATTTATCTATGCGTCTATCCTGGCCATAGCTTGCATACGTACCTTCTTGTACATTTGCCATATATCTGGATACTCAATCGGCATGATTACGAAACGACGTGGATTTTCTTTTAGTAATGGTTCAATTGTTGCGTCAAATGGTGCTGCAGGCTTACTAATTAATGTTGTTACTTTTTCGACTGGTGTTGAATCCTGTTGTTTTGAAGTTAACTCCTCATCACCGATGGACATTTTACGAATGTTATTCACGTCTGTCAAAATCTTTCTTGGACTCTGCAAAAAAAAAAAATTAAAACATAAAAAATACCATGTTTATAGTTCCTCTCATTGAATTGCTAAAACGGCGCATTTGTACTACAAAAAAAGCATGCCAAAATTCTGTCACCTTCAGTGAAAATTTCTCCAGGTTTTCTTTACCAGCGAATGCCATTTTATATCTAATAAAGTAATAATGACTAATATAATACAATAATCTTCCACAAAATTGTATTAATTGCAAAACACAGCCCGACTACTAAACCACTAACACAATTTACTCGACGTCAGAAAACTATTTGAGGCGAAATCCACTGTCGACCTCCTCTTATAGGGAATACCACAAAGGTTGCAATCGACCGCAAGCAAATGCTACGTTTCGGCGGGAAACACTTTGTTGTTGCTCACTGTACATGTTTACGAATGCATGAGGGAGAAGGTGAATAAAAAGGCGAATTGTCATGTGCGGTGTAAAGGTGAAAATATACAAATGTCACGAATGCGATTGTAAAGTCTCCACAAAAATTTCATTTGTAACTGTACCGTTTTTTATAGGAAAGAAATCACAAATGTTGTTATCAGCTCCAGTACAGCAAATCCTAGGTTTAAATTTTTATGGTCATTGTTTTTATATATTCAGTAAACATATACAAATTTTACGTTTTCATATCTGATAATACACATATGTACAGTTATGTTTAACATAAAGACATATGTCCTTGGCCGGATAAAATCCGGGTCGGTTCCGGTTACGTAGACCCCACTGTCGTGGGAACGGCTCACGGTCAAAATGACCGGTTGAATCATTTATTTATACCATTTCCTAGTTACTCCTATTTAATATTTTACGATAATATAAAGATTTTTATTAAATTTGTGTATATATTATAGCTTATTTTGTTCTTACGCTTCTAATTTTCAGAGAGAGATACCTATTTGAAATAAGTATGTGGAAAATCTTCGTAGTTCTAGTGCTAAAAAGGTTTTTCTTTTAAATTTTTAGTAGTAACCCACAAGCAATAATTATATATATTATTGTTTAAAAGGCTTGTATATACTTATTAGTATTACGTGTTGCACAAACTTTTGTCCTTTCACTTACTAATCAACCCTGATATTCGTATAGGTGCCATTTTGTTTTCATTATATTATATTCGTTTCACTTTTTCTTGTAACATTCAGCTTTATAACTAGTATTTTTCTCTTTTTACTGCATTGACTAACTTCGTATTTTTCATTGTTGCTAACTCTTTTAGAAATTGCCCTAGCATCTGAATCTTTGTCACAAGAAGAAACTAATTATTTTCCATTTCTATTAGAATAACTTTTGAAATTTCATTTAAATAAATAGGTTAAGATCTTTTAAACTTTATATTTATCAATTTCCTTTGAATATCATGTGTTTGTTTACAATCATAATTCATGGGGTAAATTTATAGGTTTTGATTGGCATTACTGAATGGCGATCGGCTTCAATCGCCACTTGTGTTTTAAAGGCGTTGTTCATCATCATTTTCTGGCTGTTCGTGTGAAAAGTAATAAATTAATCGGGGAAAACGATTTCAAATATATTTAATTTTGAAAGAATAAGGAGCTTGCCTACAAAAAAAATACTGGTAGGAAGGCAATTTCGTAGCGCCATTTATAATTTTTTCGTCCCAGTAGTCGATTTTGTCGAGTGTGCGGCAGTAAAACACTTTAAATTGTGTAAGTGAAAATTGTGGACCTCAAACAGTAGAAGCAAATTTTCAATTGTCAATGGATGAGGAAATAATATTCTACAAATATTTCGGGGTGCGGGTATGAGTGGTTAGAAAAAATTCCACATAGGAAACTGCGAATGGGCGATGACAATGACTGTTGAGTTGTGGTAATAATGAAGGTGATTATTGTGATCTTAGATGCGCTGGCGCTGCGATGACGTCCGCGATGCTTCCGTTTCGCGAAGGGTTCCAAAAGAGTTTTGCAGCGGTTGCAGAACCGATCAGTTAGATGGATACCTTGTAATCGTTAATGAGTTCAAGAAATTGGCTAATACGTTTTTAACAAGAGTAAATTTTAACATTGGTGGTAATGTTTTCGATTGTATTAATAATAACATGGAATAGAATGGAAGTGACTAGTAATACCTATCATGCCATAAAATATTACTGTCCAAGAAAAATGCTTTTATGCTTTTACATGTATACAACCATGGAAACAGTTAACAATATCAACTGTTGCATATACTATATAAGCATATGTAGAATTATTGTTTCCAACAAAGTGAACCATTTTGTGATGTCATTTTTTGCAGAATCAATGACGACGATTCGAAAAAAGTTGGTGATTGTTGGCGATGGTGCCTGTGGTAAGACTTGTCTTCTGATTGTATTTAGTAAAGATCAGTTTCCCGAGGTATATGTTCCAACCGTTTTTGAAAACTATGTTGCGGATATTGAAGTTGATGGTAAACAAGTAAGTTGGAATATAAATATCAAAAATAAGAGTATTTTATGTATAAATGTGTATTTTATATCTTATGTATTCAAATGAACATATCATGCATAGTAAAAATGAAGTAAAGGTTTTTTGTTTGTTTAAAATGTTGTTAATGTGATTCTATAAATGTCATTACAGCCGGTTAGAGCGACAATTTTCCTAAAAAGTTATTTACGATAATTTTCATATCAAATCTAAATATTAAAAAATGTTCATTTGAATTAATTTTATGAAACCGATTGTTAGCAGATTTAGTAATTTTTTATTTTAAGACTGTTAGTAATTTTTTAATACTAGTTTTAAACTTGTCATTTAAAGTCAAATATCTAACACATGAGTCACAAAATGTATATATATATATATACACATAAAATAACCTTAAACTAAAATTTTTTATTAAAACATTTTCCAATACTTTCTTACTAATTGAATTTTATTTGTGCATATTTTGTTTATACATTGCTACATAAACAGTATGCCGTAGCATTTTAATAGCAAAATAAATATTTTGCGCTAATTAAAATTTTTATACTATCAATTTAGGTTGAGTTGGCCTTATGGGACACAGCTGGGCAAGAAGATTATGACAGACTTCGACCATTAAGTTACCCAGATACAGATGTTATTCTGATGTGCTTTTCGGTGGATTCGCCCGATTCATTAGAGAATATTCCCGAAAAATGGACTCCAGAGGTTTATCTATTTGTTTCGAATTAATATCGTATTGATCGAATTCCGAAAAATTTTCAGGTTAAACATTTTTGCCCAAATGTTCCCATAATTTTGGTGGGAAATAAAAAGGATTTGCGAAATGATCCCAACACTATTCGTGTATGTTCTGATATCGAAATTTGTTTAAATAAAGGTGTAATCTTAGTAAAACTTTTAGGATCTGGCTAAAATGAAGCAGGAGCCTGTTAAGCCTCAAGAGGGTCGTGCTATGGCTGAGAAAATCAATGCCTTCGCTTATTTGGAATGTTCAGCTAAGTCTAAGGAAGGTGTAAGAGATGTCTTCGAAACGGCTACCAGAGCTGCATTACAAGTTAAGAAGAGGAAGAAGACCAAATGCCTTTTGCTCTAAAAGAGCAAGCCTATACAAAACATATTACACGTAAAACAAAGCAAAACCACGCACTCCCGATTTTTTATTTTCTCTTTTTTTTTAACGAGCGTCATCAAATGTTTTTTGATTGAATTCTTGATCATGATTAATTGATTATTAACTAATAATCGTATTTTATTTAAAAGAAACTAATATATATTGTATACATGTATTTAGCAGTAAACGAATAATGTAGAAATCTAATTACACAATATGCATTGGAAGAAAAAATATTTGAGAGATCCTAATAATTAAGAATTAAAAAAAAAACATAGGAAATTGGGAATTGTAGGGTTTAAAACAGAAGCGGTATTTGTGGGTGAAAAATTGGGAACTGCAACAAATCTGCAAAATCTGCATGCATACACGCACATATGCACAAACACGAGAGTGCAAGCAGCAAGAAAAAGCATTTAAAAATATCAAAACTATTTTTGAATGCATTAGGATAGATTTTGTTGTCTCCTATTATAATTTTTTTTTTTGAAATACAATAAGTATAAACACAAAAGAAAAAAGAAATAAACAACCACCAAAAACAACAAAAAATAAGTATTTGTGAATTTTGCTACATTTTACTACCAATAATAAATACTAAGAAGATCGATGGTAATAATTTTGTAATATTTAAAACAAAACGTGAAAGCCTACCATTTTGAAGAAAAATATGGCTCATAAAAATTTTTAAAACTACGGATTATATAAACAACAAAATATAAGATATATAAAAAATCAACACATCCATTTTTCCAGATAACTGTTTAGCAATGAGATCATTTAAAAGAAATCATGAGTATTTTAATAATAAAGCAAACGAATAAAAATAAAAGAGACTAAAACTCAGTTTAAGTGTGTATGTACTTCTTTGAAAAAGCTTAGGTTTTAGTTTTTTCGAAAACGATTCTAATTTTTCAAATTGATGCATTTACAAGTAATTTCAAATGTAAAATTATGTAATAAAAATAAAATATTCAACAAAAATTTGCTCAATTATATTACTAACGCATAAAAATTCTAGATAAGTGGGCCCGGGTTTTGTATTTTATCAATACCTTTGTTAATTTTCATTATATCAAATAGTGTTAAGAAAAAATTTTCATCGGCTTATATTGGAAATTAAATCGGGTAGCGTTTTAACATAGGATTCGGTTTCTATAAAAATTATTAGAACGATGAATTTTAATTTTTGGATGAAATTATGAATTATTTCTTTATTGATATTCTTATATATTCGCGTTTGTGGTAGGTTAGGGTTAGGTTAGGTTAGGAGGTCGATCCCAGAAGGGATCCCACTTGGACAGCTTAAGACGCCAGTCCGTTGTGATACCTACGGCTCCTATAGTCCGGATCAAAAGACCCTTACAAGTCGACAAGACGTCTTGTGCTGACTACAAACTTGTTAAGACGGCCAATATCCATTACGGATAGGTATTCAGGACCGCCAAACGTGTGATTGCCGAGATATTTCAATCGCAGCCTAGCGAATGCCGGACATTGGAGGAGAAAGTGCTGGGATGATTCCACCTCGCCCTCCTCCATACAACTTTGGCAACTGGCATCGGGTAGTACACCAAGCCGTACCGCATGAGTGCCCATTGGACAGTGTCCAGTGAGAACTCCTACAATAGCGGCTAGATGCACTTTGCTCAGGGCGAGAAGTTACCCCGACCTCCTGCTATCCACTCTTGGCCAGAAGGATTTCGCGGTCGCACAGGACCTAGTCGTCGACCAACGTCTGCTGAGTGCACGCGAGGTCCATTGATCCAAAGTTAGAGCGCAGGACGCTAACGGAGATCCTACCCGATCCCATTCCGATGTGAGCGGGGCAAAGGTGCCCCCCCTGGCTAGCTCATCGGCTTTGCAGTTTCCAGCGATTCCGCTGTGACCAGGCACCCAAACGAGCCTGATGTTGAAATAGCCAGACGCTACCTCTAAAGAGGACAGACACTCCTTGACTAGCTTTGATTGCACGGTACGCGCGCTCAAAGCTAGTATTGCTGCCCTACTATCAGAGTGAATGCTCACTTCTACAAACGAGGCTGCACTACGCAGCAGTACTTCTACCGCCACCTTGATGCAGCTACCTCCGCCTGAAAAACACTACAGTGATCTGGTAGCCTGACTCTAAGACTGACGGAGATCTCCTTGCAGAAAACCCCCCCTCCAACCTTACCTCCTAGCCTCGATCCATCCGTGAAAAAGCTCACCGTGTCTCTTCTCCAACGGCTTCTTCCCACCCACATGTCCCTCGTTGGAATATGAGCGGAGAAGGAACCGCCTCGAGTGGCTACAGTGACGCAGTGATCTATATTTTCCGGGATGCCGCTGAAGGAGGAAAGAATTTCGGAGTGCCCTTGTTCGGACCTCTTCAAAAGCCCAGCTTCCCTGAGCCTTAGAGCACACTTCGCGGCAATATCCACAGGTGCTATGTTTAAAATAGCATTAAGAGCTAGTGTCGGTGTGGTCCGCAGTGCACCGGAGATTCCGATGAGCGCCGCTCTTTGGACCCTTTCAAGCTTTTTAGCCAGTGTGGTCCTCTCGAGCGCCCTCCACCAGACGAACACACCATAGAACATTATTGGCTTAACTACGGTTTCGTAGAGCCAGAACACCACCTTAGGTGAGAGTCCCCACCTTTTCCCAATAGCCCCTTTGCAGCAGTATAAGGCGACCGAAGCCTTCTTAACTCTCTCCTCTATATTTGGCCTCCAGGAAAGTTTGCTATCGAGGATGAGCCCTAGGTATTTCACATTCTCAGCAGGCTGAAGAAGGGATTGTGGTAAGTTCTATTCAAACACTAATAAATTACTTGTGTGTGTCAATTTCCAACAGTTCTATACACATATATTTAGACAAGTTTGTACAATGTTCAAATGGGTAAAAAACAACATGTCTGGGTAATATATAAGTACACATTTATTTAAAAACATACATAGGATAAAATTACACAAAAACGTATGTACATAAACTATATGTAAACCGCTACTCGGCGTCGAAATTGAATGGAAAATATTTGTGGTGGCTCATACCAGAAAAAGGTATCAACCGCTGACCGGTGTTGTAGCCATCAATTATTTTCATATCATCGTCGCTTAATTTAAAATCGAAAATTGCAAAATTTTCCGCTATGCGACTTTTAGTAACCGATTTTGGAATCGGTATAGTGCCCAATTGTACTAGATATCGTAAACATATTTGTGCTGGTGTCTTTCCATACTTTTTTGATAGATCCTTTGCAGTACTATCGTAAAGAAATGGTGGCCACAGTTGATCTGACTTTGGGCGGGCTAAAGGGCAATATGCTGTGATAACAATATCACGTTGCTTTGAAAATTCAATTAGCTTTTTTTGATTAAAGCCTGGGTGGCACTCTACCTGGTTGACTAAAGGTCGTATGCGACAATCTTGTAATATGCGCTCTGTTTGTTGCTTATTAAAGTTAGAAAGTCCAATGCCTTTCACCAAGCCCAAATCCACTAACTTCTCCATAGCTCGCCAAGTATCCAAGTAATCTACATCGGATAGCTCTAATGTCCCGTGTACAATATCGTCCCCTTTGTGAATTTGACCTACAGGAAAGTGTATCAGATATAAATCGATGTAGCTTAATCCTAGATTGGATAGACTGTTGCGGCAAGCTTGCTCCACCAATTGTGGATCGTGATGAATGCCACCCAATTTTGTGACAACAAATACGTCTTCACGATTAACGACACCTTCAGCAATTTTTGAATTGATAGCACGTCCAACTTCCTTTTCATTTTCATATACGAATGCTGTGTCGATATGTCTGTAACCTAAATCTATGGCATCTTTCACTGAACGCTCTGCATCTGATTCATACGATCGCCAAGTGCCGAGACCGATCGCCGGAATCTCCTGACCATTGCTAAGTTTAATTCTTGGCGCTAAACAAGCCATTTGATACAATTTCACAACTTTTTAATGGCAAAAACGTAATAATTATCGTTTGCTATACACTTTTCTCAAAATATCGCCAAGAATTGATTAGGTAAGATATATAGGTATTTATATATAGCCGATCTAAAGATTATAATCAAGGCGAATGTAATTATTTTCACTGAAAGTTTTTCACGTTGAGAGGCAGCAGAGAGCGTCTAATATTTAGCATAGATCATTGTATAAATCTACATAATACATAATACATAATTATAAGCCTACAAGCAAACCAAAGAATCAGCTGTTTTCCTATGTGTGTGAAACAGCTGTGATCACCTGATCGAATATGCCTTTTTTTGACACAGAGTTTTAAATAAAAGGAGTAGTTTAACAATTTGTTTATGAACATGTATTCGTAATAGAAATAATAATGAAAACTTTCAAGAGTATTGTAGATGTATACAATGCATTAGGTTCTGGTGGCAGGAAGAATAAGAATGGGAAAATTAACAAGTTACGAGGCTTTTTGGCAGCCAATTAAAGATTGCTAAACATCTGAATCGCTAGCAATATTGTCAATGCAGACACACATTGCTAATGTTCAGCAATTGATGTCTAAATATATTTCAGGTTGAACTGTTGTTTTGGTGGTTTGATCAAGTCCAAATCTAAATATATTTAGGTATACTTTACTAGTAGTTAACTGTTATTTTGGTGGTTTGACCAAGCCCATTTTGCGCAAAATTTATTAATATTACCAATTTTTGTGTTGTTTTCGGGTGATGATGACATGATTTTTGCTGCTATGTCCCAGATGTCAACGCAGATATCAACAGAGGTGTCAACACAAATATCGACACAAATTAAAGAGCAGGATGCACGTATGTCCCAACAAATGTCGCTGTTAGAAACGCGATTTTCACCGCTTTTGGAAGAGCTGTTCTGAGCGTATATCAGCACAGGTGTCCTCACAGTTTAAAGAGCAGGATGCACGGATATCGCAGGTGACCTCACAAATAGCAGAAGTGTCCTCAACTGAAGTGGATGAATTGAGAGATCGTCTCCGTGAGCTACAATTAAATTGGCCAATTGTGTCAACAGCTTCTGCCAAGGCAAAACCTCCATCCTTTGATGGCACTGTTCCGTTCCACGTTTTTAAGCTTCAATTCAAAAATACGGCATCTTCAAATAATTGGAATTCTGGAGATAAAGTAGCTGCATTGTTCGTTGCATTAAAAGGATCTGCAGCGGAGACATTACATACCATTCCAAACTGCCAGGCGAGTAGTTATGAAATGTTGATGGGTGCATTAGAAAGATGGTATGGTAGTGAGCTCAAGAAGCAGATCGTTCAAATGGAGTTGCGAAATCGCCGCCAGAAAACCAATGAGTCGTTGCAGGAGTTTGCAACAGAGATTGAGAGGTTAACTCACTTAGCTTATGCACATAAATCCATGGAATACATCGAGGACACGAATATTCAGACTTTCGTCAATAGAATACGAGATAACACTACACGCTTCGCTGCATTAGCATGTCCAAAATTGACGTTTGCAAAAACTGTTTCGTATGCTCTGACACAGGAAACTGCATCTCTGCTTTGCAATCAAACATTTAAAGCTCACAAAGTAGAAATAGAGGAACAAACTTGGGTGAACCAATTACTTGAAAAAATTGACAACATGCAGAAAGCACTGGAAAAATCTACGGAAGAGCATCAGAAAAATGATGGTGTGCTTAAATGCTTCAACTGCGGAAAAAGTGGCCACGCAACTATAACCAGCCCAATAATCCAATTGGACGTAAACGCAAAGCTGAGGAAGAGCAAATGTCAAATCAAACCAATCATTAAAACTAAAGCGAGTCAGCGGAAAAGAGCACGGGTTGGCTCCCGCAAGCCAATGCTCTGTAATCTCCATTTCAAAAATAAGCAGGAATACGTCTAACGTTACCGTTAGTGGATGCGGTAAAAAGCGCACACTAACTGTGGATACGGGCGCATCACATTTCAAAATTCGATCTGATCTTGTTGAGAAAGAAGTGAGTCCATTAGCTGGGGCGTACTGCAACTGGAGAAGATACCCTAGTTCTCGGAAAGGTAACGTGCGAGATCGTAATTGGAAAGGCAGCCGTGTTACACAATTTTATAGTGGCAGATATCGTTGACGAAGTCATAATTGGAGTAGACTTTCTAGCGAATCAAGGTATCAAAATTGTCATTAAAAAATGATTATGTCCTATAGAAACATGGAAGTACCACTTATGTTCGGTTACGATAATAAGTACAACGTTAGCCGATTGATAACAACAGAGAGCCAGCAGATTCCACCATCATCAGACTGGAATCCGGAGAAGCTACGGAAATGTCAGCAAGAGAATCCAGATTTGAAGAGTGATACACGGATTGGAGATGAATAAACTTCCAACGAGAGATGAAGTAGCTGTAGAAAGCCCAGTCGCAAAGGCTTATTGGGCACAATGGAATAGTTTGAAGTTAGTGTCTGGCTGCCTGCATCGCGTATGGGAAAGCGAAGTGGGCAAAGTTTACGAGCTCTGATGATTATTCCAAAAGTAAGAATTCCTGCAGTTCTCAACGAGCTGCACATCGGTCCAAGTGGAGGACACATGGGTATCAACAAAACCTTGGAGAAATTAAAAAAAAGATTTCATTGGGTTGGTTGTCGTCAATCATTTACGGAGTGAATCGCCAATTGTGTCGAGTGCATTGCTGCTAAAGGGCCGCGGTTCAGGAGTCATGGTCAGATCAAGCAGTACATTTCAGGTGCGCCATTTGAGCGAGTAGCCATGGATGTAGCTGGTCCATTTCCTCTCAGTGAACTAGAAAACAAATATGTTTTGGTAGTCATGGACTATTTCAGCAAATGGCCAGAGGCATACACAATTCATACCCAAGAGGCAGGAACAGTACCGGCTGTATTCATCAATAATTGGGTATCGAGGTATGGTGTTCCAATAAAATTACAGGAGATATGCCAGAAACTAGGTATCCGGAAAACCCGTACAACTGCACTACATCCGCAGTCTGATGGCATAGTAGAACGATTCAATCGAACTTTGGAAGAACATTTGAGGAAAGTTGTGGGCAAGTATCAAAAAGATAGGGATACCCATATATCCTTGTTCCTGATGGCTTATCGGTCTGCTGTACATGAAACAACGGGGCAGACTCCAGGGGTAATTTTTGGTAATGATCTTCGACTACCGATTGATTTAAAATTTGGAATTAACGCCAACGGAGGAAGGAATACTAAGGAATTCAATAGCATCCTTGAAGACGAGATGAGGGATATACATGCTATGGTGAGACAGCGCACCAAAATTATGAGCGATAAGATGAAAGCAAAATACGACAAGGCAATAAACTCTGAGGGTTTTATTGAAGGCGATTGGGTATTGTTATATAACCCACAACGAAAGAAAGGGTTATCTTCCAAATTACAGTGTAATTGGGAAGGACCACACCAGGTTATTAAACGACTCAATGATGTAGTGTATCGCATACAGACCATTGGAAGACCAAGGAATAAAATGAAGGTGGTTCATCTGGAACGGCTTGCAGCGTTTGGTACCGCAAATATGTCTAATCGGGACGATCAGACTTGGGTAGAGGGTAAAGTAAGAAACGGAAAGCCCAAGAATGATATAATACAAGATTACGACAATAATTTACCGTTACTTTTTCGGTTTAGGCTGCTACAATTGTTACAAAAACCAATTGCACTATGCCGCCATCTTGTCACGTATTTCTTTTGAGTGAGAAGAAGAAGTATCATCTAAATTGTAATCAAAAACGTAAAAACTTTTGTTAATTCGTGAAATAGACTTAACCGATTAGTTTATAGTGCAAAAATCCTACTGAAATTAATAGAATAATGTAGCGAGAAAATATTTGGCCTAACTTCATATAAATACATTTATCTATTGACAACATAATCGCCAATTAAGTAAATGAATAAAAGGTATTGTGATAGCAAAGGTTGTATTTATTTAAATTTATAGGTATAAAATACATTGATTTTGAAAAATGAAGTGTGCAGTGGCGAGTTGAAATAACTATTAAGGAAATATACCAATAAGACGAGTCTTTTCAGATTTACTTCGGATAAAAAAGTTGCCAAACATTTTTTAATTTTTATACGAGAAACGAATTTCATAATCATAATAATTACAATTTTAGAATTATTTCACTATAATTTCATTTAAATAAGTCCTCTGTTATTATTATATGTATATGTTTGTGTATAATATAAGAAACTACTACTGGATACATCGCAATTGCAATCACTCACTTAATTGGCAATTATGCTGTCAATAGATAATAGTATTTATTTGAAAATAGGCCAAAATATTTCCCCGTAATGTTATTCTATTCATTTTAGTAGGATTTTTTCACTATAAAATAATAAATTAAGTTTATTTCCCAAATTAACAAAAGTGTTAATGTTTCTGTTTACATTGTACAAGCTATTTTATGCTTCTTTTTCTCAACTCAAAAGAATTACGTCACAAGATGACGGTTGGGGTAATTTTGTATACTATAATTCTTGCGGAAAACCAGCAGAAACTAGCAAAAGAATATCAAAATGTTTTTTACAATCACTTCATATCAACACTTGAAAATCAATCAATAGAATTTTTATTTTCACAATTCAAAACAATGAAAATAAACAAAATCAAAGCAATTGCGTTAAATATTGCTTGTACATACATATACACATATGCTTTAACAGCTGTTTCTTCATATGGCCGTAGATATTTTCTGCTAGTAGAAATTTCACTTTCATTTTCTGGTGCTCTCTTCTGCTAGTGCCTCCTAGTATTTTGGTCCAGTAGAAACTTTGTTAGCTTCTATTTTTCAAGTATTACTGAAAACACAAAATATTCTATTGAATCCCACATATTACATTACATAGGATATGTACATATACATATGTATGTATGTATGTATTTCCTTACCTTAAGGCCCTTACCTTCCGTATACCTTCTAAACCGAATTAAACGATTGAATATAAGTATCGCCTTTCAAGTTAATTTCATGAGTATGTAAATATTAGTGTATTATTAGAAATGTCATCAGTTCACATCTTTGTAAAGCCTTCATTTATCAAATATACCACTTTCTGCCACCTGATTTTGTACGCTAGGTTTTATATGTACGCACATAAATTCAATTATCAAAGCAAACGTTTTTTCTACCTTTAACAACAAATAAGTTCTTGTTTATATTTTTTTTCACAGTCATAATATTAAGGTACTTCTGGCCGAGGACTAGCTTATGGCGAATATGAAGTTTGAAGAAATATATCCATTCGGCTTAAATTGCACACAAATATGTTAAACAAATGTTAATTAACTTAGAGTATGAAATACAATGCTTTATAATTTTTTTCAGATACACATCTCATAACTTTTTTTATCTTTTATGCCAGTTAGTAAGCGTCTAATAACTTTGATGTTCCCTGGCAGGTTAGGTTGGTGATAGTGTGATGTTTAGATGTTTAGATGTTTAATAAAAAAACAGTATTTTGATGCCTTTGTATTTATTGGAAATATATTTTTAACATTATTAATAAAAGTTTAAGTTTTTAAAGAAATAGATGTATCATTATTGGATAAGTTCATACATACATACATATCTTCACATAAGTGTAGATTTCATGTAAATTGAACAAACAATTACTATAAAAATTTTAAATACAATATTGCTCGATTTTATTTAAGTGTTAAGGTTTGTTGTTAATCTTTTGGATATCATAAAGTTTTTTATCTGGTCTGGGTTTATACTGTTATGCTTAGTTGCTTATAATTAATTGGAGTTTTTCTTCTTACAGTGAATTTGGTTGAAATGTGTTTACATTTGCACATACATATGTACACATGTACGTATGTACAATATGTATGAGTATTGCAGCGTAGTTAAAGATAGGAAGAGCATATGTGTGGGGTGTAAGTCTAATAATTTTTTGACTAGTTGACAGTAATTTTTTGACAATATAATGATTTGTGTACCTCTGGTTGACTTATGAGATGTTTTAATATTGCATATACATACATGTGTTTTTAACGAATTAATCTACAATATTATAAATATTTTATTATATGTGTTTACATATGCTCATATGTTAAAAGAGGCTGGCTTTGGAAAGAAAATATGTTCTAAGACCTGGACCGGTATGTAAAAATAAAACCTGATAATAGATAAATACATATGTATGTATGTACATATTTGGTATATATGTATGCATGTATACCGTTGCTGTTGTCATTTATTTATTTTTTTTATTTCATTAATTAAGATACACAGACATGTACATATCTATGTATTTTATTGTGTGACCTATACGGTGGTACCGAATTGGTTCGCACAACTTCTTGCGGTAGGATAACTTCCTACTTATCCAGAATTGACTCTGATATACTGAACCTAGTAATCAGAGTCATTGGTATGACAACTACCACCTATTGGCATGCCCAGTGATGTCAACTCATCTACCACTCCTCTCCATTTGGTTTGACCCCGTCGAAATATTGCTTTAATTTGAGCTCCCTCGCAAACAGAGTATAGACATTCCGCTACATCAACAATAACAACAAATCGAAATGGTTATCTTTCGATCATATGATGTTTTTTATACGATTACAAACAAAACATGTCTATACCTATATCCCAAAATATTGCCTGTACTCTTATTTATGTATATGCATATGCCAGAACAACTCGTGCAGATCTCTAATGTATATGAAATAAACGTTTGGTATGTCTCTTGGACCGTAGTTGAGGTATGTTAAAGTCTACAACAGTCAGTTTAAGTTTTTATGTATACGTCTGATTATACTATATTTGATTGCGCTTTTTTGCAAGATTTTTGTGACACATCAATATACAGTATATATTATCGGTGATTATTAAAATGTAGAGTTATAATCTCATAGTGTAACTTTAAGATTGTCAAATCTAATCACATTAACATATATCTCTATACTGTCATTATTTAATGCTAATTTATTCTAAATTGTAAGTAATTTATGTTTAGTATTTGTATAAAGGCGTTGGTAAATATGTACGAACCAATTAGTAAAATACAGAAAAATTAGCGATGTTGAATAACAAATTTAGTAATATGTTCTTTGTTCGAGAAAAAAATAAATTGCCTCAACTTGAAGCTTATTGCGAATATTGTATTTTAAATAATCATAAAGTTACTAGAGATTATCCGACTGCATTGGGAAATTTACTGTCAACCGACATTAATTCTTTGATTTTATATACATTTATTCTTGATTAATAGTACTTATGGTAAGTGGTAAATGGACGACATTGAAATTTGTTATAGATAAAGTAATAAAAGGCTTTTGTATATAAATTTTCATTGTCCCTATGGTGTGTGTTACGGTTTGGTGTTATACATTTAGAATTGTCAATGTAAACTGAAAGGTTCTAAATACACATATTTGTAAATACAAAATTCGTTTTTTAAGAAACCATTGGGTGTTTTAGCTCTTCTGGGTGGTCTGTAGGTTTAAGATTTAAGACTCGTAGTACTGGTGTAATATAAACATAAATAACAACTCTAGAAATGTTACCGATTATTTCTTTAGAATAAAAGGTTTGCTCTGAAGAAAATATTAATCTTTATATAAGAAATTAATAATTTACAAATATAACAATTGCTTACCAATCTAAAGACTTTTTGTGATTCCCTAATATTTTGATTTTAATAGATCGAAGAAAAGTGGCTCACGTAGATTTATTAAAGTTTTTGATCTTTGAATAAAATTTCTTACAGCTATAAATATATTTCCACTAATTCTCGATCGATGGTGGTAACTATTTAAATTAAATTATAATATTAACATACATTTTTATGTACATACATATGTGTATAAGGGTCAATAAATATATTTTAGATTATAAGATTTTGGTGTTTATGTAATTACGAACTAGCGCATTTGTAAGAAACGAAAATATCGCTCTACAGTATATGCTAAAAAGTCTTTAATATATATACACGTATATATGATTATTTACTTATTACATGAATATTAATATTGCATAAATTGCGTTATTGTAATACGCATAGAATAAATTGTTAGTTTTATACTTAGAAGAAAATATTTAATAGTTTAATGATTAAACTCGTGGTAGCATTTGTGTTTGATGCAGCTCAATCAGTTCAAAATACGCTGTTTCTTCATAAACAATTTTTATATTTAGAGCCAAAATATACGGGGTTTATTGTCCCCACAGCATTAGTAATAGCTACAGAAATTCATACTCGTACAGTTTTTTGTCTATCTTTTCCTGCCACTCATGTTTTTCCTTTTAATTGAACGAAAACGCTACCAAAATGAATATTTACCGAAAATAAAATATGGTAAACTCCCAACAATTTTCCAGCTAATGTTTGTGATTTGTCACATAGACAGTAGGCACAGATAAACATATATATATGACTGTGTTATTGGGGAAATAGATATCTATCAATCTATAATTATACCATCTCCTTTTTGCTGATCGATTTTAAGAACAATATATATAATAAAAGAAATATACCGATTGTAAAGAATATGATACCCATATACGTACATATATCTTACATAGATAAATAATAACCAAAAAACATTTAATTTCGTTTACTTAATGTATGCTAAAATGCTCATATAAAAAGTTTGTTTGTTAACGTTGGTTTTAGCCAAATGAACAAAGTCGGCTACGGCTTGAGCACCCCTGTTTTGAATGCTTGGCGGATTTTTTTTTTATAAAAAGTGGTAAAAATAAAATTAGTGTCAAGACAATAACAAATAAGGGTAAATAAGATATAAATTTGTAAGCTTACTTTTTATCTACATACATGTATTTTTACTAATTGTATGATAGGGATATTATAAATATGTAACAACGGGACTAATTTACGCATTAGTTTAGCACATACATATGTACGTACTTACTAAATGTACATATATAGAATTTCCTAATTATGGACTATATATTTGTTAGTGTAATAAGTTAATGTATTAGTATTCTACGTTAAAGCATATGGAATAAAATACTTGAATAAATGTCGATTTAAGTTTACAGCTAATATATGTAAGCGTTGTGTCGAAAACACTATTTGCTTTATACTTTGCGTATTGGTTCAATTTTTTGCGACATAGCTGTCAAAACCCGCTGGTTGTCAATAACACGGAGGCAACTAATGTATGACCGTACTTCTCCTTCACTCTTTGGTGATGGTGGCTCCAGTCCTAAAACCAAAAGAAATGTTAAAAATCGATTGAAATATCCCATGAAAGCAATTTACCTAAACTTCGTGAGCGACAGAAGCGAATGGTGCGCATAGTCTGTGCCATCAGATGCATTTTCTCGAAATTAACTAGACCTTCTAAACTAGTTTTATTACCTTCATGGGCAAAAGTCATATCTTTCAGTAAGAGTGGCATAAATGGTATTACTGGCGGTTGCAATTTGCCTACATAAACACGGTACGCACGATGATTGCGACTGGGATCGATGAGAGCTTCGAATTCCTGGAAAAGCTTTCGAAATTTCGAAGGTATTTTCTCCCAGGTTTGTGTGAGTCGCGAAACGGCCATATTTGAAAGGCCCATAGTGATGGCAAAGAAAGCGTTCAGATTCTGGTATTCCTTGCAGCTTTATGATTAATACATTTAGTATATAATAATATATATCGGATAAATTTATATGTGTATATTCTTGCAGGAAAACGCGAACTGGTCAGAGAGAGACAGACAAAAACCAAAAACTAGAGCAATTTCACCAAATTCTTACAAGTTGGTGATAGTTTTAATAACAATTTAGCAATAGCACAGTGGTGTATTTGCTCAATATCCCAATATCATTCGCGCATACTAACTGTAGTGCTGTTTAAATACTTTACTGCACAATGAAAAAAGAGATAAAAAGACAACTAAATTGTGGAAAAACGTTGAAATATCAGACGTCGTATTACAAAATGAAATATAAATAAAAAACCAGTAAGGAAGGTCTGGAGAAAATACCTTCAGGTAAAACTTAATATAGAATAAGTAAGGAAGGACTAAATTCGTGTGTAACCAAACATTTTATACTCTCGCAATTATCAAAGCCGAGGAAACACTTTCAACATTCCATATTGTATTAAAATCAACCTAGTTAAATCAAATGACATACATGTGGTAAAAATCAGCCAAAGCGGCTAAATTCAATATATTGATTATATTTGGAAAAAATCAACCAGTCAAACGAAAATCGTTATATGTATATTCGGTTTAAACCACGGTCTAGACCGATTTAACTCATATTTAGCGCCAAACCACATTGTGTTTATAAAAACATTAAAATATTACATATATTGACCAACATAATCACTAGTCAGCTAGAAAGTAGGAAATCATTATATTGGGTGTATTTGAGCTAGGGTAAGTATTTACTCTATTTTATCCATACCATTACTAGGAAAAGATGATCTCTGAGTTCCATTAAGACCTCAGCTGTTGACCAATATAAAATCAAGCGGATGTTTAAAATCCTTATATTAGGTATATGTGGAAGTATGGAACCGATGCTTTCTATTTTTGACAACACAACATATTATTTCCAGATAACGGTACTCTGACTTTCATTAAAGTACCTCACAGATTGACCGATATATTCGGTAACTGGGAACTTGAAAAGTTATGGTCCGATTTCAACAATTTTGGACCTGTAAATTTTATTTCAATAATATTATTGGCTTTCGATTTCGCACATTTTCACAACATAACATAAGAATTTTCAAAAGATTTCCGTTTAGCATGTTTGAAATATGTTAAGTAATTCTGAGAATTTTCAGCCCACAGATGCTCCTTTCTACCACGATACCTTGTACAAAATAACGGCATTGTATCTTAGTTATTATAATGATATAATTGAAACTTAGTTATATGCTTTCGCTTAATGTCACTTTGTGGGCGTGGCAATGGACCGATTTCGCTCATCTGCAATACGAACCCCCTTGTTAAGGGACACGTGTACAAAGTTTCATCAGGATATCTTAATTTTTTCTCAAGTTATCGCTTGCACGGATGGAGAAACAGACCGACATGCAACATGTTGCGAGAGTATAAAAATTAATATATATCTACATATATTTCCTTTTTCGTTTGTTCTAGTTCTAATATCCTAAATGTTTTTAATATTTGTCGCTTGGCAAACTACAAGTATTCTTCAGTTCGTTCTAGTTCTGAGCTAAAAAATAAACAAGGAAGTCAATTGACAATTCCACAATGATAAATTTGCTAGTTGTCCTGCTCTGGAAGGAGCAAGAACCCGAAGTAATGATTTCCGGTGCCTTAAAAACGAACCAGTTTTGTACTAACGCACTTTCCTGCAGGGTTTATATAGGTATTTGCGGATGTTAACATGAGATTCTATTTAAAAGTACTTTGACTTACTAGGCAGCCAATTTGATAAATTTTCTTAATAATCCAACACGTTTACACATGCTGCTGGTAGATACTATTTCCGTTGCGATCCAGAATTGCAATTCATTAAAGCGACGGAGAAATACATCTAGATTGGCGGTTATCTTAAAGAAGTAAAAAAATAATTAAAATTTATAAAATTAGAATGCATAAAAAATATAATTATATAGATAAATTTCGTATATACAAGATATATTCTGTTGGAATAATTAAAAATGTAGGTAGTTCATTTGAATAGGAAATATGCTCGAATTAGATTAATAGTTGAAAATAGTATCCTTTGTGCTTCATTAATTTTTCATTCGCAAATGTACAGACTTTAAGAATCGAAATAAAATTTTCTCCTCACTTTGCCAAAGTGATGTCTCCCGAATGTTTGATACAGTAGTTCATACTCATGTACTGCCCAAAACAGATCCCAATCAAAAAGTGTCATTTGGTACGCTATTTCTTTGGTGCTCAATATTTCCAAATCAATGTCTATGCCTTCAGTAGGTCCTTCTTGTTCGGGGAGTGGTGTCTAACAAAATTATTAGTAAGTAATATAAGTATTTAGTTTATGTAAATTATTTTATTAAATACACTTGTTACCAATGCATCTAGGTGATCTTTCACTGAGACAAAAAGACGACCATTTAGACTGAGGCTAGTGGGCACACTAACATCATTATCTTTGTAGACTGAACGCTCTCCGTTGGATTTTACTTCGATTAGTACTAGATCTTCAGGACCTCGGTTCAACTGCAGCTTATCGGCAGCGCAGGCTTTTATTATCCCGGCGGTAGTATGCAGCGGAAATCGTAAAGTGCAATATGTGTGATCGGCGCAGTATACTCGGAATATGACTATAATAAGTTACATATTCAACGAATTTATAATGATAAGAAACCATATAACTTACTATCGTCATCGGGACGAATAATAGTTTTTGAAGGTGTAGCATTTCCGCTAAATAAACAAATAGGTTGTCCATTTGGTGGTAGCTTCCATTTCTGTCCAGTGTTTTGATTACGATCCTCTTGGTAGCGTGTCATTTGTGTAAGAACATTATGTATAATACTAGTTTCTTCACTTAGTTCTTGATCGGCTTCTATTTCAGTTGCTAAATCCTTTTAAATGAATTTAAATCACACATAATTTTCATTTGACAGACAATTGTAATTTTAACATTATTTGTTTGTCGAACCTCAATAAAATCACAGACACTTGGTTCGTCGAATGCTGCATGCCGCACGGCCGTCACCCATTTTTGCATGAACTGAACAACGCGCTTCTTGAAGTTAATTATATATTCCCGATCTTCTGGGGTTTGCGAACCATTGTTCGAATCGCAATGAAAAGTGCATTGTAGTTAAGGAATACTAATTTTAACTTTATATACATATATTTATAGGTGTTTAATGACTATTATTAAAATATCAAATGAGATTATCAGAACAAAACTAGTCTATTTATAAAAATATTGAATATTGAGATACTAATAATGCATTATTACTTACTAAATTATCATAAATCATAAATATACTTTTGGGGATCCATTAACACCAAGAAATGCACCTGTTAATTATGAAGGTCTATGATGAAAAAACAGCTACGACTGGAAAGCAATACTCTATTTAGAATATTTATTTAAAAGAAGCAGGATTATTATTATATATTATAAATAAATATAAATTTAATTAAATAAAAATTTTGCTTTTTTGTGAAAGAAAAAAATAGTGGAAAGACAAGCCAATTAAAAAAGCATACGCATATTAAAATTTTAGTTGATCCTGCCAGTTCAATATATATCATAATTAAGAACTTTATGGCTATCTGTATGTTAGTATTTTTTATTTTCGATAATAGTAAATGTATTTTTATTGATCAATCGCTTGCAGTTGATCTAAAATTATAGTATTTATCAATTGCAGCAGCATATATTACGTATGGTTATTGAGTCTTAACCTGAAATGCAGACATTCTATTTGTTTGCTTGCGTTTCAACAATGCTGTTGCCTTATGAAATTTTTATTTAAAACTGTTATCTTTATTTAATTCATTTTGCTAATGGAGATGTACCTCAGAGACAGTTTTGTTATGTATTAGCTGAAATAACTTATCGTGACGATAGTCTTAAACGCTAGTTTATCTAAATAATGTGTAAAATCTAGATATGGTAAATATGTAACTATGTATGAGTAATAACATTTTTGTGTTTACGCTTTTATTTAAAAAAGGATATTAATTGGCAAGCTCATCCACTAACTGCACAACAGGCATGAAAACAATGTGTGTAAGCAAAAAATCGTCCAAAAAGGGATCCAAACCGCTCACTTGATTTCCGAGACGTGTTTCCAGTAAATGTTCTAACATCTTTGATGGTGTTCCCGACATGACCGTATACCTGTTTAAAGTAATCATAGGTGTTAAGTGATACAATACCTTTTTACTATTATAGTCAATTTATTGTTAACGATACAACTGTGGCGGCGGTACTTTGATCACTATTCGAAAGGAAGTGGGTCATATATAAAAGGTAAATTCGGGTTTCGACCCAAGCAAAGTAAAGTTAAACACTATTTATTAGAAGAGATCGGAGAAAATAGTCTTTAATCCTTAAATTGATAAATTTAAAATTTATCCTTATCCAGTGTATCATAATTGTCTGCTTCTCCATCTGTTAAGGAAAAGTTTAGATATAATCTTTAATAATTATGCTTAACTGATATACAAGTGAAGAGAAAGTGTAATGCATACACACATTGCTATATATACATACATATATATATTCTATACCACTTTTTCCACTTAAATAGAAGATTTTTTTCTTACAAAAATTGTGAAATTTTTAAAGACATAATGGGACTCAAATGATAATAATATTACAGACATTTTTTCTGGCATGACTAACATTTTCTATACGTTTCTGAGGACAGAGCTAATTGACGAATACCAGACGATTCAATTTATTTTAAGCTCACAGCCATAAGGGTATAGCTGGGAGCGATGGCGACTTTTTAGGACACCACAGATAAACATCATGCATATTAACGAGTGGTAGAAATGGTGTCAAATGCATTAAGCGAATTTGAAGAAGTACTTGGAACTAGTACAATTAACTTATAATATACCATATTCATGAATAACAAGTTTACATAGTATGTAAAAACAAGGAAGATAAAATGGTGTAGGTATATTTACTCATATTCATATACATATGTAATTGCTTATTTTGTAGAACTTACTTAAATGCCGAATGCTGGCCACGTTGCTTAGCCACTCGCTCCAACACTAAAACATCCTTGCCGTGTTCTTGAAGTCTCAACGTGTTGGCCTCCACATCGCGTAGAATACGATTGAAATGCTCCTTATCAACTCGTAAAAGATGACAATTATTCTCCTTTAAGACGATTGTTGCAGCTCTAAGAGGATTTAAACAGGCTTAGCTCACATCAAAAATGTTCAGATCAACATATATACACATATGCATACAAGTATACATAATATTTATTATTTTATTCATGTTTTGTCGCCCAAGCAGGCTAAGGAGATAATAGAGGGTTGGCGAGGAGATTTCTTACTTTTCGAACGATAATGAAATAATCCATGTCAATGAGATGAAACATGGAATGATTTTTTTCTTAATTCCATCTTAATTAATAGAACAGCTGTAACTCTATACCTACATTGCGATTAGTTTTAGGTGATATAAACAACCGTTAGATGAATAAAACTATTATACTCTGTAGCAACAGGTTACGACAGTATAATAAATAAAAGAAAATGTTATTCCCTTTCATTACTATACTTTTTCTATTCTTCGCTATTATGGTCGTCAATAGCGACTATTATTCATTGTTTTTGCTTTAATTATTACAAAAACCATTTATTTTTGTTGTACTAGAAATTAAAGTAATAAATTATAGAATGTGGGCAACTTACCTGGGAGCATCGTTTATTAATGCGAGTTTACCAAAATCATCACCATTCTTAAGAGTAGCTACAGTACCTTTCCCATGTATTACAACGTCGACAGATCCCTTAAGCAATATATACCAAGAACGACCTTCATCACCTTGATTAAATACTATGTTCAAAGAAATAAAAATATGAATAAGCCCACAATAGCGTAGTGATACATTTCACAATTTTCTTCAATCAACTTTTATTTTTTTACAAACATTTAAAATAAACCCGTGTATTTTGAGAGCATTTGAAAGTAAATCATGAAAGTCAGAAAAATGAAAGGCCTAAACCGAATATTAAATATCCCGCAATTTATATTTTATAATTAATAAACTAGTTTAGGTAATATAGGAAATACCTACTTGTACACAGAGATATTTTAACTTCGAAGTCACTTATCTCTCAACCCAAAAGCTAATTTACTGTCAAAATGTAAATAGAAATTGTGTATTTGTACAGATTGCATTAAATGACTTTAGAACGTTCTTTAAAAAAATTAATATTTTGTATAGACTCGCAATCTTCTTTTCATACAAATAGAAAGCACCAAATTTTGTGTAAGTTAAAAAAATATATATGCCCATTTTACTTGAAGAGCAATCTTAACCTCATTTTTACTAATAACTTTGCGCTATCGTAGCTTCATCTCCATATAGGCTCACAGGTGTTCAATTGGATTGAGGTCTGACTAGGGTGATGATGTGGCAGCACTTTTTTCATAATAGCGATTTCCTAAACACAAAAGAGATTCGTTATCCTGAACAAGGCAGTAACCACTATTTAAATTGAGTTTATCTGCTAATGGAGCCAAATTATTTCGTAATCTAACCAAGTAATCCATTTTTTCATAGTTCCTACGATAAAGACAAGATTGCCAATACTATTCGCTTCCCAAATCATAAGGCAACTTCCTTCCTGCTTAAAAGTACTATTTAAATTTTTATCTTTCAACGCTTCGCCCTTCTTGCGCCATTCTAATCAACAACGATCAGGTCCAAATATATTAAATTATTCCTCATCTAAAATTATAGAATTCACGGTCGATATATTCTTCGTTACGTTTCCCTAATTTTTTTCATCGATAAGTCCGGCTTTTTTTTGAAGTGTAGTTCTAAAATGGAGTGAATGCAAAAAGTGCCGCACAGGCCAACTTTTAGTAAATCACGCAATAGAATTATTAGCGTTAGTGCACAATTTTTTTATTAGTCTTTTAAAAATGAGATATTTTCATTGCATTTTTAAAAGTTTTATAATAAGTCACTTCATAACTAAAACATTTCCCTCTGCTTTTGGTTCACTGTACATATGTACATACATATGTATGTAGAGAATGAGATAGAGATATGAATGTGCATTTGTTTAAAAATAGTTACATATGTATACCTTGGTTTGTTGAACTGTTTAATTAACAATAATACAATTAGATTAAACTTACGTATTGTTCCAGCCTGTGCATGTGATTCAAAAACGATAATGGCGGAGAGTTCGCGTTTTATACTTGTCGACAAATGCGAAAGGGCTGTTATGTGTAAAAGCTCCTCAAAAATAAGTTCAAGTTCTTCGGGAGTTCTTTCGTGTGAGCTGAAATTAATAATTATACAACTAATTGCAAACGTTCATATACATATGGTACGTACCATATAAGAAAAGGGATGTTAGCGAATATATTCGTATACTGATGTAAAGAACTAATACTATATACATATATGGTCAAAAAATAAAAAATATGGTTAAATAATAAATTCTTTATAATGAAGATGTCAGTCAGCTTGACAACACTAGAAGTGTCCATGGCCACGTGTATAAATGAATGTGCATTAGTGTGTGACAACTAATTCTGCACTTTGATATGTACATATGTGTGTACTTACGGCTTTCGTAAAATCATTCGCAGTATTGCATCTGGTCCACGTTGGAAAAGTGTGCTCAGAGACTCTCGAACATATTCATTAGCTGCATTAATATCCTCGGTTGTCGAGTAGCTGCCAGCACTGCCATCTTCGTCAACACGAAAACGGTACAAAAAACATTTATCCTTAAAGGGTTGCTCTTTATTCACTGGAACCGTAAGAAATCGTGTTTTAGAGTAGACTAGTATTTACCGTATACAAATGTACGTATGTATATGTGTGAGCGTGAATGACAAATTAAGCTATGTGAAGGGTTTTACTGAGGAGGTAGATGTTCACGTTCTGCGGCAGCTCCTTGTTTACATTCTTGGTTATTATTCAGGATATGTACATATGTATAACCAACCTATTAAACATAATCTTTAAGAGTAATTTTTATAAATGAATATGTTTAGAAGTCTACCCGAATAAATATTATCAATTTGCTGCAAATTTTGAGTCGGTATCAAAATTATATTGGACGATGTTGGCGAAAAGATCAACAAAATGGGCAATGACAATAACTGATTTTTCCCCAATTTAATCTAATAGTCGGGGCTTACATGCAGTTCAAGAAGTTTACAAGTCTTAACAAACAACTATATATACATATGTAACTAGTTGACCCGGCAAACATTCTTTTGCCATATAAATTATTTTTAGTTTCTAAATAAATTCTAGTGTAGACAAAAATTAACTTACTTACAAGTATTATAAGTGTGTAAGTATGTGGTATATGCGTGAAATAGGCATGGAGCGCTATCAACGATAAGGGAATATAAAAATAACAAACGCCAAACAATATTATTTTTAAGTTATTATAGTTTATTTTTTAATTACGACAGTTATTTTTTAATTACAATGTTATTATAGTCACAACGTGCATTCACGCGATTGGCAAGTGCGCTTTCTGAATCCTCGCCGCTAATGAAGTAGATTTGTAAAAATTTATGTGGTGGGCAATGAGCCCATTTTATGATAAACTTGGCCTCTCATTTTGAATGTAGAATTGTATTGTTGACCATGTATTTCGAACTATTTCTGTTGCTCCAAACGATGTCATTTGAAAGCATGAATTGAATGTTCGAATTGACTTCAAGAATACGTTAGAATCCGGATCCGTGCCAATAAGTAAACCGTTCAATGGTTCTGGTGGTGTTCCAATTTCATTTAGTTGCACTTTTCCTGACGCGCAACCCCATGTGGCTCATTTTTGAATTTGAGAACATGATAATGCGAACATTCCTTATCCATAGCACCAATTACCACTTTTGAATGAGCATAATATTCAATATCTGGCTCATACTGGAACGTTAGACGCCAAAATGAATCAGATGTAAATGCACGATGTACCTGTTGGCGTTGTTGGTCATTTGTTTTGCGTCTATTAACCGTAAAACGGCGTGATTGCCTTTGTTCTAATCCTATAACTTCATTGCGCTCAGCTCGTGTATATTCTGATTGTTCTTGACGCAATTGCTCCATGCTCTCACGTGCATCAGCATTTTGTTGATGGATTTGTTCTTCGGTTCTTTGGGATCTTTTATTTCTAATACTTCTTGACTTACTTGTATTACGGCTCAAATCAGCCTCTTTGGAAATTTGAAAATACTTAATGATGAAAAATGTTATAGTTATAATTACGGCCTAGATTATAGCGAAAATATTAGTTTTATTAAAAAATAGTTCATGAAAAAAAAATTGAAACAAAAGTTGTCAAAAATTGAATTAAAAAAAAATTAATTTACAACTCAAAATCCGTTGTTTGTGACACGTGTTGAATACTTTTAAGATTATGTAAATCAATTGTTTAACTAAAACTTGATTAACTGAACTAATCGTTGCAAATACACTTGAAATTAATAATTTTATTATTATGAATAAAATAGTAATAATTAATAGTTAATATAAGAGTTACACTGAGATAGTAATATGATAATTGTAAACGTAGTAGTAGTAACTTGATACATAAACAAAAAACACTTATCAATTAGGGGTATGAAAAATAAATAGTAGCCGATTCTCAGACCTACTGAATACGCATATAAAATTTTGTAAAAATCGGTCCGTCCGTTTCGGAGGAATACGGTAAATAACATTGTGACACGAGAATTTTATATATTAGATAAAGAAAGCTGTATAAGAACCAAGCAAAGCCATTTGAATCGATTCCAACATCTACACACCATTTAGGAAAACCCCACTACGTTATTAAAAACAATACTTTCTGTTTGTACTCGCAGACTAACCATGGGATAACACCCCTTCTTCGAGCAACGCTTGCCACATGCCAGCAGCTTGGGCCCGAGTATGAACAATAGATGATAAATTCAACAGCCAATCCACTAATTCTGTTCCTGGTGCACATTTTCGAATAAATTTACCAGCTACCTGTAAGAAGAAATAAGTACATACGTTCGCTTATGTACGTAAACGTAAACATGATACTACATAGTATACATAGTATTAGTTCATACATAGAAATTAAAATAATGTTATATTTTTGTATATTTTTCTATAGAAATGTTTCAACTTGAACATTTATATGTAAGTATACAGTTTTAAAATAGGTAGGAATAGAAATAATTAATTAGCCGAGTAAATTGGTTGCTTGTATTCTTACTTTAGATAAGAAGGTTATGCATTTGTATATAAATTTTTACATACAAAATAATGTCTCAAAATTCTGGGTTTACCACTTACTTTTCTATCCTTGAGACAACTTGAACCATCAGCAATAAGGAGTGTACGCAAGGCCCATCCCATTCGACTCATAGTAGAACTCGGAGACTGGCGAAGACGGATGTATTGGATGTATAATTGCAACATGGTTGTGATGGTAAATAAGAAATTATTAATATACCAGTTATAAAGGAACGTACGATCAATATGAGAAAAGCTGAATATGTTCATTTTAAATGTACCCGTCGGCGTTAAATATATGTAGTATCAAAAATATTGTATGTGATATTGAAAAACGCCTTTACCTCAGAAATAGGTAAAGCGGGATTCGGATGATCTGGACTTAAAGGACGCTTAGTTGGGGACGAAGCAATTGGTGAAACTCCGGAACCGAATCCTTGGAAACAAGATGTAAATACAGAGATGTTAAATTGATAATATTAAAGTTTTCTTATCCTTTATATATGTATGTATATAATAACTCACTGTGAAACCAAACTTTATTACCTCCAAAAAAATATAAATACAAAAAAAAAAGTGATAAATTAAAAATAAGTTAATTTTATGCAAATAACTAGCACAGAAAAAATCATGGTACTTCTAGTAGGTTTTTCATAATAATTAATATTTTAGAAGTAAGGAAGGGCTTAACTTAAAAAGATATAGAGAGTCTGAATCCATTATATTAGGGATATGGGTTGTAGATCGAGGTCTAGATCGATTTCATTCCTGTTCAGCCCTAAACTATATAAAGTTTAAGAAAATTAATTTCCTGAAAATGTCTTACATATTGATCAACATGAATGGTTTAAAGCCAGCTGGCTTGTTGGAATTCACTAGGTTACGGGAGGTTACGGGAAGATCTGGATTGATTGCATTAACTTTTAGCACACATTTGTGTAAAGTTATTCCGATATCGTCATTGGTGCTTGATTTATATAATGTAAAGTAAAGCAATGAGAAGGAATTTAAAATTGTGTTATATGGGACCTTTGTAGTGAGTTTTCGGCCATTTTCCCATTATAACATAAACATTTCAGGATAGTGTTTTCCACTAAATTTGGTTGAAATTGGTCGATAAGCTATTTAGATATAAGATTTCCCCTAAATGTAGGCAATACCACAAAAATTTCAAATTTTACATCGATTCTTATTGAGTCCTTCCGTAGCATTTTTATTATGGGATTTATTGGTTCTGATGTGTTGTTTTATTATCGCAATTTCAGTAGTTTTCAACAGGGCGATTAGCAGTGGTTATCATCCGATTTCACTTATTTTCATACTGTATGAGGTGGGAATAGAAAAACTTGTAGCCAGTTTGGTTGATATAGGTAGTTTAGTGGCTTGTGAGGTATGTACTGTAAATTTATGGGCGTGGCCACTTAAAAATCATTGGGTATATATGTACATATTTCGCAATATCTATTTCGATTAGTTGCAAGTGCTACAAAAAATCGTTAGGTGAATATGGGCCGTTTTCTCAATGTCTGGTTAGCAAACATCTGTCAGTTAAGTTATTTTGTGGCAACATGTTGCGAGAGTATAAAAATATAATATGTTACGGAAATTGATCTATATGTTCTTCGAAAGCTCTTGAACGAAAATTGTGCGTTCCGTTAAGGTTGAAATTATTTCTACCGCTACTTATTGTTGGCATCAGTTTTTTCCAAATTCCAACAAAGCACCGTTCATCGAAAAATAAAAATGATAAAATTAATAATGTGCTGGCACACTTTTAAATGAAAAATATCTAGATGTCACGAAGGACAGGAGAGAACAACTTTTTGTGCTATAAATTTGAAAGTTTCTTTCATGACCTTGTTATATGCGCAACGTATTTTCTACTTATTTAACATATTCTTTTTTTATTTCCCAGCATTTTTATATTAAAAAGTAGTAGTTTTTGAGGGACAACAAAATTCATCATAACAAGTCAAAAAAAGAGCTAAATTTGGTTGTAACCGAACATTTTTTAGAAAGGAAGGATCAAAGCCCGGGCAAATATCGTTAGGTGTTGGCAAATCCTTTTAATAAACAAGACAACTTGTAAACTTCGGCTACACCGAAGCAATAATAGTCTTCACAGCTGCATTTTTTATGGCCACTGCATGTAACATATAACTAAACGTGGAAACATAACCGGTCAACGGTTTGATAGTTCCTTACAGCCACGAAGTAATATATTCAAAAGATCTTATTCTTCATTTTGATCCCTCAATTTGTTCGAAGAATGCAGCGTTATCTTAGGTAATAATCTATGCCAAATTTCGTGAAGATATCTTGTCAAATAAAAATATCTCCATACAAGGGATTGATTTCGACCGGTAAGTTTGTATGACATATATATGCACTATGGTAGTCCAATATCGGCGGTTCCGATAAATGAGCAGACAGGCGTGGCTAAGTCGACTCAGCTCCTCGCGCTAATCATTTATGTATGTATGGTATATATATATAATATAACTTTTTATCTATCTCTATTACTTTTAGGTCGTACAAACAACCATTTAGTGAAAAACTATTATACTCAGAAGCAGCATGTTCCAAGAGTATAAAAATTGCGGATGCTTGTCAAAGATGAGAGTTGCACAAATTTGCTTTATTTTTATTTTTTCCCTTCAATGTGAACGAACTCATGTGTCAAAACAGAAGCCTGAAGCAAAGCGAAGCAAAATATGTATATGAATCAGCCATTAGCGTTTAATTACATATTTTTTCCATATAGTATTACAGTGTGCCAATTTCTGGTACTTTAGAATTGAGTCAATTATGGTATGTTAAGTGGAGTAAATACAACTGACATACATTTAAATAATAATTACTACTTAATTCATTATGTAACTTACCATTTTTCAATTTGCAAGTTGTAATAATGTCATTCATCAATTCTTTATTTTTCTGTAAAAGCAAAAAACATATTTTAAAACCAAATATATTCCATATCCAACAAATTGTAAAAATTATAACAAAGTAAAGCAATTTTTCTATTGACAAGTGGGAATGCCTAAGCTGAGCCGGACTAAATTATCTTATTATCTGGAGTGTCCAGGAACACATTTGGCAATTTTTTTGATGATCTGGGTTTTAACTCAATTTATTTGTTGTACGAATGACTAAAGCTATAATAATAACGGTGAATATCACATGATATGGAATGATGAACTTCCAACTCTTTTTTAAGTTCAGCAAAAGTAAGCAATATCACCTAATTCAAAATTAAACATAATATATTATATGTAGACTTAAGACACTTAAAAAAATGTGGAAAACGGTTGGCCTCAAGGGCCATCCCTGCAACTTCCCTCTAATTTCATACGCTAACGTTCAAATTTCGCTTTTTTCACTGCTTTTGAGCTCTTCGAAATTTTTCGTTTTCGATATCTAGCAAGTAAATCAACCGATTTCGACCCGGTTTGCGGCAAACGATGTGTTTCTTCAAGGTTTAGAACTGATTAGTTTTTGGTGTCGATCGGTCAAGTCGTTTGGAAAAAATTCGAAAAAAACGATTTTTCAAAATTTTTATTTTTGAGATTTCTCGAAATCTACTGGTCCGATTGGGTCCAAACTTACACGAAATTCAAGTGCAATGAAACCCTTTGGAATGCCGTTTAGTTTATTTAAATCGGTTGAGCAGTTTAATAGTTATAAGAGGATCACATACATCCACACACACACACATACATCCACACATACGGACATCATCGTAGAAATGTTCGGGGAAGCTTCCTCGACCCTCAGAACGTCGAGATCTGTTGAGAACTCGATTTTTGCAAAATGGGGTGAAACCAATATCTTCCCGATTTTTAGAAAATTTTCCATTTTCTTAGCGGGAAGTTAAAAAAAGGTGTTGGGGAAAGTATGGACTGATATATGTATGAATAACGTTACACTTAGCGAAAATTTCGACTTAATTTTTTTCAGATATCTTGTCAATGTGGCTAGGAGAATGTGTGGACCGAATATTATCTTCGAAACGACTCTATGCCCAGAAAATATGTCTAATTAATTTCTTTAATTTCATTTTCAGGTATCGAATGGCAGTAAGTTGAGCGAAGCATTGGCACCAAGTAACATTATAACTTCAATTGATTCAGCTATCTATAATAAAAACCTAAGGTCGCAATATTAAGTGTCGCTCTATCCGTTATATTGAGAATAGACGCAAACACATACCAACATCAATGTTTAGCACCAAGTCACATTATGCTAACTATAACATCAGCATATAATTTTGTTAAATATCTAATTCACAAAGTGATATAAAAGTACATAGACATATTATATGTGTGGCATAAGTTCAGAAGTTATTTTGAGGCAAAGTATTTAAAATCTTCACCAATACGTAAGTAATGGCAAAGTAAAGTAGCATATGCGAATTCAATACATCTTTCTAAGTGAAATAGACGAAGAAATGTCATATTTTGCCTATTGTTTTTGTTGTGGTTCGTAGTTAAACTGATTATTGAGTAATAACAGTTTAAGTGTAAGTAATAAATCCGTTTTGTCGGTATTTCAAGTATCTGGTTTCGCTCAGGGAGTGAGTGCCACATATTCATATGAAACATTGAATTTATCTTGATTTTTTTAATGAGCAATGATTATCGAAACTCCCTGTACAACCTGAGGAGAGTTCTCATTACTTTCCTTTCCTTTATAATTGCAGCACTTACAAGTAAAATTTAATAAGCCAAACGTTCCTAATATTACAAAAGTACGGATATGTGTGAATCTGTACTTAGGAAAAAATGCACAGCACTCAAAATTACATCACACCTCCCATGCGGAATTTATAATAAGTACCTCATCGGACGAATCAATTCAAAAACAAGTAAGAAAGGGCTAAGTTTGGGTGCAACCAAACATTTCATACTCTTGCAACTTGCCAGGATCAAAGCCGGTGAAATACTTTCAAGTGTAGGCAAAACGTCATATTTAAAAATGTCGCGAAAGATTTCAACATTCATTATTTGACGAAATTTAATTCTAAAGTTTTGTATTTTATAAATTATATTATAACATAGGTCATAGACTCAATTACAATAGTTTTATAACTATATTTTACTAGTGAACATTATTTTAAAATCATCCTCTAATGAGATATATCTGATATAAACTTAACCGAAAAAACGTCAACCAAAGGATCGAAATTCGTTATATTAGGGATATGAGGTCTAGACCAAGACCAATTTCATTTACCTCGAGTGTCAAACAATTAATATAGTTTTATAACTTTTAAGAAAATTTGTCGACTTAATTTCATTAAAATATCACACATTTTGATGAACCTAAAAAGCTGATTTCATTAATTTTTGACATTGCTTATTATATATGGTGTAAAGCCATTTAAAGGCGTTTCAAAATCCTAAATGTCAGTTATATGGGGACTAGGGCAAGATTTCGCCTGTTTTTATCAATTTTAGCCACAAACTTACACTGTTATTAGAAAAACACGCTCCCTCAGTTTCATTAATATAACTAGCACATTGATCGCTATACGTGGTATAAAATCAATTGGAAATTCGAAAATCTTTAAATTAGGTGTATGGGGGCTAAGGGAAGTCTTGACTCGATTCAACCAATTTTTAACACACTATCATCAAGAAAGGATTATCTCCTGATTTTAATTATATATTTCACACATTGACCGATATTTTCGGCAAAAAGTCAGCGATACGCACTGGGGTCCACGTATTCGGTATGTGGGGGCTTGTACACTTATGATCCGATTTTGACAAAATTTAGGCTGGAGATGGCAATCCCCTAAGACACTATTTGTGTAAAGTTTTATCTGAACATATTCATTGGTTCTTGATTTGTGTACTGGAATGTGAAAGAATCATATGGAACTTAAAATTGTGCTATTTGGGAAGTACAAAGGCGGGGTTGTAGTCCGATTGCGCCCATTTTCACAAATAATGTTATGTGCAGAATTTGGTTAAAATTGGTCTAGTAGGTCCGGAGATATGTGATTTTACCTAAATGTGAGCGGTGCTACGCCCATCGTCCAATTTTGAGCCCGACTCCTATAAAGCCCTCTGTTGTCATCCTGGGTGTACAATTTAGTTATCTGACACATTTACTAGTTATTGATTTATTGCACTTTTAGTAGTTTTTAACAAAACCGATTTACGGGAGAGCGTCGGGTTATAATCCGATTTCATCTCATCGGGGGCGAATTTGATTGTTGTAGCTTTAGTAGTTTAAGAGCTATGTACATTAAACCTATTAGAGAGCGGGGCACGGCCATTTTTTCAAAAGTTTTAGCCCAAAGGTACCACTGCAATCCCTTGTACTAAATTACATGTTTATATCTTAATTTAGTGCTTAATTATGGCATTTTTTAGCTTTTCGATTAATATCGTTTTGTGGGCCTGGCAGTGCTCCGGTTACTGCGCACTCGCCCTTTCTCTTTTCCCAAGTAACATGTGTATAAAGTTTCATTACGACATCTCAATTTTACTCAAGTTACAGCTTGCACGGACGGACGGACAGACAGACATCCTGTTCGCGCTTATCTGGCATCACCTTTATAAACATATGTTTAAAGCTTGCTGGGCAGCACTTATGTGCTGCTCTCAAAATAGCTCTCATTTTTTCGCTCTCTTCAATAAAGGATTTCGAACAGATAGGTCGTGTTTAATTTTAATCCGCAATAATCCACTTTAATTTTCCGCATCTAATGCTACTCCGCGCTAAATGCTATCAAACGCTATTTGCAATCTAGCAAAGTGGATGCTCTATCGGTAGACAACGAGGTTATAACGACTTACTCCCAATTGTTTGAGGAGCAATGGATTCGCTTTTGCGTAGCGCAACAAGAAGTGGAGCTGACATGTGGAGACGAGAACGTTTCCATGGAGGAGCAGGTACCCATACAAGGTGAGGAGTGGTACCTCTAACCTGAAACTTCTGTGTGTAACTCAAATAGCAGACATTGCAAACTACCGCTCAAGATTTACCTGTACCACTTCCAAAACTGCAGTTGCCTTCATTTAGTGGTGATCCCACTCAATGGCTTTCTTTTCATGACGCCTTGGGACTTATTGACCGCGAGGTACAAGGTCATGCGGATCATGGTGGACAGCCACATCAAAGTAATCCATACTTCAACACGTTGGTGCTCTAAGTGCGCTCGAACGACCAGTCGAATTCTGGGATGACTGGCTCATTCACCTAACCGTTTTAAAGTTAGCACACGAAACCCAATGGGAGATGGTACCGCTACTCAACCCTACCGCAAAGACAACGACAACAATAAAGACTGTCTTCTATACGCCATTTACACCGCACATTACGCCGAAAGGGTGAACGGGGTACACCAATGGCACAAAACACTGTTTTTGGATGGGTACTGTTTCGTAACGCTGCGAATTTTCAAAGCCCACCGGTGAACATTTCAACTTTACATTCCGACATTCATTTAACTGAACTCATCCACATGTTTTGGGAACTCGAAGAGTTACCTGCCCGCAAATTCCTCTCACCTGAAGAATCTATGTGTGAGAAACTATACGATGATACAACCGAATGCATCAGATGGGCGCTACATTGTGCGATTACCATTGAAGAAACCCGTATTGATAGGTGAATCAAGAGAAGCAGCTATTCGAGCATTACTCCGCATGGAAAAAGGATTTGCAGCTAACGAACGACTTCGAAAACTCATCTCTATGGGACACATGGAACCAGCTGAGATGGCAAGAGATAAAGTTTACTACATGCCACATCATGCGGTGGTAAAGACCACTAGTCAAACTACTGAACTGCGAGTAGTTTTCAACGCATCTAAGTAGTCAACATATGGGAATTCGTTAAGTGACGCTCTCATGGCCCACAGCTACAGCAAGATCTATTGGAATCATAGCCGACATCGAAAAGATGTACCGCAAGGTTTATGTCGCCAAATAGGAGTCTGGCGTTTGAATGACTTACTAACTGGTGCTGATACCTTTAATTAACTCGCTTTACTTCAAAAAAAACGTTTCCCGCGCACTCTCTGAAAGCGGGATCGAACTACGCAAATGGGGAACCAATTCTCAAAGGCTTAGAGATCTGATACCGCACGCATCTAAACAAATTTCGCATCTCTTAACCGATGGAGACCAAACCCACACTCTTAATACAATATGGCACACAAACCATGATTGGCTTCCTATAGCAGTGAATTCTGACGACTTGCTTAACAAACTTACTTTTCTTTCCGATTCAAGTAAAGTATTCGATTCACTGGGTTTGATTGCGCCTTGTACGATTGGATTGGGATGAATCAGTTCTTTTAGAAATTGCGAAGGACTGGTTGACACATCGTCGTGAATTACCGCAACTATCCACGCTAAAACTAACCCGCTGATTGGGTACTAGCAAAACATCTGATTCTCAGTTTTACATTTTTACCGACGCATCAGAAGTCGCATATGCAGCCGCACGCAGTCTCCGGACCCGGACGGTACGATTAGGTAGCGAGTAGCGCCTCTGAAAACTACCTCATTACCATGACACGAATCAAATCGGAACTATACATTCTCCAAATTATACACATGGACGGACTCAATGGTTACACTGACGTGGTTACAAGGCAACCCTAGCCACTGGTCAGTATTCGTGACCAATCGTGTTGCTGAAGTACAAGATGTTCTACCAGCAACACACTGGAGACACGCCGCCTCAGAGCACAATCCCGCTGATTGCGCCTCAAGGGGCATATTACCGTCGCAACTTCTCGTACATCAACTTTGGTGGCATGGTCTCCAATGGCTACTTGTGTACAACAATAGTTGGCAGATCTCTGCAGAACCTCATGCAACTGATCTCAAACTAAAATCTAGCAAGACTATAACACTGCTGACGGAACCCGCTGACGTAGTATCATTCATTCAACCAACTTAAACGCATCACCGCTTATTTATTACGCTTCACCAATAATGCATGGTCTAGTGCCGAGATACAAAAATATGGCTATTTATCCTGCGCTGAAAATCAAAACACTGAAATAGCACTACTAGTATTATTAGCATTACTTAGTATACACAGTCTATCACTTTTAAAAAGGAAATTTCTCATTGCCAATATATATACGAATAAATATACGAAGCAGTCTAGCATGACTGCAACCGTTTCTAGACTCTAAGGGTATCTTACGTGTAGGAGGCCGCATTCAAAACGCAACGCTATCGTTAAACTTCCTATAATAGTGCGAAGAAATCACCGCTCGCTAAATGAATCGCGGTAGAAATACATTTTTTACCGTTACATGGTGGATCTCAGATAATGCACGCTTCAACGACGATATTGGGTACCACGCATTCGTAACCTCACCGTGGTATGTATTGAAAATGCATTCGTTGCAGACTACTGAGTTGCCAACCATTACAGCAGCTCATGGCTAAGCAGCTTCTAAGCCGCGTCACTTCAACCAGCTGTTTTCTACATAGCGTAGTCGATTTCGCTGGTCCTTACTCCGTGAAGTTTACGCATGGAAGAGGCGCAAAATCTACAAAGGCATAAATTAGGCTAATTTATATGCATGAGTACTGGTGCAATGGTGGGTGGCTTCTGGGAGGCTGGTGTAAAACGAATCAAATATCACATTAAACGTGCCTTAGATACTTCGCTTCTAGCTTATGAAGAATTTGCAAGAGTACTAACTGAAGTTGAGCCTGTGAATTCGCGCCCTATTTGTATATATTCCTACATTTCATGATTGGCGAACCACTAAAGGTATTTCCAGATCCTCACGTTGAAGCCTTAAAGGGAACAATATATCAAGGTTGGCAAAGCATTGTGTCGATTAGACAACACTTCTGAAGTCGATGGCGAGACGAGTATCTTGTCAGTCTTCAACGTGATTGGCATTTCTCCAGGCAGAGAATATAAAATATGCTGATATATGAAAATGCTCAATTCTGCTATTTTTCAGTCCCCTGATGTTAATTGTGGCCATTTGGTGAAACACGCTCATCGTTTTCAGTACCCCTGCGTAAAGTAAAATATTTTGCTAATGTCCGCACTGTGAACCTTCTCTATAATCTACATTCTCTGCTCCAGGGACGGATGGTCAAGTTCGGGTTGTAAACTTGAAGACATCCGAAGGGGAGTTTATGAGGCCAGTGATTAAATTATTGTTACTACCAACAAAAGGGGACATGTTTTCTATATGATATTCTTAGATTTTAATTGAAATTGTAATTTTTTGAACGGTCGTTCAAGGCGGCCGGTATGTTGGCGCCTATCTGGCATCACCTTTATAAACATATATTTAAAACTTGCTGGGCAGCACTTATGTGCTTGCTGTCAAACTGACTTCCGTTTTTTTGCTCTCTTCAAGAAACGACATGGATAACATGGATAAAATGATCCGAAACTCTTTGATTTTAGAGAGCGCTGTCAAAGTCCACATTTTTTATAAAGCGGCCTTTACACGGTCATTCATGTTTGCAAGGTGCACTTTGTGCCGTTTCACATTGGGACTCAAAAGAGTCTCATACCAGTTTATTGTGGACGAGGGGACGACGAGGAAAGACGAAGGGACCGTGCCCCTCGTGTTCGGGTGGCACGCTTTGTGTTCTTGTTCGTAACAGCTCGCTGCTACCTTTTTCAGCATTCCTTTTCACTTTCAAATTCTTTGAATGGTTGCAAGAGCGCTCGGTTTCAAATGAATTCGATCGCAAATTTGAATTCTGTTATCTATTTTTTGTAAGTAATATGCAAATACGTATGCATAGAATAATAGAAATATTATGACAAATTGTAAATAAGGAGAAAATTAAGATATATGTAGATATGGAGTAAATAAATTATGAATATTTAATACGGAGTAAAGAAATTATGAGTTTTTAATACTTAAAGATTAGGAAATTCCTATTATAAATTTGGCCTTGAAAATATTAGTAGCGGATATTCAATACATTCTTGTGGATTAGGAAATTCCCGTCTTTAGTATTTCTTTGAAACTATTTAGCGGGTAGGTACTTGTATTATGCATATTGTTCTACCATATTCATGGTAATTCATTGCAAGCAAAATGTGTGACCATCATCTCAACATACAAATGAAATACGCAGCACGCAGTGTTGCGCAGTCGAACCGCACAAATATTTACGAAAATTTTGTGAAAAGGAATGCAGAAAAACTTGACTCGAGTTGCTGGACTCTTTTTGACCGTGTGAATGCCCAGAGCGACACCAAAAGAAAATTTGAAAAACATCAGACTCTTTTGAATCCCAATGTAAAAGCACACAAGCATGTGCGGCGTGATGAGAAGAATGAGCGTGTAAACATAATAAATTCGTGTTCGTCATACATGTGCGATGGTTTTTAAAAATTTTTAAAAACATGATGTTGTTATGAACATGTTTTATGGTGTAAACGCTTGCATCATGCACGCAGTATATTTTTTCAGTCGTAAGCAAACATTGAAGCGTAATGACGTCACGGATAAACGAAGAACTGTGGAAGGACTTCTTTTAAAATTTAAAAAAAAAATCATAAAAAAAACATATGAATAAAAATAATTATAACAAAGAAACAATACAAGTCATAATAACATATCATGGTTTTATGATGAACGTTTTAAATAAAATTTAGTTGCACGTTATTCAAAAGTATTTGTGTCGTTCCCTGAAATTTCGTTTCGCACTGCTTTTGTTAGCTATTTTTAGCGGGTTTATTTCTGGCATCCCGCCTTTTTTAACATCAGCTGTTCGAAATTCCCTGATTTTAATAATCAGGGAAAGCGAATAACAGAAAAATCAGAGAAAATGAGCCTCGCTTCATGTCATCCTTGTCATTTCATCCTTATCCATGATTTCATCCTTGATGTTGCTTCGTTCACAAATAACAGAGAAATAATGTATGATTGCATGTTCGACCGTTTAAACGAAAACCAGTTTTTTTTTTGCATCATATCATGTTTGCATACAAAAATGACCGTGTAAAGGCCGCTTAACATTTGACAGTGGGGCCATTAAGGAAAGAAATAAGTTTTGAGATTTTTAAATGTTTTTCTTGGGTATTTTTCGGTTTCCATTTTACAGAAAAAAATACATAAATAAAATTAGTTTAACAAGCTAGATATCCTATATGAGTTCTAAATATAAGTACATGTATATTTTAATCACAAAAGATTTTTAAAATTAACGTTTAAAACTAAATTTACCAAAATATTTTAATATATCAAAACACACAAGTTTTAAATAACCTAAACATTATCCTTATTTCCTTTTTATATACTCAATAAACAAATATCTTTTGATAATTTATTCGGAAGTCAAAGTTTAAAATAAATATAATATAATTATTAAATTTGATAATTTTCCCCTTGTTTCGCAACTACACATTTCATACCAAACAATATCCTAGGCCAATAAATATGTTACTTACTTCCCAAATAAGTCGAAAATCTTGTTGTTCCACACGAAGCAACTCGCAAGTGGTTTTCGTGACAACAGTGCTATCTCGTGGTAGTTCATGTAATATGGACTCCCCGAATGTAGCGCCCACACTAAGATTGTACAAACTTACTGGTGCCTGTAATAAAAAAAACATAATTTCTTAGTTTTACAAATTTACATACATATATAAATATGTAATTGGCAAAAAGAACTTTATTTCATTAATCATTACATACCATCAAACAAACATTTATTATCTAAGTGCAGCTTTTACAAACAAAGTTATTTTAGTTTTGTTCAATGAACGATTTCCATTAAAAGCACGGTTTGTTCTAAGTTCTACTTCGATATCTTCATTAATGCTTGATTTACATTTTGTAAAAGAATCTAATTAAATTCAAAATTGTGTTAAATGGGAAGTAGAATACTACCCAATTTTCGTTTAAATTGATATAGTCGTTGCTGTGGTATCTGGTAGGATACATTTGATTTACCAGATATGGTAAATACCTATGTATATGTACATATGTACATGTGTAAACTGTAAATGGCGAAAATTATTATTCGAATGTCATTTTAATACGAATTTTTGATAGAAGACTCCTATTGTGATCCTACGGTTACGCTTGATTTCACAATTGGTTTGTCAGACCGGGGCAGTTAAGCATTCAAGTATGCTTCGATGACTAATTACATGTATACATACCAGGTCGTACATACATATGTAGCGTGTAGAAGTAGACACGGGTGTTATGACGATGTTACGGCGTATGCCATAGCTAGTATTTAAACATCTGCAAGTGCAGTCAAGCGCCAATCAATGTGTGCATGCATCTCCACGGCTAACGCGATGGCTGGCATTTTGGCATACAACAATTTCATTGCAGTGGTTTTACATGGCTGTTCGTGTCAGTACCGAAGGGCCAACATGTTCATTTAATTAAGCGTTCAATTTTCTCTACGTACTTAGCAAAATACTTATTAAACGCATTGTATTTAAGATTATGTACCAATTATACGCAATTTATTAATGAGTGGTTTTTACATACATATTTTTGCAATCGTTAGGTGAACAAAACTATTATTCACAGTTGCGAAAGTTTAAAAATATTTTAATTACTTTTGCCTTCCCTTGAGTTTACTAATAGTATATGCATACATATGTACACAGGATTGGCAATTTATTACACATTCATACTCGTACATATGTACATATGTATAAAGAAACGTGAAATATTTCGTTTACTTACTTTGGCATCGTTCTCTGAAGCATGGTAACGAACTTCAAGCGACCCACCTAGAACGGCGTACCAAAAACGACCCTGTTCACCAGCACGAAATACTGCAAAAGTAGAAGCAAACAGTTTTTGATATGATAAATACAAATTAATATTCAATGTAATAAAACAATTAAGGAAGAGTTAAAATCGTAGAGAACAGAACATTATGCACTCTCTTATAAATTCAATGATCGTTATTAAATGGTATTGTCAATGGATTACATACAATCAACATATCGCAAATCATTATATGGTGTTATATGAGAAGTAGGCGTGATTTCGCGTATTTTCAAACATTAGTATAAGAATACTAAGGAGAAATATATGCTAATATTAGATCAAATTGGTAAGGTTAATGGAAACAATAAAGTGCAAGGACAGGATGAAACTATCCAGGTTATTTTATAATCATATAAACAAACTTCGTAAGCAAAACCTACTGGGCAACATGTTGATAAAACAATGCCACATATTTGTGGTTAAAACAAGGTCAATAAAAGAGATGCCACTCTAACTGCATATGTAGTATGTATATCAAACAGTAGTTTGCACTCCAGTAACAAATAATGATAGAGATAATTTTATTATTCTTGCCCGAGACGTCCTTTCGAACTGAAGTTCGACTGGTCGCACCTGTAGGGCAAAAACAAGGCGTAAGAACAGAGTTGCCATATTACGCGTTTTAATGTAATTAAAAAATAATTAATCAGAATTAAAAAGTTGTAAAGAATATCTCAATTAAATATAATTTTGTAAATACAGAGTGTATTCTATGATTCTATGCACTTTTTGGATGGAAAATACTAAAAAAGTTATTTAATTTTATAAGCTTACATGTCACACCCTTTTCTAAATCCTCATAGAAGCCGCACATGGCTAATTGCTGCAGTGCCGAACTGGGCAGACGACACAGTGGCTCCACGCGTCGCAGACGACAGGATATCAGTTCAGCATCGCGTAAATTGCGATCACAAGGACTGAAAGTACATAAAAAAGTTAAAAGTATTTAAATAAATTTTCATATCATAGTGGTAATATACACATTCAAAACTAACAAATACATTTAAAGTTGGTAATTCGATGACATACATATGTACATATCTTCACGGTGGTAAACCGTTGTATACCGATATAAGTAATTCGGACAACTGGTCAAGACCAGTTTACTTAAGGATATTATGAATTTCATATTTTGAAAATTGATCTACAAAATAAACGCTGTCTTTTAAATACTTTGTAAAAAAAATAGTTTAAAAGAAGTAAGGAAGAGCTAAGTTCGGATGTAACTGAACATTTTATACTCTCGCAAAGTCAAATGGTACACTCGTTTGAGAAAAATTATGTTATTACTCATTGATCGACATTTTCTTCATAAAACTGGTTAGAATAACGAAAAGCATTATAAGTAGTGTATGGACGTTGAGGTTATTATTAACAGGATTTTATCAATTTTTGCCAATACCACATACTACTAACATGCCACAGACTAACATACCTAACATACCATCATCCAGTTCAGACGAATGTTCGAAAATCCTGATAATAGTTACATGGGGGCTAGGTAGAATGTTCACCCGATTTGATCCATTTTAGGCACATACCTTGTTATGAGTAAAAAACACTCTCTCATTTTCATTGAGATAACTCATATATTGATCGATATATGCGGTAAAAAGTCAATTATAGGCACAGGGGTCCACCTATTCAGTACCTAGGGGCTTGAACAGTTTTGGTTCGATTTAGACAATTTTTGATTCCAAGGTAGCATACTTTAAACGCATTATTCAAGCAAAGTTTTACCCCGATACAATGCTTGATTTGCATAGTGGAAAGTGAAAGAATCAGATGGAATTTAAAATGGTGTTATATAGGAAATAGGCGCGGCAGTATTCCGATTTCGCCAATTTTCGCACTGTAATATAGAAATATGAGAAAACTGTTATGTACCGAATTTGAAATCGGTTAATATAAAAAAATATATCCCTTTTTCCTTACTCTACGAATAAACTGTTAAAGTTAAACCTTTTTTGAGGGCTCTAGGCTGGCCTTATCCCTTAAGAAATTTTAAATTCTTAAAAATTGTATAATGTTTTAACAACAAAAATAACATTTGTATACTCTCGCAATATGCTGCTACAGAGTATAATAGTTTTGTTCACCTAACGGTTGTTTGTATCACATAAAACTAATCGAGTCAGATATATGGTTATGTATATAGAAATGATCAGGATGAAGAGACGAGTTGAAATCCGGGTGACTGTCTGTTCGTCCGCCTGTGCAAGCTGTAACTTAAGTAAAAATTGGGATGTCTTTATGAAACTTGGTACAAATGTTTCTTGGTATCGTAAAACGGTTGGAATTGTAGATGGCCGTAATCGGAACACTGCCACGCCCACAAAACGCCATTAATCAAAAACAAATAAATTGCCATAACTAAGCCCCACAATAAGATACAAGACTGTTATTTGGTATATAAAATCACATTAGGGAGGAACATCTGCAGTTAATTTTTATTTTTAAATGGGCGTGGTCCCGCACCCTAATATGTTTAATGTGCATATCTCCTAAACTGCTAAAGCTATAACAACAAAGTTCACTGAGAATATATGTATTGAGCACTTCTGTCGACATTATGAAAGTGAAATCGGGTGACAAGCCCGCCCACTCCCCATATAACGGTACTGTTAAAAACAACTAAAAGCGCGATAAATGAAGCACTAAATACGCCAAAGACATTAAATTTTAGCTCTGGGATGGTATGAAATGACTTTAGAGGAACCGCGTTCAAAATTAGACAGTCTGCGTCGCACCGCCCACTTTTAGGCGAAAACCTATATCTTGGGATCTGCTCAACCGAATTTATTCAAATTTGGTATATAACATCCTTCCCAAATTTCTATGTTATGGTGGGGAAAATAGGCGAAGCCGGATTACAACCACGCCAATTTCCCAAACATACTTTGGTGGTTTGTGGACCCCAGTGCATATAGTCGATTTTTTACCGAAAATATCGGTCAGTGTGTAAGATATATAATTGAAATTCATATATTTCAACTTGCGAGAGTATAAAATGCTCGGTTACACCCGAGCTTAGAGCTTCCTTACTTGTTATTACCGTGATTTGTTGCTAGAAATAGATGAGCTTTTCTCATACATATCCCAAGGCTACCTATATCAAGTACAAAACGTGGTCTCCTAATTTCTACGGTTCTACGGGCAAAATCCAATTTTCGTGGATATCCTACCATACGTCAGTAGAAGCGGTGCTGAGCAGCGATGGTGGTGAGTGTTCATTTATATTGCGCTCTCATAAGATAGGTCATATCAGCTGGCTCGGTCTACGGTTTTGCGTCGGTGACTGTTTCTAGCTTCATGCTCTTGCTCATGTTTCAAAAGTTTTGAAAAAATACCCATACACTTTTTTATTCTATTGCAACATGTTGCTACAGAGTATAATAGTTTTGTTCACCTAAAACAAATCGAGATAGATATGAGATTAGATCAGGATGACGAGACGAGTTGCAGTCTGGGTGATTGTCTGTCCGTCCGTCCGTCTGTCCGTGTCGGACTATTGTCACGCCCAAAAAACAACATTAAACGAAAACTTTTAAAGTTCCATAACTACATAAGCCTTAAATTAGGATACATCAAACATCAATTAATCAGAATAAAACTTTGTACAAATTGAGCCTCAAGGTATTTCATCTTACGTCCAAAGACTGTCGAAATGGGTAAAAGCAGGTCAACACTTCCGTTAACCCCCATATACCTAAGATAGTAAATATGGTATTTTCGAACCTCCGGTTCACTTTATGCCTTATCTACCGCAGAAATAATCTTTTTCTAATAACAGTGTATCCTCTTTCCTTAAAAGAATGAAATCACGGCGATACTTTTCCTAGTTTAATATAAAGTTTTGCCAAAACCTGAAGGTGTTCCTCCGCCTTGGTTCCTTACAAGTTGCAAGAGTATGAAATATTCGGTTACACCCGCACTTAGCCCTTCCTTCTTTATTTTATTTGAATTCATAATGAGTACACACACACGAGCATGTGCTGTATGAGTATATCGAAATGCTGGCATATGAGCATGTGTATTTTTTTTTAAATTTTAAATTACAGTGGTCGTATAACGAATGGATGTTTTTATAGTACGAACGCAAAGAGTTTTAAGTATGCGATATTCCGAACGCTGCTATATTTTTATCTTAAACTTCGCATTCTTTAAAAAAAACCAATGTTTCGTTAAACCAACGTAGTTTAACTGTTGTACAACATCTGCAGAATATATAAATTATTTATATTTATATAAATTATTTTTCCAGTTTCCATTGACTTTGAATTAATCATAATTTAGTCAGTTTAAAATTCTTTTTGGAGGGTTGCTTCTATTTTGTTTGGTTTAGAAAGCTTAATGTCAAATAGAACGCGTTTATGATTGGAAAATAAACTAAAGATTTTGGACGATTCGACTAAGAGGGAGAGAGACTAAACGCTATATCCCCGAAATATGGAGTTCCAAAGTCGTCAGCTTGTACTATAAAAAACTAAATTTGAAATCGAGGAATATGTACGTTCAAAAACGCATCGCACGCAATCATTAAGGCCCTTAAACAAAGCGAGTTTCCTAGAATGAAGCAGGCCCAACTTCGAAACCATATCCCTATTAGTGATACCGTTTTAAAGACAATAGCGAAAAAGTTTCATTCTTAGTTCTAAGAAGGAAGTTTTTTTGCCAGTGATGGTTGGATGACTAGTTCGGAATACGACTTCTTAAAGAATGTGACGAAAAACTGTCATCTAACGCAAATAGTGTGGAGCCATTTATAGACAATCTAGAGAACGTAATAATAAAATAATAAACTTTCCCATGAAACAATTTTCAATGCAGATGAAAGCGATATTGAGTAAACATATGTTCTTCCAGAAGAAGCATTTGCAACAGGAAGAAAGAACACCAAAGAAAGGTCAACATTTTTAGCCTGCGCCAATGCTTCGGGAAGTAAGAAATTACCACTTTTGGTAATTGCAAAATCTCAAAACCCGAGACTTTGCAAAATCAATTTGCCTAGATGAACTTAAAATCGGCTTGGAGGAATACTTTACTATACTTTTTTTTACTAACAGATTTGCAAGAAATCGCAATATAAAAAATCTTGGAAATTGTTAAAAAAAAAAACGCGAATCGAAAAAAGTTTTTGGAAAAAATAAATAAAGTTTTAAAATTTATTATCGGTAATTAAATTATATACATACATATATATTTTAAATTGAAATTATTATTATTTGAAAAGATGGTTTTATTAAGGGTAAAAAAAATTATTCTGTACATAATTCTATATCTAATTCGATTAATTTTAGGTAGTAGCTATTTGGTGAATAAAACTACTACATTCTGTGCAACATTTTGTGGAGTATACAAATCTAGGTATGTAACTTCCGAACTGATTGAATTTCTAAATTTTTATGTTTGTTATACATAAACGGTTCCGCAATTAGAGCTGTTCGAACATGACCATTTGATCATTTATTCCATGTTATAATATTTTGAACTAAATACTAAAACGTCACTTTGATATCTCAACTGGAAGTATTTTTGTTCACCGTACTAATGAGAGATTGGTAGAATATGTGCCAAACTGTGATTTATGAGATTAAATTTTTTTTTTAGATAGTTTTGTTTACGCCAATATTGTAATGTTCACAAATGTATAGAGTTTATTTCTACAATAATACTCGTATCCTCCTAATAAAAAATGAACGCCTCTGGCGATATTCGTTTGGGGATTACTGCTTTTTATTGTATTTGCAATTAACGGAGCAAAGAGTTATAGTATAAATGTATGATCATAAAACCATAAATTAATAATGTATTGATACTTACCGTTTGTCCATTGCGGTAATCCATTCCATCGCCATTACTTTCGGCGTTTATATAAATTTATCTCGACTGTTGAGCAATGTTATTATTTCCGATATTACTTTTCGAATGATAGAAAATTTGTAAACTTGTACGATCAAATTACATATGTAAATCTACATGTTTTTTTTGGTGTTCATATATTACAATTTAGGGTGAGAATATCTTATATACTTTGTATACCAAAACTAGAATGGCATTACATTATATTTTATACTCATATAGTCATAGTTTTATAAGTAATATTTGCCGGTATGTTAAAACCGTACCAGTTGTTACAGGAATTATTGTCGTTAGTATGTCTTTATTTGTTTTTGCGAGGTTTAGTGAAACTATTCAACACGTTCAGATAAAATGTCAATCTTTTTGTATAATTGATATCACTTTTTAAATGTGGACAATGGATTTGCGGATTTTCAGTAAATTTTTGATAATGTGTTATACACTTTATCTTTTGGAGCCGTAGAGTAGTTTCAACTGCAATAACGAGTAAAATAATAAAATCAAAGTTTTTAAAAGTATTTGAGATAACAAACTTAGACTGGGTTTGCTCTTTTGTACATAATAAACGGAATAAAAGTCAATTCTCAAAAGACGTATTATGTACGTTAATATATGTATACGTACAAATGAATGATAAGAATATAAGCATTCCAAAAATTCCTGTCGACAATGTCCCTGCACGTTTAGAATTACGTGTATAAAGCTTACAAATTCGGTCGGTATAATTGGATAAAGATTTTCGTCCCACTACACACACATATGTATATATATGTATATATATACATTAACATATAGACACATAGGTATATGTAAATATATGACGAGTGTACGCGCCTTAAAAATTCGCTACAATATCGCACTTCACTTGATCATAACTTTTTTAACGTTTCATGATACATGTGCACAAATGTATGTATATGCATAAAAAAACATTTGTTTAAAGTCAAATCATTGGATTTTTGAATTACCATTATTGTCACTACTCCCACAATTTTTTTATCTCTTATTTTATTGTAAATATTTACAGTATTTATTAGTTTAACTTTGGAGTATTAAAATGGTATCAATTATTAATATTAATATATACATTTACCGAAAGTTCTTCACTAACTGAACTTATACATCCCGTATTTTTACTTTTACACCACAAAAGTTGGGCACATCAAGCCATTCAACACACAATTACATTTCAGAACTCACCGCAGTCGTATGCAGCTCATATTACAGATTATAAATTCACTGTAAAGGCTCTGAGGTATTTGCGTCACTTAATTATTTAAGAATCATTAATTTGTGTTTGCCTCAAAAACGGTTTTGTTCAATTACATATGTACGCAATAATGTAAATGTACATGCATATGTAATTATTTTAGTTCCCGAATTGCTGTTTGGCACTTGGTTAATTTTTGTATTTGTTCAGATAGTGATTTACCGTGGGAAGTTCCAACTTGATTGTCAGTTATTTCGCAACTGTTGCCATATACCCTTTGAGCTATTGCTCTTCACCATACTCTTTAGAGCTTTTAAAAACATCCCTTAACGAGAAGTGTATTAGGTAAAGTACACTGTCAAATAGGATGATGAAGACTGAAAACTGTTTTATTCACAATGTATGACATACATATGTATTAACAAAATATACAATTTACAGTCTAATCCATTTTATATACATACATGCATAATGTGGGTCTAGTGGTCATCGCAGTTCTATTTGTAATGCCCATTGTGTTTCCTCAAAATTTGAGCAACCTTCGAACGACTGAGGGATTTGTGCCAGAGCTTTTTCTACTCTTGCAACATGTTGCGATAATTTTGTTCACCTAAAGCTTGCTAGTAATACTTATAACTAATCAAGAAATATATATACAACTAATCTAAGATATATCCATATGTAGATAGATACAGATATATCTGTATGTACATTTATCAAAATAATGAGCGTGGTACCGCTTTCTTTACTGTGAAATCTCATCTCTAATTCCTTATGTTACAGTTTGAAAATGAGCATAATCGGACTAACACCATGATACTTTCCATAAAACAAAATTTCAAATTCCATCTTATTCTTTCTCTGTACGATATACATACGAGGTGTGTTCAAACGAAAAGGTGAATTTTGAATTTTTTTGAAAAGTACGTAACACATGGGCTGAAAATGATCGGGCCTCACACATAGATGGCGGTAGTTTTATTGAATTCACCTCATTTTCAGTTAGTACTAACCTTCAAAAGACAGCTGTTAAAATTTCATGACATTCTATCCATTAGTTTCGAGTATTATTGTGCTAAGGGTGACAATTTCGTGTTTTAATTTTACACTGACGCTACTTACTGCTACAACGCTTTTTCCAAACCTCGAAGCACTTCTGAAATGCGCTTTTCGGTATGGCCATCAGCTCTTTCTTCGATTCTGACATGATCTCATCAATTGTGGCAAAACGCTTTCCTTTCATTGGTTTCTTCAGTTTTGGGAATAGGAAAAGTCGCAGGGTACCAAATTTGGTGAATACGTTGGTTGTGGCATGATTATGGTTTTGTTTTTATCCAAAAACCACGAATAAGCGTTCATGTGCGTTCAAAACATTCGTGAAATTTGAATGATATGAGCCGATTGATATGCCAACATCCTCTGCAACTTCAATAATAGTGATTGGACGACTTTCAAGAACAATTTTTTTCACTGTTTCGGTGTTTTCTTCGCTTGTTGACGTGGTCGCACCTCCAGGATGCTCATCGTCATCAACATCTTCTCGGCCTTCTGTAAAGCGCTTGTACCACTTATAAACACTTTTTCCAGACAAAGTGGACTCACCGAATGCCACACTTTATTCCATTTTTAACGCAAATTTTAATACATATTCTTTAATCAATTTCTTTTAAAAGTTAAAAATAGAAGAGCAGACAAAAACGTGACTAACCTTTTCTGTTGTCAAAAACAAACTACCAGGATATGGAAATATAGTACGGTTTTAACTTTGGTTCTTTTACACGTCGCCGTTGACTGCACAACTCCAATTATTATAATCTTTTAAAAAGTCAAGAAAAACGCTTCTTGCAACAACTTCAACCAACATACTGAATAAACTAAATTTTCTTCCTTTGTTTTGAGTTTATATTGCATACATTTAATATATACATATGTATATATAATATGTAAAAAATATTATATCTCAACCAAAAATATTAAGATTGGCATCATTTTATTCGATAATATAAATTATAGCTATTGGAACCTAGTACTGTACCTTCTCACAGCACTAATATGATGAATATAGTAGTGAGTTAAGATGCTTTTAATATAAATGTATCGCACATAAAACAAAATCTAGTTATGAAATTACATGAGTCTATCATCTATAGTGTAAATTATTAAGATGCTAAATATGATTTACACAATTCACAATTTCGTTGAACAACGAATGAATTCATATGCAACATTTGTTAATACATAAAAAGTTGTCTAAGCCCCCGAAATGTTTCCCCGCTTTATTTTTATTTTTATTGATAAAAATTTTTAACATGCTCTCGACAAGTTAGCGCTTTTGTCAAGTCAAGTGGATCCGTCCGAGTCAAGTTAAATATTTAGTGTAAAATAAAAAACGTTTGACATAAATATATGAACTTACGAAGATGTGGTAATTTTGGTGAAAAAGTAGAATTGTCTGTGGTGCTGCTTGTATAGCAGACTTCTTTATTGCAATGTGAAATATTTTGCCTAAGTTCAAATCCTACCAGATATTTTTTTATACTCTTTTTTTATTTTTATATTCCTTTTTTATTAAATGATATTTTAATTCTATTTTCATATTATTTCCCTCATTATTTATATTTTCTTGTCGGAAGTCAATTACTTTCATTTTTATTATTTCAATTTTTGTTTATGCGCATATCAAAGAACATCTGCGCATATGTATGTATATACATTTTGCTTATAGAGTGGTGTAGTTCGTTGCGTAAATTGACAGCTGTGGTGACATTTTATTTTCGAACTTGCGCGTTTTCGATGTTCCTTCTTAGCAATTAACATTTTAGTACTGCTAACATTTGCTCCTTCTCTACTCATCAACATTCTCTGGTACAACTTTCCTCGCTTTAGATGGCGTTCACATGGAATTCTTATGTCGCTCATTATCGACAAATTCTCTTTTGGTGTCGCTCTGTGCTTTCACACGAGCGAAAAGCGTTCAGCAACTCGAGTCGAGTTTTTCTGTCATTACTTTTCATAAAACTTATAAAAAAAATTAATCCACGTTCTCTGACTTCGTTTCTTAAGTATTATCAAATATATGGTAATACCAGAGAATGTAATATATAATATAATCTACATTCTCTGGTAATACTGCAACCATCAGATATTAAAGATATTTAACTTGGTAGCACAGGTACATGCGATGCTCTGCTTCTGTTAGCAGCACAGACATTCAGTCACCGCTCTCTGCTTCTGCCTGTGTTTTACAAACAAGTAGGTATTTTTGTTCGCATTTAAAAATATTTGTGAACACCACTTTGAGCATATTGATTACCCGTTGTAAACCATGGCTCTCGTTAACGAAGCGCGTATTGCATTGAACCGTATAGGAGTGATTTCTGGGCGCCAACAGGTAACGTAAAAAGCTGCACCTCCAACCCGGAGATTTAGCTATATGTAGTTTTCGACTACGTACAGTAAAAATATTACTCGATAGAAATTTTATCATTACATAATACAAAAATAATTTCATTGGTTGGAAGCTATAATACAAATATACTTGCTTGAAATTTGGTGTTCCAAAAAGTATACAATTCCAAAGTTATATGATTGATTTATGTTATATAAAAAGACAAAAAATTGCGAAACTTTTTATTTACCCGTCTCACACGTTCATATAAGCAATACTATAGATCATATTTGTGACAATCATATTACTTCTATAAGTGGTAAATAAATATACTATTTCATCATAAAATATGTAAACATGTATGTATGTATGACTATAGCTTAGATCACTCACTACGGGCAAATATTTGGCCCAGCAAGTGGAACCCCAGGAGATAAAGACACCGCAAATCAAAACTTTTCAAATCTACCGATGGAATCCAGACAATGCTGGAGAAAAACCATACATGCAGACGTATGAAGTGAATCTCCGTGAATGCGGTCCCATGGTCTTAGATGCTTTAATAAAAATTAAGAATGAGGTAGATCCAACATTAACTTTCCGTCGTTCATGTCGGGAAGGAATTTGCGGATCATGTGCTATGAATATCGGCGGTACAAATACTCTGGCATGTATTAGGTGAGTAGCTCAAAGTATATAGAATAAATAAAATATTTAATGTTTTTTTTTTAGCAAAATTGACACAAATCTTTCAAAACCGCTTAAAGTTTATCCCCTTCCACACATGTATGTGGTTCGCGATTTGGTGCCTGACTTAAATAATTTTTATGAACAGTACCGTTCAATTCAACCTTGGTTACAAAGAAAGTAAGTTTATTTAGCTATGTATAAACTAGTTTATATATCACATATTTGTTATAGGAATGAGGTAGCAGAATCAAAGGGTAAAGCGCAATATTTGCAATCTGTGGAAGATCGTTCCAAACTTGACGGTTTGTATGAATGCATTCTTTGTGCTTGTTGCTCCACTTCGTGTCCATCATATTGGTGGAATGGAGACAAGTATTTAGGTCCAGCTGTATTGATGCAAGCTTATCGTTGGATTATTGATTCTCGAGATGAAAATACTACGGAACGTTTGAGTAAGCTTAAAGATCCCTTCAGTGTATATAGATGTCATACAATAATGAATTGTACACGTACTTGCCCTAAAAATTTGAATCCTGGTCGGGCAATCGCCGAAATAAAAAAATTGCTGTCTGGCATGGCAAGCAAGCCAGCACCAAAGCTAGACACAGCGGCTCTACATAAATAAATTGAGAGTAGCACTGCTAATACATACTTAGTTATAATTATTCAAAGATAATCATATATGCAGCTTTGAGGAAATTTTTAGTCGATTTATCACTTGAGCTTATTTTCCAATTTAAGGTTTGTTCTGTATTGAAGGCATAATTAATCGAAAAAGTACTTATTCATAGATAATTTTTTAGAAATGTCTATAATACTCTGAAATGTAATGTCGAAGGAAATCTTAAGTTGTGTACGTAAAATAAAGAACGATATAATTGGTTTTATATAAATTGTTATATTGTAGTGGGTATAAGAATTGGGGGAAAATGTAAATATACATGTAGGCATCTATATACATTTGTATGTATGCACATACCATAAGCTTTTATAAATATATAGAATAGATTATTCTAAAACCGTTTTGGTTTCTAAAAAAAAATTAAATGGAATAAATATTTATAATAAAGTACATTTTAATTTTTGCATAAGGGTAAATTTGCCAAAACTATGAATGTACTAATTATATTCATATACAATTTTAAAAAGCCAGTCAAACTTGACGTCGGTGGAAAGATTTAAAGACTTGGCAGCCCTTTTAATATATAACAGTATTGTCAATTCCAATAAACTTAATTACCGATACCGTTGAAAAATTCTTTTAGTTTGTTCCTTAGTGCTGAAATAAGTTTAGCGAAAAATTAACTAAAAAAAGTTTTATAGCAATATGTTATCAGTTGCAGAGATAATAAACTTATTAAACAGTATTCCAGTTGGTTACAAATCACCAGAGGATAACTGTTTTAATGCCGGCAATCAAACGTACATACCAGAATACAAAAAACTTGGAGTCATAACTGTTGCTAATGAATTACAAGAAGATTTGCCTGAGACGGACAAAAACGATTTATTTTGTGATATGCCTGGATGTCAAGTTGCTTTCAAAAACGCCGCTTCTTACCAGTCTCATTTTTACAATGAACATCGATATATATGTTCTGTTTGCCGTCGTTGTTTGCCTACAGCGCATTTGCTGGATTTGCATATTTTAGAGTGTCACGATTCCTATTTTATTATTCGCGCAAAACGTGGAGAAGCTATGTATTCATGTTTTTTGGGAGAATGTAAAGTAAAAATTCTTACACCAAAGCAACGTAGAGAACACTGCATCAGCAAACACAAATTCCCCTCTAATTATAGGTTTGAACAATTATGCGGCAAACCGTATAAAAGACATACGAAAAAACCATCCAAAAGTGTCGAAGAAGTCGATGTCATGGACGTTGTTGACGATATTCCTAGCTTGAATTAATAAGTTTCCTTTCATCATCCAAAATAAAAAAACCTTGGCTCACTAAAGTAAAAAAGGCCAAGTAGTTATTTAAAATTTATTCATTTATTCCAAGATCAATTTTTTTTAATAAATATATTGAAATCTGCTGTGTATTTAAGAATATTTTTATTTTGTCTTCGCTATACTTCTAAAATAAAAGATAATGATCAAACATTTAGTCTCATGTAATTTAAATAAGTTCTTACTTGTTAGAGTTGGCTGAGATATAGTGGTAAGCTACTACTAACAGGAATAGGAAAACACCCAAAACATTGGAAAATATAGCCAGTTGCACGTCGCTAATCATTTTGCACAGTTATTTCCTTCACAAACTGCAAGCAAAATAAATATTCGTAATGACGTTTAAAATATGAGCAAGAATGACACGTCACACTACAAAAAGAAAATTTGTTGCAAATAAAGTACTAGTATGAAAACAGAAACATTTCACATCAGAGATAAATCCCTGTTTCACATCATAACTTTCAACAAAAAAATAAGAGTCATCTATAGCAAATATACCGCTTTTAAGGAAATTTTCTAAATCTAATCAACAAAAACCTTAATATTCAAGAGCCCAACGGCGTAATGTTTTATAATTGTGATGAGAACGTCGACTTTAATTACACTTTCTGAATTTCTATATCGATACCCGCGTAAGTTTCAACGCTAAGCTAATCGAAAGCAAATACCAAGAATTTCGACGATCTAAAACGATCTAAATGATAGAGGCAACCCTTTTGCTATTGTGTATATAAGTCGAATTCTAGAAAAAATGTAGTTATGATTTAAAGCTATTTGTGCACTATTTATTATGAAATAAAGTTGTAGAAACTATTTTGTGATGTGTACACTTAACTTTATTTCTAATTCAAACAACTTAACACTTATTACTCGTTATTCGATTTTACAACTTATTGCTTATAAGTATAGCATTAGTTTGGGACTTTTATTTAAAAATCTAATTATCGAATTCAAGAGTGGGTTAGAAGGTAGACGATTTATCGAGAAATCCGTTACAATTTGTAGAATTACACATAAAATTGTTATAATTTTTGACATTTAAATACAAATATTTCAAAAATAATAAGTTTGAACGGTTATATACATATGCATATACGTATATTATAAAACCTGCTCTAACAGCCCACATTCATTTTAACGCATTCTGTCTCAGTTATTTAATCGGTGAATTCACCGAGAGTATTTCCTGAACTGCATTAATAAATGCTAAAAGCTATACGTAAGAAACGGATGAACGATTACACATACACAAGACTTTCGAAATTTTCTGGTAGCGCTGTTGGGTAATTAACTGGTGATTTAGCCGATAGTCGCAGGGTAGTTATCATTGATAAGGCTCTCTGATTGAAACATTATCTATACACATATGTGCATGTATATTCTGTTTTCCTAAATGCCGCCTTATTTATGATTTTGAATCCCACACACAAAACTTTTTTTAATTCGTATAAACAGATGTTAAGCTTGCAATTTACATATCCTACCCTGCAATAGCCTATCAGGTTTATAGTTTTGATGATTATGGTCAAACTTTGGTAGAATGCTGTCTGCTCGGGATAACATTATCAAGATAACAACAATTGCTGTATATAGTAATGGTAAGTTATCAGCTGTTATTCAATGAATAGTGTTGTAATTGTGTGGACAGAACGTGCTTAAAACTCAGCAACATACTTGCAATTATCAAATGAACTTATAAATTATGCTATTATTCTGTCCGACTTGCGGTAATATATTAATGGTCGAACAAGATACAACAGGACACCGCTTTACTTGTAGTACGTGCCCATATATTTGTAATATCAAGCGAAAAACTTCAACACGAACATTTCCACGTCTTAAGGTGAGTCAATTTTGAAAATCGCTGTTTACGGTATATTTATCTTATTTTCATAAATCTGCGTTAATTTATAGGAAGTTGATCATGTTATGGGTGGAGCAGCAGCTTGGGAGAATGTAGATTCAACTGGAGTCGAGTGTCCCGTTTGTTCTCATAAAAAAGCTTATTTTATGCAAATGCAAACTCGCTCTGCCGATGAACCTATGACAACATTTTACAAGTGTTGCAATCAACTTTGTGGCCACAATTGGCGTGATTAAATAGTCGATTTATGTATTAATCCAATTTGCATATGCTCTCATAATACATTGGAATGAATACAAGAATATCAACGTTTCTGAGAGTTTTCTATCATCATAATTATAAACACGATTTTTCCACGTTCACAAAAATGTTACAACCTCCAGGGAAGAAAATATACAAAGTTCAAGATTTACAAGCGTTGCACATAGCGGTTGAATGTATCTTAGATGGAGCAGTAATTGGCTTGCCCACAGATACTGTGTATGGATTAGCATGCAATGCGAATAATGAAAAGGCCATTCAAAGACTGTACAATATAAAGGGACGCGATTGTTATAAGCCAGTAGCTATATGTGTGAAAAATGTGGAGGCCTTTCGGCAGTACGGAATCGCAGATCATTTAAAGGACTCATTACTTCAACGTCTGCTTCCGGGCCCAATTACAATAATCATCGAACGTTCAAAGCATCTTACTAATCGTTTTTTAAATCCCAACACAACAAAAATTGGTATACGCATTCCGAAGTTTACTTTTATACATCAGTTATGTTCATTATTTGATGAACAACCACTTGCATTAACTAGTGCTAACCGATCCGCCGGACGTAGTAGTTTAAATATAAATGAATTCGAATCCTTGTGGCCTAAACTTGGTGGAATATTTGACGCAGGTCCCATAGGTTTAACTGATGATCGGCGTTCAGGATCCACTGTAGTTGATTTATCTCAACCAGGTGTGTACGCAATAATTAGAGAAGGCGTAGCCCTTAAAAGTACTGTAGATATTCTACATGAATTTAACATAAAACCAAATAAAATATATTAAATAAAATGCATTCTGGAAAAATACAAAATTAGAAAATTTGCAAGGATTTTAATTGATAATTATACGTACATCAAAAGGTGTAAATACATCACCAATTACTTTTATAAACCCTCAAAAATTAACTTGAAAATTTTAACTGTTCTGCAAACATACGCACACACATGACAGTTTTTTCCAATTTATAACATTCGAACTGTAGTTTAATTTTATATACATATAACACTTTCAGGATTCTTAATTAAATCTGATATAACGCTGAAAATGGGTGCGAAAGTACCTTGGGCTTCACAGCCCTAATTAATGTTATTATTGACTGTAATAACTTGCTGACTTAGCTATTTGGATGGGTCTACGACGTCGAGGTAACTCAGTTTGTAGTCGACGCCAGCGTTCTGGAGGCCAAACAATGTATGTCGCTCGAGCTGTTAATAAGCCCTGCGCTACAGGCCCGAAAGTGTTACTATCCAGCGAATGGCCAGTGTGGTCCCCTTCAACCCAACAATGACCCTCTGGGATGCGCACTATTTCATGTTTGTAACCCAGAGTAGAAACGACATCACCCTGTAGTCCAACTATACGTTTTATTATCTTTTGTGCGGGGTCCTTTGGAGAAATAAGTGAAACGATATCGCCACGTTCCACGTTGCATGTACGCACAGCCCAGCGAGATAGAAAAACGTAATCTGTTTGGTTGGCATCTGGGTTAAGAGCTGGTTGCATAGATATTCCTAAAATATTTTAGAAAAAGAAATTTATTTACAACGAATATTTAAGAAAATATGTAAATATTTACCATCCACTCGAGCGACATAGCCAACACAATCCAGAAACGTTATACCAATGGGAATCCCTAGCAGTACAGATTTTACAAATTTTCGAAAGGCCATTAAACAAAACGTCTGCGAAAATTAGCAGCGCTTCTTACACACTTATTATTGGTATGCTAATATGTTTTTTGTCTATATAAAATATACATATATAAAGAGTATTTTTATTTGATTTTGTAATAATTTCAAAGTGGAGCTAAGAGCTCCATTTTTTTTCGACTATAAACGTAGAAATATGTATGTATATATTCTTATCTAAGAAAAGTTCTGTTTGTTTCATTCACCCATGTTTTTAAAATGTCATTTAATAATTGCACAGCATTGGTAATGGTTCGTATAATTCTCAGAAATGTCTAACGTTTCATTATGTATAATAATTATTATTAACGCTTTGTATAATTAAACTATTTTAAATCCAGAAAATGTTTTGTTTATTTCAAAACAAACATTAAAATAATGATACCGGATAATTAGTTTCAATTAATAGCAGAAAAATTGTGTTACCCTGTATACCTGTTTCATTTCCACTATTTCACTGGGGCAAAATAAAAATTAGTGTTACAGGTTTATTGTAATTACACGTAAATTAAACAATTTCGTTTCTATTATTCGTATTTATTCATAAAGTAATATATCCAAAAACGTTTCTTAATTCAAAATTGGCAAGGAATTTTACACATATTTATTAGATTACTTCTTTATGAATGCGAGAGATTTCTACAGTAGTAGACACAAGTTTTATTTACATATTTCATGTTTTAACGTAAGTGAGTGAATATACATATAGCTGTGCAATGCGTAGGCAACGGTAAGATCGCATATATTTGATTGAAGTATAAATTCAATGAATCAAATGTTTAATAGGAGAGTGAATCTATCACCTGGTTTTTATAATGATGCGTTTCATTCTGCCGACATGTCATATGCACCAATAAATAAAGATTTGGATGATGAGAAAATCCCTGTTGAAATGGAGAGGCTGCCACGCATTACCAGCCTAGAAAATGGACAATTACATAGTTTTGAAAATACTATTGAGGCTAAAGTGGAAGTAGGCGATTCTTTGCAAGCATTGGCTTTACGATTTCGTTCCACAGTGAGTCATTGGGAAAATTTTAATGCAAGTAATACATATATTATAAAATTGCAACAGGTTGCAGACATAAAACGACTCAATAAGATTGATAAGGATAACGAAATTTATGCGAGGAAGTTTGTAAAAATTCCTGTAACGCCACATTCGATATTATTGGAAACATTACCAACAGTACACAAAAGTGGGAGTAATAGTCCGTCTCAAAGTGAACATGAATCCTTCGAAACAAACATTATGAGAAACCCTTTAAAGGATGCAAACCTTATGTTGGGCGAAAAACTGATGATAGCTTCTGTAAATGCTGCTGGTAATATTAATATCGAAACTATTGACTCTAATAATTCGGTTTTGGCCTCTACGTTGGGAAGCAAAGACAGTGTCTGCTTGAAAAAAAGTAAGTACGAATATGCCAAAACTAAAACGATATCTATCGGTGGAATAAATTTTTAAATACGAATTTTGTATATATACATTTGCAATTCACAATCATTATTATTAATTATCTTTATGAAGTATACATTTTTCCGAGTGAACATTTTATTTCTGCACAAATGGAAAATTTTTGATACTAAATATACTCGAGTCTTTTTTATGGTCAGCCTGTATGTTTCATTCTCATTTGTTTATTATTTCTACATTAATTGTCATTGTTCCACGAAATGTGTTGACAGCTCAAGTTTTTAATTTGTATAGTCATTGCTGCGCAAAGTTAAATAGATTTTCTTAAAAGAGTTGAAAAATAGGATTGAAAATGCCGGATTATTTGGGAGATGATCAACGCAAAGTGAAATCGGAAGAGCTAGAGGAGAAAGAAATAAAGTCTTTGGATGAAGGTGACATTGAGCTACTGAAGACCTATGGCCAGAGCCAATATCATAGGGCTATTAAAAGTATTGAGGAAGACATCCAGAAAGCTGTAAAACAAGTAAATGAACTTACTGGGATTAAAGAAAGTGATACTGGGTTGGCACCACCAGCTCTCTGGGATTTAGCAGCGGATAAGCAGATACTTCAAAATGAACAACCTCTGCAGGTTGCTCGTTGCACAAAAATTATTAATGCCGATTCGGATGATCCAAAGTATATTATAAATGTAAAACAATTTGCAAAATTTGTTGTAGATCTGGCTGATTCTGTTGCGCCAACAGATATTGAGGAAGGCATGAGAGTCGGAGTTGATCGTAATAAATACCAGATTCATATTCCATTGCCTCCAAAGATTGATCCTACTGTCACAATGATGCAGGTAGAGGATAAGCCCGATGTCACGTACAGCGATGTAGGAGGTTGCAAGGAACAGATTGAAAAATTGCGTGAGGTAGTAGAGACTCCTCTTTTACATCCTGAAAAATTTGTAAATCTAGGTATTGAGCCGCCAAAAGGTGTATTGTTATTTGGACCACCTGGAACTGGTAAAACTTTATGTGCTCGTGCCGTGGCCAATCGTACAGATGCTTGTTTCATTCGTGTGATTGGTTCAGAGCTGGTACAGAAATATGTGGGCGAAGGCGCTCGAATGGTACGAGAACTTTTCGAAATGGCGAGGTCGAAAAAGGCCTGTCTTATTTTCTTTGATGAAATTGATGCGATCGGTGGGGCTCGATTTGATGATGGTGCGGGTGGCGACAATGAAGTGCAACGAACTATGCTCGAGTTGATTAATCAGTTGGATGGTTTCGATCCCCGCGGAAATATTAAAGTCCTTATGGCTACTAATAGGCCAGATACTCTTGATCCGGCATTAATGCGTCCGGGACGTTTAGATCGTAAAGTGGAATTTGGGCTACCTGATTTGGAGGGACGGACCCATATATTTAAGATTCACGCCCGATCAATGTCTGTAGAAAGGGATATTCGATTTGAATTACTTGCTCGGCTTTGTCCGAATTCCACGGGTGCTGAAATCCGTTCAGTATGTACTGAAGCAGGAATGTTCGCCATACGTGCTCGTCGTAAAGTTGCAACAGAAAAAGATTTCTTAGAAGCAGTCAATAAAGTCATTAAGAGCTACGCTAAATTCAGCGCCACCCCACGTTATATGACATATAATTAAACATAATTTTTTGATATAGTATATGTTTCAATGAGACGTTTTCATTGCAAAAAATATTTAAAATAAATAAAACAAAAATATTAAAAACTAACAATAATTTGTTTGAGGTTATCTAATCATACAAATTAGGTACAGGTATTGTTTAATTTACTTCAGGACAAACTTATACATACCTATATACTGTTTACATATATCCCTAGATCGTACATTTTGCAGGTGCATAGTATTTCCACGGGGAATTTGTGATCTCTTAAGCAAATTCAATTGGTATTAACCTATTACTTAACGATCCAAACAAGGTTAGATCCTCGTAAATCAAATGGTTGTTGTTGTTGTAATGGTTATCTAATACCCGCTTGGGTGGTAAGGTTCAGTTTGATTGTCGTCGAAGTTATCTAACGGGATGCCCAAGGAAGCTGTTTCGAAGGGCTCGGACCATAGCGAGAAAGGTGTTAGATGAGTGGGGTACGTTGGGCTTGAAAAGAGGTGGTTAGTGTCATACGGAGACTCATTGCTACGCAGGACATATATTTGCTATGTCGGAGTCAATACTGGATAAGTAGAAGTTTAACCTGCTACAAATATGTATAACGAAGTTGCGCAAGTGTCACTTCAAACGTTTCACATGATTCTTGCAAAGATTTTATTCATTCGATTCTATGCCTAATTATGAACATTAAGCAAGATTCTAAATTAATCAAATCTTACGAGGAGGAGGTGTTCCACCCCAAATTAAAGTTTTATAATCTGTGATTCTGCTGTTATACATATATTCTGCTGAAATCACTGAAAAGACTTTATATTCCTGCTGTAATACTTCTTGTACAAACCACAATAGAAATTATGTATAAACTTTCATTATATAATTATTTTCATAGTTTAATTGATTTCATTAAATAAATGGCATCCTTCGTTGGGGGATCTAAACTATTCCATTAAACATTAACCATACATTTACTTGTATATATGTACCATATTGTTACATGTGCGCTGAATAGTTCGTATCGATTTAATGAAAACAAAATTTTTTAAATCTAAATGAATCAAAATTTTAGAGCATAGGGCTTTCATCAAGTCACTTTATGATATTAGCAGCGCTTTGAAACTTGAAATTCCCTTTTTAAATTTTTTTTATTTTCCAAAAATTATGTTACTCAAAATGTTTCATCTCACTAACCAATTGCCTGACACTTTAGAAATTTATACACGTGTCTTGAAGTTTGAGTCTAACTGTAAAATGTACATATGTATGTGCTTAATTCTAGTGGTCTAGTCTAAAAATAATACGAACTTTTCAGCTTGTTAGGTGACCTGGTTGTATGTACAAGCAACCATCAATGATGTTGGAATATATTACTATTAGTTGTTGAGAAAATTAGTTTAGTTGCTTTATGTAATATTAAAATAAATGTATTTTTTCTAGAAACAAATTCTACCAATGATTCCACGGCATTATTAGAGGATTTTCTTGATAATGATTTTGCGGATACATATGTGCGACCTATACGAGGACCCGCAATAAGTGCTCTACATTGGTCTGGTTCTGATGGCGATATGACTTGGGTATGCTTGTTTGTTGTAATCTTGGCTTTATGCTTTGCCATACCATTGATTGTTGTGATATTTTGGACCCATCCACACAGCAGCGGAAACAACAATACAACAACAGTTAACTGACGTGGTGGGTTGGCCGCGAATGAAAAATATCTTTACCGGTATATTTACCTTATAATTTATTTATAAATGAAGGGACAGATTTCGTAAAAATTTTAATGTCTAAAAATGACATATGTATATATGAAAATCCTTGGTAAAAGGAATCTTTTGCACATATTAAAATTAGGTTCTTAATGAAAATCGCCAACATTATAATAGGTAAAATAACTAGTGTAACAAACATAAATAAATAGCAATATAAGAAGAAAAAATGGTTAATTTACTGCAAAGTGCCTTCATCGTTTTTCAGTCTAAAGATGTGTATGTACTTGTTTATATAAAAATTTTTGTTTTTTAATAAAATTTTACAAGATAAATTTAAACTTTTTATTACAGATATCGTTAGTTAGATTATGCGAAACCCTTTTGTAAATAATAACACATACATACAAATACAGTTACGTACATATGCATTATAATTAGGGGCCTGTCTATTGTGAGTAGCTTTAGTTTTTTTAATAAGAATTTTAATTATAACATTTATACCATTGGCTCGTAAAGTCTCATAAAAAAGTGAAATAAACAAGAATTTGAAAAAAAAACTTAAAATTTTTTGTGTATAAGTACAAAACAGTTGACAAAAGTATGCTGTTTATTATTATTACATTATATTTAAGTTCTTGTTTTGCTTATTAAATATTATTGTTATTAGTTCCCAAAGTTGATACAATTAGCAAATAAATTAATACTTATATTGGATTTCATTGGCCTAGCTCATCAAATATATTATATATACTACAAGTAAGGAAGGGCTAAGTTCGAATGTAACCGAACATTTTATACTCTCGCAAAGTCAAATGGTATACTCGTTTTAGATTTCTTTGTGGATCTTGCCGCCTTGTTCTATGTTGACCGATCCGTTCCCACGACAGTCGGGTCTACGTAACCGGAACGGACCCGGGTTTATTCCGGCCAAGGATTGTCAACTCGGCAGAATTCTGCCGCTACAACAACAACAACATGTTGACCGATGTTTTTGTTAAAAAGTCAACTATAGGCTGGGGCACTGGGGTCCACATATTCTGTATCTAGGGGCTTGAACAGTTTTGGTTCAATATAGATAATTTTGGTCACAAGGTGGCATACTTTAAACGTATTATTCACGCAAAGTTTTACCCCGATACAATCATTGTTGCGTGATTTGCTTAATGGAAAGTGAAAGAATTAGATGGAGTTTAAAATGGTGTTGTATGAGAAATAGGCGTGGTTGTAGTCCGATCGCACACTTTCGCACTATAACATAGAAATATGAGAAGAATGTAATGTATCGAATTTGGTTGAAATCGGTTAAGCAGATCCCAAGATATGAGTTTTCACCTAAAAGTGTGTGGTGCTACCCCCAGGATGATCAGGATGAGGTGCAAACTAGGTGCAATTCGCACAGTCGTAGAGGCTAGTGTCGTAGTTGTATGTTGGAACCACATAACGTGTGGTCCACTCCCTATGTATCTTATGGTCTTAAGATAGCTCCATCCTTCAATGTATGTAAGTCATAAAGATACCAAATTTTTAAAAAATTTAAATTGAATGAATTTCCCGGGTTTTGGTTCTTGCAAGTTGCAAGAGTATAAAATGTTCGGTTACACCCGAACTTAGCCTTTCCTTATTTTCTTCGTCAGTTTTTGAGATATCCGAATGAAATTTAATTGTAGGTGTATTTTGACATTCTAATGATAATTTGTGTGAATCTATATAAGATATCTTCCATACAACCGATTATTTAGTTATTTTATTTACCGGCTGCCTGCCTGGAAGCTGAGAACACGTAATTTTGCAGAACTGTTCTCTAATGCATACTTAACAATGACAGTGAAAATAAACAAAATTGGACAACTATATCACATATCTCCTATACAACCAATTATTTATATTTTATCCAGTATAATGCCTTCAATTAAAAAGCTAAGAGCTCGAAAGCTTTGCAGAATAGTCCTCTAATATATACTTAGCAATGACAATGAAAATAAAAAAAAATCGGAAGATTAGAGCTTATAGCTGTCATGCAAACTAAACGATCGGAATTAAGTGCTTATAACTCTTTCATTTAAAGAGATAGCCCCAAGAAATTTGGCACGAGTTATTGTCTAAAGCAATAATGTAATCTCTGAAGAAATCAGATCGGATCACTATAGCATATAGCTGCCGCACAATCTGAATAATCGAAATCGTGTTAGTTACTCTACTTATAAGTAAAGAACGGCGAAACCGATTTGGCTGAAAATTAGTGTACGGACATAGATTACTTTTATCTTTTTATATTAAAAGTCGAAACAATTTATAAATAAAAAACTGATATTTTAAATCATAAGCATTTGTTCAAAATTCATATAAGAATCGTTTGAATATTTTATTTCTTCAAAAAAATATAATAACAACACATACTTGTACATAGCTACTGCAAGAGTACAGACATTGTTGTATACATACATATTGTGTTAATGTATCATACTAATGGTTGTTACTGAGCAAGGCGGTTTGTTTTTTCTTGGACATACCATGTGGAACCGGCAAGGCATTTATAATATCACAACAGAAAACCGCATTAGCAGTAACATTGTCAGGTATTGCGGCGACTTTGCTCGATGATGGAAGAACTGCAACCAAATACGCAATGCATTACTTGGATAATAACTGGCTCAGTAATCGGATAGACCAGTTGTTACCAAGCGATCTGATGTATTTAGAATCAATCGCTACTGTTGATGAAAATGAAAACGTTAATTTTCAAATTGTAATTCAAAAATCTCATGATGTAGCAGGAATGCCATCACATATGGTTCGGTTGAAAATTGGTTCACCTATTATTCTTCAGGAAACCGCATTAATATTGAATCCACCTTTATTATGCAACTGTACACGTTTGGTAATCAAAAAGGTCACAGGAAGTGGTACTGTTACCACATATTCCTATAATTCCCCATTGCCGTATGGGAAAACCATCGAATCTATTAAAGATCAACCAAGAATAGTAGCCAATAATGAGCTGAATTAAATTAAATTTAAAACCGTTTGTTATTAAAAACTATAACTATATATAAAATTGTTAAAAATTAAGAATGATCTACTCTAGCAACTTTGAAAATTACTTATTTGTTACAAACTAGAAAATAAAATACAAAAAAAAAAAAAAACAAAATCAACATGTCGATATGTGCTTAATAGCCAAGAAAATTTCAATCAATAATTTTCAAACTATGAAGTCATGTTCAAATTTGAACCCTATGGATTTTTATACCGCCTATAACATTTTCGTCTAAATTTATAAGTACCATTTTACTGTATTGAATAGTTTATAATAATATAATTTAATGCATACCTTAGTCGCATGCTTGGTCAGGGTCTTCTAGTGTACATAATTGTATATACGCTTGTCTGATTAATTAGTGTAAACATCTCATCGGCACTATGGCTGTTAAACGCAAAGTAGTAATGGCTGTTTAGAAAATTCTCAAAGGCAATTAAAGTCTTTATAATTCGGATTTGGAGTTCTAAATTTTATTTGATATAATTTAAGTATAATAATTTAACTACATCTAATAATTAAACCAATGATAATTAAAATGCTACTATATATGATAATACAGTTACCAACTAAATAATACTTTTAATTGAAAATTCATAACCAGTAACAACTAACCAGAAACAGAAGCTGATTCAATGGCACGGATTTAACAATATATTTGTATGTCTGAATATAGAAATACATATTAGGTGTGTACATATCTATTTGGCAAATATATTTAGTTTCCAATCAGCTGCAAAACTTTAGACATTTTAGACTTAAGAGTAATTTTTACTTAAACTTTAAATTCTCAAAGAAAGCAATATTACTTTTCAGCATACTGACACGGCGTAACATATTTGAGGTATTTTTATTGTTATTATCCTCATAGTTAACGGTGCGCTCCAGAGAAGATGTTTTTGTTTTATTGCTAAGACTACCCATATTTATTGAAGGATCGCTGCAAGAAGAGTACAATGGTATATAAAACAATTTACCTATCGGTATATTAAAATCTTCTTTAAAATATTATGAAACAATTACAGACTCATATATTCTTAATTCATATAATTAGTATTTGGATTTATTTTAAGAATTAATTTTGTATCTTAATACTCTCGCAACATTTTACGCAATATTTTGGATTGAATGCATTCACTTACGTGTCTAGTGATGATAAATCTGATGCAATAGTAGCGTCTTCTGTCATTTCCGGAGCTGTTACCATATTTTCTGTATGTGCTGTCGGCGGCTGGTTGAGTTTAATAGCTGTAGAAGGCATTTTTTGGATCTATAAATATAAAAATTACTTGCTGACAAATCAGTTGAAAGGATAGATGATCGTAAGCATAAGGATTCTAAAGCCAACAAAAGAACATATTGGAGTATTGCATATTTGCATTTTCGTGATATAAGGTCATTGGTTCGAGATCCTCCCTCTCTATGCTATTGCAACAAAATTTATACATTAATGACGCCTTCCTTCTGCCTCTTCTCTCTTTCTTTTCCAAATTGTTGAGTCCAAGTAAATATTGACTTTAATATAGGTTCGAAACATAAATAGAGGTATATATTATATATTTTGCGCATATGAATGTGACCGTTTTTATACTCTCGCAACCTGTTGCTACAGAGTATAATAGTTTTGTTCATCTAACGGTTGTTTGTATCACCTAAAACTAATCGAGTTAGATATAGGGTTATATATATATAAATGATCAGGATGAAGAGACGAGTTGAAATCCGGGTGACTGTCTGTCCGTCCGTGCAAGCTCTAACTTGAGTAAAAATTGAGATATCTTTATGAAACTTGGTAGACATGTTTCTTGGACCGTGAGACGGTTGGTATTGCAGATGGGCGTAATCGGACCACTGCCACGCCCACAAAACGCCATTAATCAAAAACAAATAACTTGCCATAACTAAGCTCCGCAATAAGATACAAGACTGTTATTTGGTACACAGAATCACATTAGGGAGGGGCATCTGCAGTTAAAACTTTTTTTTAAAAAGTGGGCGTGGTCCAGCCTCTAATAGGTTTAATGTGCATATCTCCTAAGCCGCTAATGCTATAATAACAAAATTCACTAAAAGCAAATGTTTTTAGCATTTCTATTGACGGTGTGAAAATAGTTGAAATCGGGTGGCAACTCCGCCCACTCCCCATATAACGGTACTGTTAAAAACTACTAAAAGCGCGATAAATCAAGCACTAAACACGCCAGAGACATTAAATTTTATCTCTGAGATGGTATAAGATGACTTTATAGGAACCGCGTTCAAAATTAGACAGTGGGCGTGGCACAGCCTACTTTTAGGTGAAAACCCATATCTTGAGATCTGCTTAACCGATTTCAAACAAATTCGGTGCACTATTTTAAATTTCATCTGATTCTTTCACTTTCCACTATGCATATCAAGCAGCAATGATTATATCGGGTTAAAACTTTGCGTGAATAATACGTATGCCACCTTGTGACCAAAAATTGTCTAAATCGAATCAAAACTGTTCAAACCCCTAAGTACTAAATATGTGGACCCCAGTGCCTATAGTTGACCTTCTACCGAAAATATCAGTCAATCCACAAAGAAATCTCAAACGAGTATACCATTTGACTTTGCGAGAGTATAAAATGTTGGGTTACATCCGAACTTAGCCCTTCCTTACTTGTTATAACTTGAATTTATTCAATACATTTGATTTTTTATTACATAAAGATAGTTATGTTATAGGGTTGTTTCAAAAGTACCGGCTACAAGGCATACGTACTTGTGCATATAAATGTAAGAATAACGTACTAATAGGCATATACATATGTACTTATGTATAACAATGATGTATTTATCTCTATTCCAACACGACTTCCTCTTCTACTCTACTCTTTTAAGTGGTATTAAATGTGAAGGTCTAGAGGATGAATACGTTTTATTTTTTCTCAAAAGCTTTTGTTATTTGAAGAAATTTCATTCCAATTGTATTCATAAATGTGTTCTTATTTCTCATATTTTGAAACTTACCCCTTTTTTCCATCGCTTTTCGGCTTGCGAACATTTATTTGAACTCAGAAGAAACGCTTGCGCTAAAGCTTTTACAGAAGGCATAACTTGTGCCACTTCCTTCTCAACAACCGCCTTTTCGCCAAAAGAGAGCTACAAGGGAATGCTCGTAAAATTATTTTTAATAAAGGCCAATGATATGTCTTACCCCATGCACTTCCTCGTCTAATGGCAATACCTGGCTGGGATCTATTAATCTTCGTTTCGGCTGTAGAAATTTGAATGCCTTTGGTGTGGGGCCTGGAGCCAACGTTGATACACAAGTTTCTGTAGCTTTCGTTTCTAACAATAACTCTCTAGGACATAAGACTTCATATTCATCAGATTTTTTAGATTTTGCAAGCGCATCTTTTGTAAACACGCATTTGGTTGTCGCTGGAAAAGGCTCGACAGAATTTGAAGTTGTTGTCACGGTTGTATCTGTCGTATCTGTCGTCAACGGTTTATTTTCGTTGTGGACGATAGCTGCTGATTGATTCTTGAAATTATAAATACAGATTGTATCCGAGTCGTCACTGGTTGTAGTATTAACCGAAATCATAGACTGATTTGACAGTGTTTCTTCTCCTACTTGTGCGGGAAGCGCGAGGCATACCGTTGGGTGGATCACAATACGGTTTTCTTTTGCAGTTGTTTCGTTACCTTGACTTATGCTCTTAAATTTTTTATATATAAGTATTATCAATGTGAGGTATGTGTTCGATTTAAATATTTTTCCGAATTTTTTTTGTGTGTATTTGACGGTTTATAGGATGAATTTTGTGTGTTTATTTCATATTTTGCAATTTTGTATGAAAAGAGAATATATAGAACATACGACGAATAATGTTAGTAAAACCAGTTTTTTGCAATGTTAGATATATAAATAGTAAAATTAATGGTTGGCATAAGTTGAGCATGTATGGTTGACTTCATAAATGAATATTGTTGGATGACATTGTGCATTGTAACTTACTTCTAAATGTAACCTTTTAAATTGCTATAATGAATTTATATCGTTCCGTTGATGTCGTCACTTGTATCCTAGATACATACATATGTATTTGAGGTAAAAGTCATATTGAAGCCTGAGAATTAACTCCGCTGACATAAAACTGTATTGAAATGTCAAAGCAATTATTTTTCATGCTCTGAAAACTTCTTATAATCAAGTTCAATTCAATAAAAACGGAGAAGTACGCAAACCAGACTGCATGTGAGATATTAAATATATGATATTTATGCTTTAGAGGGTGTTGTTATTTATTTGTAATGAATGAAATCCCGGTAATGTAATGGTAACGGAGAAGTACGCAAACCAGACTGCATGTGAGATATTAAATATATGATATTTATGCTTTAGAGGGTGTTGTTATTTATTTGTAATGAATGAAATCCCGGTAATGTAATGGTAACGTGCTTTCAGCATGTGCTATAAAATATTTTGTGTTCAATACATACCAGTACAAATGTACCAGTTAACGTCATTGGCATGACATAATTCATAAGTTTTTATAAATAAATAAGCTTTGTGCGCTTGGGTTTCACGTTTTGGAATGTCAATCTTTCAGCTCGTGATATCACCGATAAATTTAAGGATTTACGTTATGAATTAGTTCCACACCCACCGAATTTGCCAGATTTGGCCCCAAGCGTCTACATCTTTCCCAGACTCAAAATATGGCTTGCAGAAAAAAACTCAAATTCGGAGATCAAGAGGCATTGAAACTTCACATTATCGAACCAGTATCGAAATTTCATGGCAGATTGTCACAACAAAATCATTACTATATATGGAGATTATGTAGAAGTATAAATCTAGATATTTATTAAAAAAACGTTCTTTCATTGTTACGCCAAAGGCTTTTCAGGCTACTACATTCATGTCGGCCTTTGTCAATAAAAACATTGTGTACAGAACTTTAGAGGTACATATGTATGTCGGTATGCGAATATAAAAGTCAGAATAAAATTATATTTGATATTTATATTATTATTATTATTTTTTGAATAATTAATTTTTGTACTGCAGCAATGAGTGAGCTAAAATAAATTGCTATATAGAAAATGTATTACAAGTAAGTAAGATAAAATTATTTCCAATGAAACTTTGTTCTATCTTTATTTTTAAAATAATTTAATTTAAAAAAATCCAATTGATTTTGCCTAGTTTAATCTTGTGAATTCTACAAAAATGACAATAAAATAAAATCGCTGAAGCGCACTGATTATCTTAACTCACAATACACCACACAAATTCTCGAAGAATGCAAATATACATCCCAATACTTTGAGTACTGCAGCTTTGTTTTCCTTTCCATGGCCATGGAAAAGAGAACTAATGTTGATTAAAACCGATGCAAAATGTCAGACGTCCGAGCCCTGCTGAAAATATTGGAGCGAATTACAATACAAACAAAAAATCTCCCGGACCAGAAGGTAATCCAAATATTGTAATTTATCTGAGTAATTGATAGTTGAATTATGAGAACAGTAAAGGACAGAAAATAACTAGTAGGGTACCACAAGGATATGTTGCTTCTGGACTGGGTTGAAATATTTATAGAAAACAATAATTTCAATGATGGCATACTGCAAGTAATATGAGACGATAAATGAATGAAGGGTTGTCAAGCAAATGTTGTTAGTAGATTTTATAAATATAGAAAATATTATTGATTGTGAATTATGAATGTGATTATATGCAAATTAAAAAAAATATTGATGGAAAATCTCAGGAGCTAAATGCACCAATAATATTTAATCTAATTTAAATACTTACCCCAGCGACTAGAAATATTCGCTTCATTCTAATGTATTTAAAACTTGTGTTTCTTGAAAATTTCGTATTTTGTGCGATTTAGTGTTGGTAGCCTTATCCAGTTTTGTTTCACAGTTTCACATATGTAAGTTTTGACGAAAATATTTACATATCTACTCGTATATACACATGTATGCGTGTGTATATATTGTAACTATTCTAATTGAATCAAACGAAGACATAAATTTACCGACATAAATATCAACCCTCCCATAGTGCCAAGGAAAGCGCGTACCGAGTTCTGCTAATATATCGCAATTTTTACCCAAGTTTTTGCTTGTACGGACGAACGGACGGACAAACAGAAATCCGCAGTTAAACTTGTCATGTCATCTTGCCATCCTGATTGCTCCATATACATATATATATCTCGATTAGTTTTAGGTGTTATTAACAACGATTAGCAAAAAAACACTATTATACTGTGTGCAACATGTTGCGAGAGTATAAAAATATAAACTCTGCGTAGTTTTGATGAGAATTATTTGAAAAAAAAACGTGTAAACTTAGATCAGATATCAGATAGATATCTAGACACAATCAATGAGATATTTTAGATTGGACGATAATGAAACTCGGAAAATAATTTCGAATTCTGCGGGTTCCCATATAAAAAAAAAGCTTAGCTCTAAATTTTTCTATATAATGTGAAACTTTTTAATAGTGTTACTTTATCACATCACTTCGTGTGGGTAGTAAAATGACTCATCTTTTTTTTATCAATACTCAACTATTACTAAAAACGAAGTTTACCTAATATAATTTTGTTTTTGAACCAATTGAAAGAAATAATCTTAAAAATAATTTTTCAACTTTGACCAATCTATTTTAAAGAGTTTTTGAAATATTTTCTTTTATTAATATTAACGAAAGAAATACTAAAGGGTAATTTAACAGATTATACGTGCATACATATTATTTTTATAATTAATATAAAATGCCAACTTCCTGTGCGCTATTAAGTAAATATTATATATTATTCATACGAGCTTGTCACAATGAAGGTAAAACATTTTTTCTTTTACATTCTTTCGTAAGTCCAAGTTTTTGTTGAATAATTGTTGTCATTACTTACTGAACCTTAAATTATTGAATTAACTTTATGTGGAAAATGTCTATTTCACGGATACTTACACCCACTGACACAAGCAAACACTTATCTGTCTACATATGTATGTACAATAAGGTTAATAGAAAAAAGGTTTCGTCAACATTGTTAAATAATTATGAAGTTATTATGGAATGAGTCTGTAACATTCATCTACAAATCTTTTAAAAAATTGGTATTGTACCCCAATTGTAATAATAATAATACTCTTCAGAAGTTCTAGTTTTTAGTCTAATTTTTTTTTACTTTACACAAAAGTTTTTTAATTTTTTTTTTCACATACGGAAACGATGAATAGAGATTTTTTTAAATTTATATTTTTAATCATGTTTTAAACATATTAACACACTTTCAGCTTGCTGTAAATTTATGTACCTTCACTCTTTTTTTATGGTCTAATTTCACCAGACTAGTGCATACTAAGCAATTGTATATTTTGGGTGTTATAGAATATAGTTGATAAAGTATAAATGTTGACATTCGCTTACTGTTGGTATAGCGTAATATGTTGAAACCTTTGTTCTATATCCTTATATCTAAACACATATATACACATGCAGGTCACATTACTGACTAGTGTTAATTATTTCTGACTTTGGATAAATGTCCCTATATAAATTAAATTAAAATTTCTGCAAAAAAGCTCACACTTTAAATGAGGAAACTTGTGTTGTCAGTATTCGTGTTGGTTTCAACGAAGCAATGCAGGAAACTATCTACTCCGGAGTCAATTTGATCATCGCTGACACCTTCTGTTAAAAGATTGGGTCTGCTTTCGTTATTATTTGGGTCAGCAAAGGCAGTGGTGGTGTTTTCCTTCTCATAAAGTGGATTCATAACAAAGTCCTTTGTTGTGCCCGAAATGGCACGAAAACTGTTTCTTTTGAGGTCTTTGTGAAGTAATTGCTTTTCGAATTGCGACAAAATATTAGTATTTGATAAGACGAGATTCTTGGGCTTCGACAAGTTTAAAAAACTAAGAGACGATAGAGTCCGCCGTGTAGGTAGAGTTTCGGAATAATTAACAGCAACACTAGCACTTCTCCATGAATGTTGTAAACGTTTGTCATCGTTGCAATAGTCTAAGTTAATCTTATTGTCTGTGCCTAATCTGCCATCGTTATTTTCATATTCATTAGCTTTTGTTTTATTATAAATGCGGTTTGAGTATTTATAACTGTCATTGTGGTGGTTGGTCTTCGGCATATGAATACGGTCCGAACTGTTATAATGAGACGCTGAGGAGAATGAACGTGGTTGTAGCGGAAGTACTTTATAATATGAAGGAGCAGTGGAGGTTGCGTTTGGAGTGAAGTTGTAACATGAGTTTTGAAGTGAACGGTGGTTAATGCATTCTAATGAATTGCTACGACGCACTGGAGTGGAAAGAATCCAATGACAATCACTATGATCACTATAAAGCGGGATACTTTTGCAGGTAGTTTTGCCGTAGGAATTTACCTCTTTGGTGAATGAATCTTCTATGAGCTCATCACTGCATCCGGAACTGAGTCGTTTGCGTTTATCATTTCGGTGAATTTGATGATTAGGACTGGCTTTTGGAGGATTGTCGGTGTTAATGTAGTAATCACGGCTATATCTATGATGAGCATATTGAATTTGCATTGTATAACTGGAGATAATATTCAATAACAATACCTCTTGTAACCAATATTACTAGTACTTTCGTTCTCTACATCATCTTCTGCTTTCACGGTTATTACACTTTTATTCGTGCTTGAACTTATATTTGGTAAATCTATAAAACGCTCTTGGCTGCCACTAATCCTTCGTTTTAAAGCATCCGGAGTGTATGGATTATTTGGCATTTCAACCGCGTTGCTCCATTTCTTATATTCACGCTCTGCTATAGAGCCTAAAAAGTAAAACAGTTTAAATATTTATGTAAATATTTACTCATTTTAAAGATAAGGTGAAGATGTTTGCGATTTGTATACGACACATATTCTATAAACACCAAATAGATTATTTAAAGGAAATATAAATTATACCACAAAACACAGAAAAAATAAAAAACAAGACAGCACAAGGAAGTACAACGCAATACAACATAACACCGAGCGATGTTTGCATTCACTTTGTGTTACCTGGCACGAAATGTCTCAAAGGAACAACATCAGCTTCTTCCCCATTATTATCCTCTTGATAGTTATTGTTGTATATAAATTGTTGCCCTTGTTTACCGTTGGATTTAGAATTTAGATATGAGCCATTTGTTAGTTTCGTAGTGTTGACGAATGAGTTATTGCAATTATTAGTATGAATAATGTCTTGTTCGTTATTATAGCCTGTTAGGTGAGATTCGATAGTTGTTGACGTGCTTTTACTGGCCAGATTTGTGACGAAACTAAGTTGATCTGAGAATAGAATATCGTTAAGGAAGTTAAATCTATAATCTCTTAGACTTTCTGGCAAGGTAGCTGCAATGTTACCCTTCGGTAGAGGTGGTGGCGGTGTGCTTAATATGAATGCTTGTTTTCTGAGTAAATCTTGTTTAAAATAATCATATTCTAATTCAAAGGAATCAATGGAACGCAGATACTTTTGCATGATCTCGGTTTGACGACGTCGCCTTTCGAGCGAAGCCAAAAGTCGTTTATCGTTTATTAATGTTTTGCACATTTTAGCAATATACATCATTGTTCGAAGTGAACATTTTTCATCGCTCGATGTTACGTCGATTTTATGCGACTGCTTGCCAAGCTGCGTGGTTACTGGTTTATTTAATCTTGATAATAATTCAATAACGACTGTACCGCTTCCATTAGGGTCTGAAGACTTTGCGTCAGACGATTCAGCCACGACACTAGCAGTATTGTTATCGTTTATAAAAGTTGTTTCTGAGTTTATATCGTTATTTAATGTTGATATCAAATTTGAAGATTCAGAAATGTCGATAACTTTTGACAAATTTTTAACAGTTTCAGTTGATTTACAGGAATCGTTGGCTATACTAATTCCAAAGTTAATAAGTCGAGATTTATCCTCTAGCTCTTCTCTCATAATATTTTTCGCATTGCTGGTGTTAAGGCTTTCAATAGTTTCTCCAGTTTTCACATTTTCTAACATTTTTACAATTGCTTTACAGTGGTCTACATTAAGAGATAGACTTGAGTCATGAGGTTGACGATTTAGTAAATTGTAATCAGATAAACAAGTTTTAATGGCCAAATTAGTTTCTGTAGCAGACTCGTGTATAATCTTAGACTCCGTGATTGACTTTTCTACCAAAATACAAATATTAGCAATTTTACTATCTATGTGTTTTGTGTGTTCTATTGTAGTCTTTTGATATTCTGTATATGTTTCCTCAGGTTTAGCTCGACTTTCCTGTTCTGCCTTACAAAATGTCACAAGTTGTGTATTTTTTTCTGAAAACTCTGTATCAATGGTATAAACCTGATTTGATATACTCTCAATTGAAGAATCTTGTTCATTCTCAAAGCACGAATTTTGTGTCTCCCTTTCAGAAATGTGCGATGTGTCCGAAAATAAAGATTGATCACTATCCACAATAGGTTCAATAAAAGGTACCAGCTCTTTTATAATTTGTGCTCCCAATTGTTGTCCCAAATTCATAACTGAACTGCAAAAAATCTTGGCTTCGGTTTCGAGCTCAGAGTGCAGTGCATTTTCACACTCTTCCTTTATTCTGCTAGATCTGTTGTTCGTTTTAATGATGTCATGCCCTTCTGTCCCACTGAAAGAGTTTTCCTCCATTTCAATTGCCGATTGTGTTTCATAAAGTAGTAAAGATTCCATCTTAGGTTTAAGTTTCTGTTTTAAAATTTGACCTATTTCAGTTGTTTCTAGAGCATTTATTTCTATAACAAACATTCTTTCTAATTCACTGTCAGTTTCATGTTTCTTACTTTCGTAACTTTGTGGCGTTTCAGAGGATCCTAATACATCTGTATTACTAACACATACTTCTTTTGTGTCACAAGGGGGATTCGCCTTCTGTGTGGGTTGCTGTGCGCTTTCCATATTATTGACATATACTTCTCCTATTTCACTATCAGATTTTTGTTCTTCTTTTTCTAAAGCTCGTGAAGTTATCTCCGTCCCTTCTAATTTATTGCATGGTTTCTGCTTCCTATTTTCTGATGCATATAACTCTGCTGTTTCTGTGTCATTTACATCACTCATGGACTCTTTTTTTTTGATTTCGGAAGTGTACGATGTTTTAGAAGATTCTTGGTCTTCAGTTCTGTTATCGCTTTGGGTATCCTTAACACACTCTGTAGCGGAGAAATCTATTTCATCTGTATTCCTTAAACCATTTTCTTTTGACTTACTGATGTGTTTATTATTGGCACAGTCCTGTTTTTGCTCTCTGTAGGATATTATATATTCACACCCTGTATTTATAACATTGTCTACTCTTGGTGTACTGCTGGGTCCCTGTTTACCAATTTCAGAGATGTATAGAGTTTCGGAAGACTCATGAGTCTCATTGGCACACTCTTCTTTTTGCTTACTGAATAGTGTTCGAGTTTCACCTTCTGTATTTATAAAAGATTTTCTTTCAGGTTCATTGCAGAGTTTTTGTTTTTCCATTTCTCTTTTAAACAATTCTAATGCTGCTGTATCGATTATACCATTTCCTTTTGACTCACTGATAGGTTCTTGTTTCTTAATTAGGGAGATCTGTGGTGTTTCAGAGGATTTTTGAGTTTCTATTTCATTATCATGTTCAGCTTTTTTCTTAATGTAAGGTATTTCATTTTCACCTTGTGCATCTAAAACACACTCTACTCCTTGTTCATAACATACATTTTGTTTTTCGCTTTCTGTTGGTTCTACTGTTTCTGTAACTATAATTTTATCTCCTGGTGACTCACAATCTGATTGTTGTTTTTCTGTTACAGAAAATTCTACTGCTTCTGTATCCATAATACCCTCTCCTTCTGACTGACTGATAGGTTCTTGTTGCTCCGGTACGGGGTTATATTGTGTTTCAGAAGATTCTTGAGTTTCTGCTTCATTATCATGTTCATCTTTTTGCTTAATGTAGGATATTTCATTTTCACTTTGTGCATTTATAACACACTCTACTTCTTTTTCATAACATGTTTTTTGTTTTTCGCTATTTGTTAATTCTACTGTTTCTGTAACTATAATTTTATCTCCTGGTGACTCACAGTCTGATTGTTGTTTCTCTGTTACAGAAAATTTTACTGCTTCTGTATCCATAATACACTCTTCTATTGACTCACTGATTGTTTCTTGTTGCTCAGGTACGGAGGTGTATGGTATATCAGAAGATTCTTGAGTTTCTGCTTCATTATCATGTTCATCTTTTTGCTCAACGTAGGGTTTTTCATTTTCACTTTTTGCATCTATAACACACTCTACTTCTTGTTCATAACATGTTTTTTGTTTTTCGCTTTCTGTTAATTCTACTGTTTCTGTAAATACAATTTTATCTCCTGGTGACTCACAGTCTGAGTGTTCTTTCCTAGTTACGGAAGTGTATGACGTTTCTGAAGATTCTGAAACCTCTTTCTCAATGGCACAATTTTCTTTTTGATCTGTGAAAGTTGATCGCTTTTCGCATTTTATATTTATAATACTTTCTACTTCTGGTTCAGTACAGGAATTATGTTTTCCATTATCTGTTACAGAGATTTGAGTTTCTGCTTCATTATCACGTTCATATTTTTGCTCAATGTAGCGTATTTGATTTTCACTTTGTGTATCTATAACACACTCTACGTCTGCTTTTTCGCATTCTGTTAATTCTACTGCTTCTGTAACTATAATGTTATCTCTTGGTAACTCACAGTCTGATTGTTGTTTCTCTGTTACAGAAAATTCTACTGCTTCTGTATCCATAACACACTCTCCTTTTGACTCACTGATAGGTTCTTGCTTCGCAGGTACAGGGGTGTATGGTATTTCAGAAGATTTTTGAGCTTCATTATTACTTTCATATTTTTGCTCTGTGTAGGGTATTTCATTTTCACTTTGTGTATCTATTACATACTCTACTTCTGGTTCATAAGATATTTTTTGTTTTTCGCTTTCTGTTAATTCTACTGCTTGTGCATCCATAAATTTATCTCCTGGTGACTCACAGTCTGATTGTTTTTTCTCAGTTACGGAAATGTGTGACGTTTGTGAAGACTCTGAAATTTCTTTCTCAATTGCACACTTTCCTTCTTGATCGGTGAAAGGAGACCGTTTTTCACATTCTGTATCTATAACACTTTCTACTTCTGGTTCAGTAAATGGATTTTGTTTTCCATTATCTGTTACAGATAGTTCCACTGCTTCTATATCCATAATACTTTCTTCTTTTGACTCACTGATAGGTTCTTGCTTCGCTGGTACAGGGATGTATGGTATTTCAGAAGATTCTTGAGTTTCTGCTTTATTATCACGTTCATCGTTTTGTGAAGATCCTGAAACCTCTTTTTCAATGGCACACTTTTCTTCTTGATGTGTTTCTGTATCCATTATTTTTACTTCTTGAGATTCATAGTCTGATTGTTGCTTCTTAGTTACGCAAGCGTATGACGTTTGTGGAGACTCTGAAACCTCTTTCTCAATGGCACACTTTTCTTCTTGATCGGTGAAAGGTGATCGATTTTCACATTCTATATCTATAACACTTTCTTCTTCTGGTTCAGTAAATGGATTTTGTTTTCCAATGTCTGTTACAGAGGACTCTACCGCTTCTGTATCCATAATACACTCTCCTGTTGGGTCACTGATAAGTTCTTGTTTCCCAGGTTTGTAGGTGTATCTCATTTCAGAAGTTATTTGATTTTCTCTGTTTTGATCCATACCATGTACTTCCTCTCTTTCATTGCAGGATTTTTGGTTTTCATTTTCTTTTTCAGAGGATTCTGCTGCTTCTTTATTCATAATACAATCTGTTAGTGACTCACTGATTGGTTGTTTTTTATTGGGTACGGTAGAGTATGGTGTTTGGGAGAATTCGCGATATTCCGCTTCATTATCACGTCCATCTGTTTGCTCAATGTAGGGTATTTCATTTACACTTTGTTTATCTATAACACACTCTTTTTCTGGTTTATTACATGTTTCATGTTTTTTGTTATCTGTTGCGACGGATTCTACTGGCTTTGTTTTTAAAATATTATCTCCTTTTGTCGCATCGATGGGCGTTTGTTTCTCAGTAACGAAGATGTACGGTATTTTTGAAGCAGATTTCTCAATTGCAGACTCTGGTTTTTGCTCACTGAAGATTATTCGATTTTCACTTTTTGTGCCTACACAGACACACTCTCCTGCAGTATCATTAAAGGAATTTTTACTTTCATTTTCTGTTGCGTCTGTTGTATTCATAATACCATCTCCTTGTGACTCGCATATGTGTTGTTGTTTCTCGGTTTCGGAGGTGTATGGTGTTAGCCAGGATTTCGATTCCTTTTTTTCATTGTCACAGTCTTCAATTTGATCACTAAATAGTTTTAGATTTTCACTTCTTCTATTATTAGTGCCTTTTTCTTTTGACTGCCTGATTAGTTGTCGTTTCTCAGTTTCGCTTTTCTCAAAGAAGGGTATTCGATTTTCACTTTCTATATCCATAACACATTGTTCTGCTTGAATACAGGGTTTTTGTTTTTCACTTTTTAGAGTAGGTGCAATTGCAGCTGTTTCTAATTGTAGAGGTCTATGGTTACCCAGATTTCCAATTTTATCATAGACATCGGCACCACATTTGTATTCAAGCTTCTCACTTTCTGTCTTTGAAGCCTGGTTACTCTCTCTATTACGCTCGTACCCTGTCTCATTGTAAGGTGCTTGTTTCTCAATTTCAAAACTATGAGAGGTTTCGGTAGATAATGCACCTTTGGTATATATAACATCATTGATAATGGCTTTAGTGCAGATTTTAGGTATCACTTTTTCTAAAGGATGGATGCTTTCAGATGGTTCTTCATGTGAACTACATCTTATGGTTGTTTTTGAAGACAGCTCACTTTCCGATTCAGAACACAATATTTTTACATACGAAGACTCGTCAATGGAAAATATTTTAAGTTCGGGGAGCAGTATTATGTTCGATCTATTGGAATCTTTGAAGATCCTTTCTGACGACGAAGATAACAGTAATTCTGTTATTTCCGGTGATGGTGTCTCTGCGCAAATTTTAGTGGATAGCTTGTGTAAATCTTTTTCATCTACTAGATTTGTGATTGAATTTGGAATCAATGATGAATTCATAATTTCCTTTATATCTGATAATGGAACACACTTTTCTGAGCAACTTTCGTTTATTTCTAATGAGTTCATAATTTTAGTTTCTTCTTCCTCATCTATGATATCAAGTGAGTGGTGGCTTAATTCAGGTATACGCGACTTTATTTCCGCTAAAGCTAAATCACTTAACTCTTTGAGTGCATTCATTTCGAAGGGTGTTTGAATAGATGGTTGTTCTGAAGAAGGAACAGCCAGCAACGGTGCTAAAGTAATTGCAGCGAGAATTTCAATAACGGATGTTTCTTGACAAATTGACCTAGTGTCGTGACTTAAAACGGTTTCTTCAAATATTTCGACTGAACTAAATCCTGTACAACTTTCATCGACTTCAATGCTTTCAGTAGCTTGCAATTGAGCTGTAAACATAAACGACAAACTCAGAGTCGCCAGACTAAGATCGTGCTAAGAATCTTTGAAAGATACCTCTGGAGGGGGTTAATGATGCGATAATACCAATTGATATACTACATACTATTATTACATGTATGTATATTGAAAAGTTGCTCCTTTGTTTAAGACAAATTTACTTCTAGCAATGTACATAAGTTATCATATTTTATGTATGTACCATATGTGAAAATGCATACAAATGAGTAAAGGAATTGGTTAATACAATAATTGTACGATATGAATGTAAGCTATATTTGACGTATCCTGTTTGCGCGAGTAAATAAAATCATTCTTACCTGATAATGGATTATTTTCTGATTCTTGCGTCGAATGGGGTAAATGATTTGTAACTCTTGAATTAAACGCTTCGGTTTTGGGCGCTTTTTCCACAATATGCTCGTTTATAGTTTCAATACAGTTGGCTTCATTTGGCGAACGTGATATATTTGATACCAAACTAGCTGTTTCAATCAATTCGTCTAAAATCACTTTTGTATTCTGACCACCAATCAGGTGTTTATTTAAAATACGATCATTAAACGGATCTAAGCCGGATTTTATTGAGTCATCCGTGTCTGAATCTATTTCGGACAGATCACTGATTTCATCGGTAGTCTTATCTCCAATTTGAGCACGAACGTCATCTTTAGGTGCAGGTACTAGCATACCTATACTGCCAGTTATTGAGGTAGTTACTGAAGAACGCTTCTTCCTAAAAAGCCAATTATCTTCCCAATTGCCTTCACCAAGGATACTCGAAGATACAGAAGCCATGTCTATACAATTGGGTATATTATGCATCTATCGCTTTGTAAATATATTGTAGTATTTACTTACCATCCTCCTTATATTCTGCCATTGCAGCTGACAAATCGGGTAGTGGTACCGTGTGAGAGGCAATGTAATCGTTTATTGTTAATTCGCGATCTAAATCTGAAATTTCATATTATTAATTAAGAATGTTTTTAATTTGCACATAATTGTAAATGTATTGCTATTAATATCATTGCTCACCTTTGATGATCTGCAAAACACAACAGGCGTTAAATTAGAAATCGAGTAAAAACGAATAATCTAAACATTTAACTCACTTTTGATGAATGCTGTGTATCTGTATAGTGGGAAGGACTTGTGGTCTTCAATGAACTGTCAGATGAGGTGCTTCTATCGTTCATATTAAAGTTGATGTCAGCGTTGCATGAACTTAGATCCGGTGTACTTTCCGATAATTTACGGATATACTCTTCTTTGTCAGCGATCTGTAACGTAAACATTTTAAAACGAGCTATATAATTGCGTATCTGCTTTAAACATTTGGAACTTATCGAAATTTTTTAATATGTACGCCTACATATATCTATATGCTTAGTGTTGTAATATTAATTAAATATCATATCGAAAATAGCTTCGTTAAAACTATCATATGTATTCGTTTAATAATTACATAAAATCACATAAGTGGGCATACGGTGACCGAGGAGTGCGGTCAAAAATCACTTTCTTTTATCCGAAATATTAAATTTTGCTTCCAAATGTAACTATTATAAAACTGTATAAAATTTATGTATACAATTTATAATTTAAAATATATGTATGTATTTATATTAACATTAATCTTCATTACATACATTGGAATTCGTTTCCATTTGACCTCAGTGCTCCTTACAAAACTTTGTGGAAATTTGAAATTAAAATTAAAAATATGTTATAATATGTATTTAATTAGTATATAGCCTGGTGTATTGCAGATACTTGTTTTTTGGTATTCGATCCGACGTCTGCACAGTTGAGAAATTCTAGATCGACTAAACTATGGCTCCTAGAACTAGCATCGGAATTCTAATGCAATATTTTAAGTGGTTTTCTTACAATTTCTATGGTTTTATGTAGCGGAAGGAAACCTTATAAGTATTCCATGAAGGAAATTAGTAAAATGTTCAAATAAACACTTACATATATGTGTGTAGGGGAGGGTCAAGCTGTTGTTGTGCAAAAATAAAAATAGCTCACAGCTTGCAATATTACCAACTGACAGTGCACTCGAGGTGGAGTGAACGTAGGGTAGCATGAACTCTCGTTCAGGTGGACAATTTTTATATTGACTATGTATCATGAAAGATTAAACGCTTAATAGCGTCATCAATGGAATTTTTCAAAAAAGTACATATAAAAATAGAAACAGTAACTGTAAATCAAATACTGATTACACATCTATTGCAGAACTGCCCTTGCTTATTATTATGTAATAAGCAATTTAGCTATATAGAATAATGTAAATAATTTGGATACTGTGAACAACCTGTTTAAAAATTATGTTCACGTTACCCAGATTGCACTGTACATATAATTTTATACTCTTGCAACATTTTGCTACAGAGTATAATAGTTTTGTTCACTTAACGGTTGTATATATCAGCTAAAACTAATCAAGTTAGATAAAGGGTTATGTATATATTAATGATCAGGATGATGAGACGAGTTGATGTCCGAGCGACTGTATGTTTGTCCGTCCGTCTATCAGTCCATCTGTGCAAGCGATAACTTGAGTAAAACTAAAATATCTTAATGAAACTTGGTACACGTGTTGAGCGCAATTGGACTAAACCCACTCCCACTTCCCATAAAGCACAACTTAAAATTCCATATGATTCTTTCACTTTCCAGTACATAAATCAAGCATCAATGAATATGATCGGATACAACTTTGCACATATAGGGCCTTTAAGGTATGCCATCTCGAGTTTAAAAATTGTCAAATCGGACCATAACTCGTTAAGTCCCCACATACCGAATATGTGGACCTCAGTGCGTGTGGTTGACTTTTTGCCAAAAATAACGGTAAATCTGTGATATATGTTATTAAAATTCAGGGAAAATATTTCTTTGATAATAATATACCCTTTTGTCGAAAATGGGTTGAATCGGGTCATTACTGCCCTTAGCCCCCATATACATAATACAAAGATTTTCGAACTTCCAGTTGACTTTATACCACATATATTGGCCAATGAAATTGAGAGAGCATCTTTTTCTAATAACAGTGCATCTTTGTGCATAAAATGAATAAAATCGAGAGAAAAATTGTCTTAGTCCCATATAACTCATATTCAGGATTTTGAAACATCCGGCTGACTTTACTCCTTATGTATGTTTATATTTATAAAATTGCTTGAAAATAAGTTCTCAAGTATACCTGAGCAATGTCAAAAGTTAATGAAAACAACCCTTACATTTCAACACCTAAGTACGTTGCAAGAGTATAAAAAGTTTAGTTACACCCGAACTTAGTCCTTCCTTACTTGTTCCTCATACTATTGGAAACTGTTGAAAAAAGACAGAAAAATGTAAATGTACTGGCATACAAAAAAATTAGTAATAGAGCTGGGAAGCCAAACATAAATTAAATATGTATATATATTTATCTTATATATGGTAGTACCCAAGTTAAAAAAATGCTATAGAAATTAAACGAATACTGTACTTACTTTATGTATTAAATACTTTTATTTTTTTCCTAACACTTAACACTAACCAACTCTCTAACCAACTCTTTGCTGATTTAGATTTTCTTTACTGGTTATGTCTGTTTATGTAGAACGAAATTTGGGTCATATAGATATTCATATGTATGTGTGTATTTTTTAACCAGATTTTTAACTTTGATTCGGGCGATTTGGGAAAATTCATATTTAAACATCCGCACATTTTTTAATTACTTTAGTTCAAACTTTAAGTACAAGTACATATGTACACAATACAGCAGATATTACCTACATACCTTATTCAACACTTCCGTGGCCAGGAAGTCATGATAGGCCTTTGGTTCAAAATAATGTTCAGTACGATGACGATGACAAGGTTGTGTACGCCCATTTCCATAAATATTTGAATTGAGTTCTGGTTCTGATACGTTAACATTCGCCAGACATGGTGTTCTCAGCATTTCTGATATTATTGATTCAATCATATGGCGAAGTCTTCTTTGTGAAATTTCGGAAAATTCAGTCAGCGTGTCCTCGTTGGTTTGGTTGTCATTTAACCCCACGGGGTGTTGATGAACTACGTGGTTATTCAGGATGCCAGGAAGATCTGAAGTATAAAATATTTAGAAAGTTAGTTTTCTAATCAGAATGTATCTTCATATATACCAAACGATTGCGTCTTATTATTTTTTTTTTAAAATTTCGATTATGAATGTGCGTTTTTTAAATACATTCTTAGTATATACATATACATTTTACAAAGGTTGTTTTACTAAACTATTTCCGATACGATTACTTTACCTAGTTTAACTTCAATAATGTAGACAACGTAAAAAACAGTTAGAGCAAAGACCAAATAGGCTCCTGTAATGAGACCCAAAGTAAAGTCCATTATATTGTTCTTCTTCTCATGTGGTCTGTCATACAATAATGCCGTGCTGCGAGGATTATTCAAATTCAACTGTTTGTTTATATTTATCCCTTGTTATAGTTTTAATTGCGTAAAGTTTATATTAAATACACACGCGGGAGCGTATATCTACATACATACATACATATGTATAAAAAGTTTATGAACTTTTGGGCTTAAGTAACAACAATAGTGCTGAATATAAATTTGTACGAAATAGAGAGAAATTTCTTTTGAATGTAGCAAAATTGTATTTAATTTTATACGGCTTATTAAAAGATAATATTATTTTGGCAGCTCAACGAAATTGGTGTTCCCGGTAGATTAACAATCACATATTCGTGTACATTGAAATGTCGTTCAGTGCGCTGAGCTTGACCATCACATGCATAGACTTTGGCTTCAAATGACGTCTTTCTCTTAAGAATTTTGCACGAACTAAATCAGGTACCAGATTAAAATTGGGTGAAGGTAAAAGTTAAAACCGTATCAGAACGCTCTATTGATTAAATTAATTAATTTTCTTACCAAATCGAAATGGATATAGTGTTATATACATATATCAAAATGATCAGACGAATTGATTTCCAGATACAAGATTGTATGTACTTGTACATTCATTTGTCTATACAAATTGGATCAGTTAAAAGCGTTGCTTGGAACGTTATTTTTTATCCTGTCAACTTTTTATATTTTTAAGAAGTAACTCAACCATTAGTTCCGAAAAATCTACGTTTTTTAATTGTTTTATATACTTGTAGGTAAATTAATTTTAAAAAAAGTAGAAGTGGAACATTTATAAACGATTATCTCAGGTCTTCGTAATTTGCGATTGGTTTCTAATTCTTAAGGTACGTAAATTGGGAGTTGATTCGTGTGGGGCCATTTGGTTTGTTTTTATTTAAATTTCGTTAATAATAATGAACAAGATTACAAAAAATAACTTGTTCAAGTTCTTTGAGGATTTAAAAAAACGCTGGCATATGTGCATTATATCAAGGGGTGATTACTTTGAAGGGCACAAAATAGATATTCATAAATAAATAAACATTAAATAAATACAAAATTCGCGATACTTTTTGAACAAACCTCGTATGTCACTTCTAAATAATTCGATATACATCCATATATTCATAGGCATATAGTATTTGAAGTTCCTATGTTCCTAGCAATTTTCTCAATTTCTTTTTATACTCTCGCAACCTGTTGCTACACAGTATAATAGTTTTGTTCACCTAACGGTTGTTTGTATCACCTAAAACTAATCGAGTTAGATATAGGGTTATATATATAAATGATCAGGATGAAGAGACGAGTTGAAATCCGGGTGACTGTCTGTCCGTCTGTCCGTCCGTGCAAGCTGTAACTTGAGTAAAAATTAACATATCTTTATGAAACTTAGTAGACATGTTTCTTGGTACCGTGAGACGGTTGGTATTGCAGATGGGCGTAATTGGACCACTGCCACGCCCACAAAACGCAATTAATCCAAAACAAATAAATTGCCATAACTAAGCTCCCCAATAAGATACAAGACTGTTATTTGGTACACAGGATCACATTAGGGAGGGGCATCTGCAGTTAAAATTTTTTTTAAAGTGGGCGTGGTCCCGCCTCTAATAGGTTTAATGGGCATATCTCCTAGACCGCTAATGCTATAATAACAAAATTCACTGAAAGCAAATGTTTTTAGCACTTCTATTGACGGTGTGAAAATAGTTGAAATCGGGTGGCAACTCCGCCCACTCCCCATATAACGGTACTGTTAAAAACTACTAAAAGCGCGATAAATCAAGCACTAAACACGCCAGAGACATTAAATTTTATCTCTGGGATGGTATGAAATGACTTTATAGGAACCGCGTTCAAAATTAGACAGTGGGCGTGGCATAGCCCACTTTTAGGTGAAAACCCATATCTTGGGATCTGCTTAACCGATTTCAAACAAATTCGGTGCACTATTTTAAATTTCATCTGATTCTTTCACTTTCCACTATGCATATCAAGCAGCAATGATTATATCGGGTTAAAACTTTGCGTGAATAATACGTATGCCACCTTGTGACCAAAAATTGTCTAAATCGGACCAAAACTGTTCAAGCCCCTAAGTACTAAATATGTGGACCCCAGTGCCTATAGTTGACCTACTACCGAAAATATCAGCCAATCCACAAAGAAATCTCAAACGAGTACACCATTTGACTTTGCGAGAGTATAAAATGTTCGGTTACATCCGAACTTAGCCCTTCCTTACTTGTTTGTCTTGTTATTGTTATTTTACCGATGCAATTTTCTTATTTATTCATTAAAAACATTCCGTGATTCTGATTTATACGTCTATGTATTATATTGCAATACGATTATAGAGTTTTGACATATCTTACTTAATGCTTATGTGTAATTACACACTTGTGAATATTAGTGTTTTACGTATTGTACAAAGTACACGCCTATATTAAATAAAGCGGTGTTAAAGTTCAGTAACTAGAAGTGATCTAGTGAGCTTATTATTATTATTATTTGTTATAATGGCCTTGAGAAGAAATTTTTAATTTTCTTGAAAAGTTCTTTAATAAAAGAATTTCAAGGACAAGTATGAAATACTGTATACAATTATGCTGTACATAAACCTACATACGTTCAGTTCTGAAAATAAGAGCAAAAGTTTGTATATCGTGTACTTATTACTGCTCAAAAGTGTAAAAGGCATATTCGTTTGAGATTTTTTTTATATATTTTGCCTGATTTTCTTAGTGGAATGTGAAAGAATCAGCTGGAATTTAAAATGGTGTTATATGAGATTTTCACGTGGTTGTAATCCGATTTCGCCCATTTTTGCACTATAACATTTCCCACTATAAATATGAGAAGAATGTTATGTACCGAATTTGGTTAAGCAGCGTCTCTGGCGTATTTAGTGCTTGATTTATCGCGCTTTTAGTAGATTTTAACAGTACCGTTATATGGGGTGTGGGCGGGGTTGTCACCCATTTTCACAATGTCGATAGAGGTGCTAAAAACAATGCACATTAAACTTGTTATGCGGCGGGACCACGCCCACTTTTTAAACGAGTTTTTAACTGCAAATGCCCCTCCCTAATATAATCCTGTATACCAAATAGCAGTCTTGTACCTTATTTTGGAGCTTAGTTATGGCAATTTATTTGTTTTGGATTAAAAGTGGGCGTGGTCCCGCCTCTAATAGGTTTAATGTGCATATCTCCTAAACCGCTAATGCTATAATAACAAAAATCACTGAAAGCAAATTTTTTAAGACCTCTACCTACAGTGTGAAAATAGTTGAAATCGGGTGGCAACTCCGCCCACTCCCCATATAACGGTACTGTTAAAACCTACTAAAAGCGCGATAAATCAAGCACTAAACACGCCAGAGACATTAAATTTTATCTCTGGGATGATATGAGATGACTTTATAGGAACCGCGTTCAAAATTAGACAGTGGGCGTGGCACAGCCCACTTTTAGGTGAAAACCCATATCTTGGGATCTGCTTAACCGATTTCAACCAAATTCGGTGCGTAACGTTCTTTTCATATTTCTATGTTATATTGCGAAAATGGGCTAAATCGGACTACAACCACGCCTATTTCCCATATAACACCATTTTCAATTCCATCTGATTCTTTCACTTTCCACTATGCATATCAAGCAACAATGATTATATCGGGGTAAAACTTTGCGTGAATAATAAACGTATTATGTATGTATGCCACCTTGTGACCAAAAATTGTCTAAATCGAACCAAAACTGTTCAAGCCCCTAAGTACTATATATGTGGACCCCAGTGCCTATAGTTGACCTTCTACCGAAAATATCAGCCAATCCACAAAGAAATCTCAAACGAGTATACCATTTGACTTTGCGAGAGTATAAAATGTTCGGTTACATCCCAACTTAGCCCTTCCTTACTTGTTATATATATATAACCCTATATCTAACTCGATTAGTTTTAGGTGATTCAAACAACCTATTATACTCTGTAGCAACATGTTGCGAGAGTACAAAATAAACGTGTTACAGTTTAATTCATGTTCAATTATAACTAAAAAGTTATATTATTTAAACGTAACAAGGAAAATTTTTAGGGAAAAACGATCTAAACAAACTATAAATAGTGGATAGTACTTATTTTTACTACTTAAACCATATTGTTCTATTATTTCACACATGGATAATATTAAACCGGTAAATTGGTGTGTTCATTCACCAATATAATTTAGCTTATGATAGTCAAAAAATGCTGAAGAGTAAGTTTTACCTTCTCTAAATATATACAGGTACATACCTACGTACATCATACGTACAGGTGTATTTTGCTGAGTTCATATTATTAATGCCTATTAATATGAAACATTTTCCAATAATATTCATATACTCGTGAGTAGTGAATAAGAAAGCAGAGTATGAGTGTGCAATTGTTGTTTGGTGTTTGGGGGTTCACAATTTACCAACATCACAATTAGAGAGATTGGCCTTTGAGTATTATTTCAATATACAGTAATACCCCGACTAACGACACTTCGTTTTACACGAATTCGGAGATACGCTGTGAAAGATTCTCAATCTTTGCATCGCACAGATGGAAACATTGCTACATTCATGGTGTGATAATCAAGTACGAGTGAAAAATTGTACTGTTACTCAAAATACAAAGTGCTTTTAAGCAAAGCAGATTTTCGAAAAACTTAAACAAGAAGCTGGGTAAGTGGCTAAAAATTAAGTGTTTAAAGCTAGAAACGGCTAGTTCAGCCGATTTAAGAGTCGTTATAATTAGCATAGCATCGCAGAGAGTGGAAAGAAAGAAAAATAAGCTCTCTTTATCCAGAAAAACTCAAAACAATGATAGACGAAGGTGGCTACACTAGCCAAACCATTTTTAACGTAGATGAAATCGGTATTTTTGGAAAAAAATACCTAAAAGAAGTTTTATTGCGCCAAGGATTAACAGTGATGGTTCGTGCGAAAATTGAAACCTCTCTTAGTTTATCGCTCAGAAAATCCAAGAGTCTTAAAATATAAATCTAAAGCTGGGTTGCCTGTCATTTGGAAGTCTAATCCGATAGCATCGGTGACAACTTCTCCTTTTGAAGCCTGATTTGGTCTTCATTTTATTCCTGAAGGCGAATGTTACTGTCAATTAAAAGAAATCTCAATTAAAGTGATGCTGCTAGTTGACAATGCACCAGGTCATCCTCCAGCAACTCTTATTAATTTCGATCCACGAGTGGAAGTTGAATTTTTGCCACCAAAAATTACCAGCTTCCTTCAACCAATGAACCATTTAAAGCTTACTACACACCCAGGGAGAATCAGTTTCAGATCCTGAACATATCGATAGCATAGTAGGGGAAGTGGTCGATATTGCCAAACAATTAAATTTAGAGGTCGATTATGATGACGTTCAGGAATTGCTAGATTCACACAATTAGGAGCTAACAATTGACGAGCTTATAGAAATGCGTAAGCATGAGTAAGACATTGAACAAACTGATTCGGTAGATCCAGTTGAATCGGGAAATCAAATGACAATTGCAAACTTATCAGAAGAACTCAATTCAATTGAAAAGGGGTTAAAAATTTTAGAAAAAATAGATTCTAATGAAGAACGTGATTCTACTACAAAACGGGGAATAAAAAAATTTCTGGTATGCTACGAGGAAGAAGAAGAAAATCTCGCCAGGAAACATTGCTGGAATATATAATATAAAGCCTTCGACATCAAAAAAACTTTGATTCAGGTTACTTTATTCATTGTAATGTAAATTGTTTTACTATCTTACACTTCATTAAACATTTTTCTTCTAGATTATTGTTTTCTTTAATCTTTGGTCCCTATTAAACACACTTTATTTGTACTTATATGGAAAGTTGAACACCGACTTACGCCAAGGTGTTAATGATACTATTAGCATTGCCAGAAACTTTGAGCATCGACTAGATGCATACTTATGCAAAGGATAATTATCATTGCATCTTAATAATAATATTGTATGTCACTATTAAACATCAATGATTTTCACCAGAGATCCATATTTTTTACGCTCCTATGTATAAAAAAGTAAATAATGTAAGTATTGTTACATATACCTATACTATACTAATATGTCATACATATGTACATACATATGTCAGCGATATAATAAGTAAGCGATAACAAACGAACGAAGTTCAGTAGTGGCCAAATAACGTATAGCCTTGTGTGTATGGGGCTTTTCGTTATCTTCAAAAGATAAACAAGTTTAGCTTTGTTTACGAAATTGTTTTAATTTGGATTAACTTCAAAAATTTTAATTTTAGGTTGACACCAAACTTTTAGTATATTTTTGCGTTGTTTTACGCAATTCTGAATACTTTGCACTTTATATATGTATATATTTTCTTCCAAAAATGTTCATTAATTTTTTCGAAGTCGCTCATCTTTAGCTCAAAATTAAAATCTTAATTAGGTTATCATTCATTGATAAATATAAGCAGTATATTCTTAAACTTTAGTTATTCAAAATCAAACCCAACCACGTTTACTTTGATATGTTATTTAAACAACTCGACGCGCGCAACTCATCTGAAAAGAAATGACACTTTGCACAGGTGCTGACATCGGCCCTAGTGATTGTTCGGTTGTTTTCTGTGGTGAGTTTGTTGTTGTATGTGCTATTGAGTTGAAATATTCATATTTCATGTTTTACTGATAGTAACATTTCTATTTTTTTGTATTTTCATATTGTTGTTGTGTGAGCTTATGAGCTTTATCAGTAAACTTTCTATACGATTGTTATTATATTTTGCTCTTCATCCACGTTGAGGAGCGTTTATATTATTTCTGAAAGATAAAAGATTCTACTCAAAAAATCATTCTACTATGTGATTTAAAGTACATATTTAGTAACCGGTTCTCTATATATACTATACGAGCTGTCTCAATGTTTAGCTTAGGGTATTTTTATATAAATCATTACATAATTATTTCTATGTATTCATACGCATGTATGTATGTACATATGTGTCTTATCATAACATATCCATATGTATCTTTTCATAATATTCGCACCAAAAAGCTATCACCAAACATTCATTGGTGAACGATTATAAAAGAAGTATATTATAGTATATATTCTCGGCACACATAATATACTTGTATGTATGATTTTATGTACGAGCATACGAGTAAATGCATAAATACGGTACATGCGGTGTGTACATACGAGTAGGTATATACTACTGTATGTTATGGATGTGGATGTTATAGATGTGGATGTGTTCTTTATAGAGTTCAAAATCTTTTAATTATTGAAAAACAGATATAAGCTAAGCTGTATAAGGTCATGGAATGACTTTAGAATATTTTATAAGCTGACGGTTTCACCTATAGGCTTCACATTGTATATACAATTATTGAAAGATCCGAATATACAATGTTTCGTTGTGCCCGAACTAAGTTCTTTCTTACCTGGTTTGAGTCTTTATTACTTTACTTGTAAACAAGGTTCTGGTATAATCGATCAAAACTCGCTAAACTAGGGAAATAGCTTTAAAATCATAAAATATTTCGGCACGTTTGCCTAACTTATAACGATAAACGGTTGTTGAAAATTAGAAACCGTGAATGGATTCTAATTATATTTGATATTTCATTGAATTTATTAAAATGAGAAAGATAAAATGTATGATTTAAGTAAAAATTTAAAGATTTGCGAAGCATATCAAGTGTAATACAATCTACCTGTTAAAATTCAGAACAAAAAATGGGCATACTGTTATGTAACAGATATATTCTGGATGCTGAGTTTATTTCTTCTTTTTTTATGAACTATTTTGATAATATTAACACTAAACCTACAAGAGCGGTCAAATAACCGCTTTTGAGACTTTAATTAAAATTGTTTCATTCCAAATTTTTATTTTTCTTGAACTTACTGCACGCCTTTTTTTATAATATATAAATTACCACTTAGTGAATTTGTTGTTCTCAAACTCACTGAACCATTTATAGAGTGAAATATATAAAGAAATATAACCTCCGATAATTTTTTTACGAGCACATCTTTAGCAACAAAACTTTTATCAAAAAGAACTACCTTAGTAGGAACTATTCGGGCGAATAAGAGGGAATTACCCAAACCTGCAAAGGAAAGAAAGACAAAATGTCACGTTTTTCAACGCAGATTTACAAATCAAATATTTATACTCTAACAATTTACAAAAGCAAACCGAACAAACAAGTTCTCTTACTAAGTTCGAAGCATAAATATGTAAAAATTTAAGAAACAGGTAAATATAAAAAGTACAGCACAAAATCTAAATCTAATAGATGGCTTGTCCAGGTATTTTACAACATTCTGAATTTAGCTGCTATAAATGCTTGGATTTTATATAAGCAAACCACGCGACAAGAATTTTTATAATGGCAGAGGAACTTTCCACCGAATACCGCGATATACATGAACAACGAAAAACGTGTCAAATTGGATATTGCAAAAAAAAAAATAAAACCATAAACATTTGTTCTACATGTAAAAAATATGTTTTTGGAAAATGTTTACGGGAGAGACCCTCCATCTGTAAAAAGTGCGACAACGAATAAATTTTATTTTAGTTTGAAAAAGGATTCTATGTAAATGACTGAAGTAACATAAAATTTTTCATTTTCGAGCCTTCTTTCTAAAAATGTACTCCTAAAGCCTGAAAAATAAATGTTTTTTAATTATTATATGATAATTATTTTGTGTTTATTGTTTATGCTAAATTCTGTATTAATTACAATCAACTGGAAAAGACTAGGTTAAAATAGGTATATATTATATAATATGGCTGTAGGTTTAGTGTTAATTAAGTTATAATATGTTACGTTTTATTGTAGACCGAGGTGAAAAAGAGCACTGGAGTTAGCAGTGCCGAGAATTTGGAGGCAAACAGGTGATCATCTTTCAAATATTTGAAGAATTTTTTCCAAAGCTTTTAGTGGCGAAAATAAAAGCTGGAATCTTTTAAGGCTCTCAAATAAAAAGTAATGGATTATGATGATTTTTCGAAGTTACTTAGCAATGAGGAAAAAAACAGTTTTAATGTAGTAGTGTATGGTTTCATTGAAAACCATAGAGATGACAATTATGACGAGCTGATCATTGACAAGTTTACGAATTTCTCCATCATAGGATGTAGAACGTCTCTAAGGATGCACATGTTAAACTCTCATAATTATTCAATGTTGCGGTGGCGTTGTTATTATCCATTCTCACACTGTACGATCACGTGATAGAGGAAATAATTTTCACCAACTTTATTATAGTAAACTATAGTAGTTTTAGTTTATGAGATATGTACACAATACCTATTTAGAGGAGGGGCTACACATACAAGTACTTTTAAAAAAATGTTGCGAATATGCCCTTTCTAAGAAGGATCCTCTGTTTCGATCTCCGAATTTGAGTTTCTAGCTTGAATAATGACATAGTTTTAGCACTGTATAGTTGACGGCATTTTATGGTCAATGGTCTAATTGGCTCATCTGTAATATCAACTTCCTCAGTGCCAAGGAAGGGCAAGGAAGATTTTTTTGGACCTAAAATCACAGATAAGAATAAGTCAATGATTTATAATTATAGTTTTTTATTTATTTTATTTAAAGTTTATTTAAGTACAAAAACAGTTTTTCGGAAAAATGTGGGACATCCCGAAAATTGAGATTCGAATTCAGCTTATTAGCTATACCTAAACAGGAGTAATGCGAAAATAAAACTGTATTTCTCACATCTTAAGTATTTTAAATTGCTCGATTTACATATATATATTGCTCAAAATAACTAAATACTGACAGTTTAAATGAAATAAATTTTTAAAACACATTCAATTTTTTTCCAACTATTACAGGCAATGTTTCCCATAAAACCTTTTTTTTCAACCCTATAAAAACTAATTTTCGAGTAATTTTATTCATTATGTATAACTCTGTGTGTCAATAGATTGGGAAGTATATAAAGGTGATAAGGTAATAGAATATGGTTAAATTTGCAGTTATAATATTAAATATAATTCAACATTGTTTACGTAATATAATTACACCTAACCTTAAACGGTAGTTTGATTTCAGAAAAAACCGTGAAAAAAAGACATTGATCGTTTTCATAAGTTTGTGCTATTTACAATTGCTACGAACACTAAACTTTCTTGTATCCACAAAAGGGGAATTCCCCTAGATTTATGATATGAATTTTAGCAAAAATTAAATCTGACAAATAAAGGTTAAGCCCAAACAATTCTGAATCGTGGTAAATGAAATAAAATCGTGTAAAAACTAAAAAAAAATTATTTTTAAACCGTGTTGAATCAAAACCGTGTAAAAAAGATCGTTTAAAAACAGAATTAGGTGTACTCCTACTCACAATTTTCACTATTTGTTAATTGAGTGATTCGTATTTGGTCCTGCGAACTGCCCAATAGCTTAGCCACCATTTCCGCCACATATTCGCGTATTTTCGTTTTTTGATCTGGAGTAATAACAAAGGAATTTGCTCCTACTTGGCTTACGCTTTCGAAATCTGTAAAAATGTATGCAAATTCGTCAAAACTAAAAAGATTAAGATGCACATCCATATACATATGTATACATTTCATCGTTGTCATATCACATACGTTAAGTGGTTTTACAATTATATCAAATAAAACTTACATGTGGAACCTTCATTATAATCTTTTATCGGTATGTAAATTTCACTACGTGCTCGCATTGGATACACATATTTTTGGTGGTTGAAGAACATTTGTTCTGCTATCCAAGACTGTGTGTGTGTAAGCGAGTCCTTCGAAGAGTGGCATATTTGACATTCCCGCTGACCGGATTTTGGAACTAAATTTGAACATTTGGTAGCGTGACAGATTCTTTTGTTGCATACGAAGCACGTGATAAAGCTAATGCACATTGGAAAAAGTTAAACAAAAATTATGGTCCATAAAAATTTTTGCAAACATTCCGTAGAATAGCATACCTTTTAGGATCAATAATATTGATTGGACAGGAGCAAACATTACAAATGTTATCAACCACAGCTTCCTTTTTAGTGATTCGTCCTTCACCAATTTTACTAAAATATGTATATATGTATGTTTTTAATTGAGAGATAGTTAAAGTAAATATAAATAATAAAAATGTAAAATATAAGGAACTAATTATTTTACGGCTTGGTAACATTGAACAAAAAGAACATTGAATAACTGAGTTTGGTTTACCTAACGTTTGTTTGTAACACCTAAAACTAATCGAGATACAAGTATATGTATGTATGGTTAAGGTGACGATAACACTCCCCACGTAACGGTTATGTACAAAACTGTAAATGTGTAATAATCACAATACGACTTATATTCGTATGGACCGATACGAATATAAGTCGTATAAAGTCAATCAGAAGTGGAAAATCTTTATATTAGGTATATGGTACATGGTACACAAAAGCATGCTGTTAACATACATAAAAAAATTCTTTCCGAATTTCAATACCAGATTTTTCGGTAAATAGTGAGCTGGGGTTAACATTTTCGGTAAATGGGGGCTTGAAAAGTTATTATCTGATTCCGATATTTTTAGACGTGAGACGGAATACCTTAAAGTCAATATTTGTGCTAGGTTTTGTTCCGATCATTGATGCTTGGTTTATAGATTGTACAGTGAAAAAATCTGATGAAATTTAAAATTCTATTATATGGGTAATAAGGATGTAGTCCGATTTGCACAATTTTATACTCTTGTAACATGTTGCTATAGAGTATAATAATTTTGTTCACTTGTATGTATCATCCAAAATTAATCGAGTTAGATATAGGGATATATATATTTAAATGACCAGGATGACGAGACGAGTTGAAGTCCGGG